ACTGAAATTTGCATATTCTTTTTCCTTATTGTACTGATATGTATTCATTGTATACTTATATCGATAGTTTCCTTTGTTAACGATGCATATACTACAGAAAATAAAAAAAAAATGCTCACGAACCCCTGATGCGGCAGTCAGAGAAAGTCGAGTATTCCCTTAACTATTAATACTATTAATACTTGTAGAATTGATAAGACGAGAAAATATAAGATAAAATAATGCACTTACACAAACGTATTTGTATAATTAAATTTAATTCAAATTGTCGTTATCATTTATTTTAATTAATACTGCTATTCTAACGACGTTAGGTAGTGAGGTGGCTATATAATTTATGTCTAGGCCATGATCTAGGCAGATGGTGGTTACGAGAAAAATTAACGTTTTATGAGTCTTTATTACCATCAGTGTGGACTATAAAATCAAAGGGCTTGCGAGTATGAACGTTTTAAAATTCCCTTCAGTTTGGGCCGTTGCACTCTTGGGGACTCGTCTAACCGGCCCACTATCAGTCGCCAGTTCGATTCATCGCGCGCCCGCCCGGCCGCCTGCGCCCGTGGCCCGTGGGCAAGGCGCTGGATATCACCAATCCTAACTACATAATAGACTATAGACATACACATCAATAGGTACATACTTAACTACAGTTATGGAAAATTTTCACTATCAAAAAGTAGTTTAAATTTCTATAATTACACTTAAACGTCAACGTTTTTTCTTTCGCCTAGTTTCTTTGAACTGAAGTACCTACCTCCTAAAACAGTTTCAGCTAAATTACTCCACAGTGCTGGATTGATTAATTTACTTATTATAATTATGATGTATGATAAAAATATGCTGAATATGCTGAAATTATACTTCGGGTTATTTTATTTGGAAAATTACAACAATAATTACCACCCTTGCTAACAAGTTGTTAAACTATCGATGAATCTTTTTTTTCAAGTGCAATAAAGAATATATAAAATTAATATTTTAAACGAAATCTTTAAATCAAAAGCAATTAATTTCAAGCTTACTTTATAAAATATTTAGTTTGTGAATCAATCACCTACCTACACAATAATACGAGTATAACGCATATTGTGTTATATTATTGTAAATAGATAGTATTCCTGTTACATTGTATGATACGAACTAATTCTGTATAATTAAAACGGTATCGAGAATTATTAATAATGCTATGGAACAGTCAGACGTACATATTTTTTATATTTATATTTTACTCTTTGAACAGGTCATAGTTATGATAAATTACAAAGTTACCTACTTAATAGACACCTATCGAATTACATTCTTCCTTATATATAATAATACGAAAGAGTTTGTTTGAACATGCAAATCTATGGAATTATCATTCGGATTTATAAGGCATTTGATAGTTCATTTCTTAAAAAAGGTAACATCACAATACGACCACAAGCGAAACTGCAAGAGATAGTAATGAAATAAATTAGGACTAACAAAGAATTAGATAGCAACCAATACGCAATCTGCGTTAGGACGACAATTGTAATTCGACATAATAATATACTAATTTATCATTATAATTACTAGTGAAATTTTTTGGCAATTTTCTCTTTATGTGAATTCTTAAATGGTTTCCCCACTTTAGTAACCTTTAACGTCCCTTTGCTGTACTCGGGTCTTTTCCTACAGAATGACATTAATACTCTCAATCCAATGAAATAATTCTAATGATGTACTATTTATTTATAAAATCCATCAAGCCAATATTAGAAGCCAATATTAAGTTGTAAGTTGTATAACAAAAAAAATTGAATAGATACATTGCATCAAAGTTTCGGTACGGATATGACAACGGCCTCGTGTATAAAAAAAGTATTAAAAATCAGTTCTTCATAATTTGGTCATGGCTTGGTTTGAAAAGGTGATGGCGTTGTATTGACATAGGTGCTACCTTCGACACTATGCTCTTGAAACCCTTTCGATTTCAAAATAAATAAAAAATCGGTTTTGATAAATTTTGCAATAAAGCGATTAATTTAGAACTATTTAAAATCATTTAAAAATAAAAGAAATCAACACTGTGCCTAATAAATTATCTTGAGAATCAGTTGATATACTTTGTTGAGGCTTTTTGTGGACATAATAATAATAATAGATAATAATAGATTATCTTGATATCTTATTTTTGTATAAATTCAATTAGCTATAGTTGCAACTATCCAAGTAATCTATATTTACCTATAAATTGAGATTTAAAATGAAAAAAAAACGGCGGCATATCAAGATATATCGTGTACAAAATTTTAAGTTCAGACCTTGAAGCACAAAAGATCCGTATGGGTCGACGTGCAACGGCTTAGCTGACCCCATATGCGAAAATAAGATAAGTTAGACCTTCGGAAAGAGATTTATGAAAACCGAATCCAATTTAGTACCATAGTTTTTACATGATGCCAGAACAACATACAGACAGATAGACAACGTTTCTAAAACTTATTGTGTTGACTTCTAAGATCTCTCATATAAATTGACCCAGTTCTCTTTTTAGTAATATCATTGTATTCAGCACTAGCATTTTTGTAGTACTTCGTACTTACGCATGGATTAAAATTAAATTATTTTATTATTTAAACATTCAGTGAATATTTCTGCACATCTCAAAAATTCAGAATGCTAACAACATTAAGTTTTGTATCATATATATAATTGGTCAATAAAGTTTAAATAAATAAATACAATTTCTAGATGGCATATGGTATATCAAGAATTTAAGCTAAAATTATAAAGACATCGGATTTTAAGTTCGACCTTCAGGAACACAACAGTGAAAAGAGTATTCAATTTTATGCAGTAGTTTTTGCGTGATGACGAAACATATATACAGACAGACAAATATTTTTTTTTAATATTGTTTTAGTATCTGATTAAACTTTTGTGATCAAATACCCTCATATAAATATTTCTAAAACATGACCTATGTACAACTTTTCTGTTACTTCTTTTAGTTACCTATAATTTTATAATTATATATAGATAATAAATCTAATTCTACATACACACAGGAACACAGGTTTGTAAGTATAGCAAAAACAATGGTGTAGATATTTTTCAATGTAATCACGATTTTCTTGAAGCGTGAGGGCCGAAATTTTTTCCTCGTCAAATTCTTCTGTATAATTGCCAATTAGTATTGCGATTGTTGTTGCCAACAACTTGAATTTTACAAAATATAAACTGACTCACTACCCACGACAACCAGCCGACTATTGGCGCTTATGCAATTGACCAAGTTCCAAGACCAGGTTCAGTTTATGTCTAGATCAGAATGTGGAACTTCGCCTTTAAATTCATTCATTAAATTCAAGACAAACCGTAGCATGGTACCTATGTACTAACTATACTTTTAATTCATTTGTATTCCAAGATAACCAGACGGCTTATTAATATGAAAAATGTATGCAACTGTCAATATTGATTTGTTTGTTTACTCTGTTTGTCTAATAACTACTTAGTAGTAATGTGTATACTGTAACGTTATTAACGTAATTGTTCTAATTTAAAAAGAAGGCATTAATTTATTCACTTTTACCTATAGGATTTCTATCGAAGTTGTAAATAACGAATAATGATATTCAATTGATTTTTTAATTTATATTTATCGGGTGAGTAAACAAATTAGTCATTTTCAGATAATAAGTGTAATACAGTCGCTATGAAAAGGAAAATTAAACACTAATTACGTCCAACTAATAATAAGTACTCAGTTCGTTTTTTAAGTCGATTCTTATTACATTGAAAATAACTACCTACAAATTAATGTCAACTGTAATATTTCAATTTGGTATTTATTATATATCTATCTACCATTTACCTGTACAATAAGTTATACTTATCAGATACTAGAGTATAGTACTCAATTATACGAGGTCTGTCCGGAAAGTTCGTATAAAAGTGTTCTGGAATGCGAGAAAGAGGAGTGGGGAGGCCAGGTAAGCGCAGGACCCCTTCCTTATGTCCCTAACAATGCTTCAGTTCTGGTCTGACCGCCGTGCGGTGCGAACTGGCTTGTCACGCCATCTGTGAAGTTACCTCTTAACGAAACCCCGTCGGCATGGAGCCCGCTTCCGTTGAAGAGCAGCGCGTCGTAATCAAGTTTCTCTCGAAACTCGGCAAGAATGGCCGTGAAATTTTTGCCGATCTCAGAACAGTTTATGGGGATGATGCTGTGAAGGAACCAACCGTCCACAAGTGGCTAAAAAGATTCAGAGAGGGCCGAGAAAGAGTTCGATGTTCGGGGGATTGTCCATCAAGAATTCGTCCCTCCAGGCCAGACAGTTGATGGAAAATTCTACGTCGATGTGCTCAGACGCCTCAAAGCTCGTGTGGCACGAGTTCGTCCAGAATTGGCGCGAGAGGGGCGTTGGATTCTTCACCACGACAATGCCCCTGCCCACACCTCTCTTGTTGTCCGTGAGTTTTTGAGTAAAAATTCCATTACGGTGACCGAACACCCCCCTATTCGCCGGATTTGGCCCCGTGTGACTTCTTCTTGTTCCCAAAAACCAAATTGGTACTTCGGGGGCGGCATTTGGGGGACATAAATGAGATAAAAAAAGCTACGACGGGGCAGCTGAGAAACCTACAACCAGAGGACTTTCAAGGAGCCTTCTCACAGTGGAAACGGCGTTGGCACAAGTGCATTATGTCACAGGGGGAGTACTTTGAAGGGGATAAAATTGATTTACCTGAATAATTGTAAAATAAAATTTTTAAAAAACTTTTATACGTACTTTCCGGACAAACCTCGTAATTCAATAATATCTACTAGTATACTAAAGTAATACTATGACCATATTCATTCATCTCAAATTTCTTAAACCTCGACTATACTCATACCTACATATTCCCAATTTAGCGCTTCAACAGCGCTATGGATTCCAAGAACAGCTGTTTATTTTAAAACCGCGATGCGGTAATACGGCATAAACAAGGCGGACTTCAATCGAATTATCAATTACTATACTTACATCGATGGTCGTTAACTGGTGGGTTCAGGTATTATTCTTCACTTGGCACTGTTAATCACTGGTTCAAAACACGGCGCGCGACCGTTTCTAAATTGGCGATCGCGATCACGGGATATTTATAGAGCGGTAATACGACACCGGGCGCGGGCGTCGGTCGTTCGGTCGTGGGACTGTTGCGAGCTGCGGCGCGCGAGTGCGGCTCGGCCGCGCCGCGAGCTGCGCGCCGCCCCGCGGGGGGCCGCCCCCACCCCCGCCCCCGCCCCGCCCGCGCGCTGCAGGATGCGCCCGCGCAGCCTCCGAGGACGATACCCTCATCAGCCAGTCTCCCTTTGTGTTGGACTAGCAAACTATACAAGTGACTGTGAAAGCAGTCTTTGTTGGATTTAGCCCTATAATTGTATTACTTTCAGCTTAGTATTTTGTACTGGTTGATACATAATTCACACTTTGTTAAATACTTCATAACTTGTATATAGATACGTAGCCGTTCAGCTACATACATACACATAATTACGATTTAGACATCTAAAACTATGAAGGGTTTATGCCAAGTTTCATCAAAATTGTTTAAGTGTTCTTTTATATATATATCTCTCTCTCTCTCTCTACCCCGTAATAGATGCAGCATAAAAATATATACATACATACATATATCATAAATTGATAAGTGAAGTAACCCTGTTTCTAAAATAGTGTTTTTGCAATATATGTATGTGTATTTGCAAGTTCCACGTTAATACTACAAATATGTGATTACCCATTTACATTTAGGAAAATATAATTGTCTTAAGAAAGCTGAAGGATATTAAATAAAGAAAACAAAAACAATTGAATATAAAATATTATTATATTCATTCACTCTCCGACCATACAACAACTTATGCCGCATATACCCCATAATAAACTCTATAAAAATAACTTAATTATACATTTGCTACTCCTCTTCAACCTCGTCGTCTGTCGTGAATTCACTCTCGTTGCCTCCCTGTGCACAAAATAAATTAAATTATTTAGACAATCAAATTACAAATCATTTGCATATGTAACATTAACTGTACAACGCAAGTTTACCCGCGTCATTTAGGACTGAATTCCATCTGAATGCTAAAAATCTTTCAAATTCATTCACTTGATTGTTTAGGCGTGATAGAGCAACAAATATCCAAACATATTTATAAAAATTTTCAATTATAATATCAATAAGATAATTACACAGTAATTTTATAAATATGGGAACAAATATACTCGTATATACGCTCAAATAACCATAATATTAGCAATATTTAAATAAAAACCTATTTTTATATTTGATGTATTTAATAAACAATCTTAGCATATCTTTATATCAAAATTAAATCATTTAACAGAAAACAATTAACACAAAAACTGTCATAAAGGATATTACGGGCATCAAGTTTATTCTGTGATGTTCTATTCATGTATCACTTTCCATCAGATGGGTCTCCAGCTTGCAAAAATTCCATAAATGAGTTTTCATTTTTAAGCATTTATTTATTTTATGCACTGTTATTTTGAAAGACGTGCCAAGATCATTTATTAAATATAAAATGTAGTGTAAAAAAAATATAAGGATGTTTCATCCTTTCCTTGGCAATTGTTGGAATAAAAATTAATATCAAATTATATAAAGCCAACCAAAATACGGACCTCAAACAGACGTGTATAAGGAAGTTTTAACTTAAACAAACATATTTTTCAAAAGGTTATTTACCGGTGTCAACGAGCCGCGATTTAAATTTAAAAATAATTTCTCGTTTAAACAAATAATTTTCTTTAGGTTCAGAATTTTAAATGCCCAAATTGGTACGAAGCTATGTATGTCAAGAAATTTGTAATGGTAATGAATTTGATATGCTGCTCTTAGTTACTTGCTTTTACATTGACACGATGTTTATTTTGAGTTACATAAAATTGTCATATAAGCGTCATAAACCATAACAATTAAATTTAACAACATTCGAGTTGCATCTAATGCACACTACGTTGTATTACAAAATATTATGTAAAAAAATTATACATATTTCTTTTTATTAGAGAAGTGGCTGGGAGATGTGCATAGATATTTTTTATTTTTTTTTTTTTAATTAATTTTAAGTATAAAAATTTTGTTTCAATAAAAAAAATCTAAACTTGAATAAATGTCAACCCAATAAAACTGTTCTACGTCTTTAACATACTTTATATTGTAATGGATATAATTGATTTTGGGAATAAGTTCTAAATTCTTTTTGTATAAGGATAGGTTTTTATATACTTACACAAATCTATGGTCTCATTTCCATTTTTATAACTTGTCTCAAGTTTACAGATACCTGCCGGGTCCGGACACTCCAAACTTTTAATAATATTGAATAAAAATGAAACTAAAATCTTTTTATTTTAGAAAAATTGTCAAAAAGAAAAATATATAATAAAATTATTAAGTCTAGTTTCACATTCCCATACTCAATAGATCTATTCGCTGTGCTCAATAAATTCATCGTTTTATTGTTTCTATTAAAATAAAAACATTCACTTTTTCATCTGCGAATCATAAATATAGAAAATATCCATACGGTTATAAAACGTTTACGTAAATTAATTACGAAATCGCTGATAAATTTCTAGAGGCAATTATGATATATATCATTATCTAATATTTCTTTATTCACTCAGTATCACGTATTAAAAGATTGAATAAAAGCGGTTTCTCCCTATGAAATTTAATCTATACTTATATAATAGAACAGAATAGTTTTTTTGTTCGTTTATTTCAATGCACTAATCTCTAAAAGTATCGATCGGAAAAAAAAAATACATTTAATAGCTCACTTCTTGAAAATAGGGTTAGATTAAGGAGGGTTATTTACAGATTACAACAAGTATATAATATCACGATATATACATCTCACGATTGACCTTGTTACTAGAATATATCTTTTGGTTCAGTTGCGTTTACTTACGATTGACGACGCGGACGCATGAAACGGTATGTGGGTTACGGGAGACAACTTTAAAATATTCACTCGACCAAATAAATATTTAGTTTAGAATATATTACATATTAATCTAAATTATACCTAGTGAAAACCTATTAAACTTCCACTGTTAGGCACAGGTTTCAAGAGTACACATCGAAATGAGGTGAATTTGAAATAATTAGTAGTATGTATTAGTATACCATCTATCTATCCACAATATAGAATATATTAAGACAGAATTTGCGTACATTAAAAACTCAAAAATGACATAAAATGTTGAGTTTTCCATACTAACTCGACGACTGAACATGCCATGTAACAGGAAGTTGAAAAATGTTTGTTGTTTTTCAAACTATTTTATTTGATGAAAATGGTCATATTCGATGGTATCTCTTCCTTCAAAAAATGATAACGACTTCGAGTTAATTCTTAATATATTGCCATAACGTACTACTACAATCAGGCAATGCATTCATGTATTTTTTTATTGAAATGTAGTCAATGTGTCTACGTCACCATGATCATAAGTGTACTAGAAATATGTGGATGACCATTACAACGTTATGCGCCGGTTATTTAAGCCAAATTCTTTAAGTGAGAAAAGGAGTGGTGACGCATTATATTTCTTACCGTTCACCACACAGAGATATTAAAGTGAAATTTATTTTATTTTATCCTTGTCTGTACATAAAACGATTGAAACATATTTCATTACAAAGTTAATTGTTAACAATATTACTCGTAATTTAGACTTCAGAATATAATAATATCGATAGAAAATATCCGGCTTAAATTGTTAGTTGCACTTTACATATATTCAATATATTATGTAGCGTGATATACGCAACTACTGTTCCCGCAACATTATTCGTAAGTTTTTGTATTCTCACATAAGAATGAGATGTTTTATTGCAGCAAAAAAATTGTATATTAATTGACATTACCATACCAAATTTCACCTAGATCCGTTTAGTTTTTTCTCATGTTGGTTTAACGGATTTTTTTTTATCTCATTGCTATGTTCTATTTTTTAAACTGAAACTGTTTGTTGGAACAGCCGTTTATGGCAGATACACGGCGACAAAGAGGAGACAATTGTGTACAAAGCCGCCTACTGGTATTCTTGTAAATGAAACGTATAATAAATTATTTTAATTTTACTAACCTGATCATTGTTGTCTGAATCAGAATCGCTGATATCCCACTGTGGGTGCTCAGCTGGTACTGCGGCCGCCTCCTTCACATCTAATTTCATATCTTGCTGCTGGTCCATGCCGATATACGAATCTACGTAACAATATAAATATTATGTATAATTTTCTTCACGTTAACACCTATTCTTTATAACAAACGCCTGTTTATGTCCTATTGCTCAACACGCCCTCTCATCATTCAAAAATAATTATTGAAATAAATAAGTAAATTTATAGTATGTATTAAATTACTGTTAAAAAATATAAATATACTTTATTCAAATAAAGCCTTAGATATTTTTGAATTCTTATTTTATTGAATTTTTATCACTCATTTTGGAAAGCAGTTGCAATTGAAAAGGTAGACAAAAAACTTTGTTGTTGCTCTTTATATTATAAATAAAATGTAAAATTTAAAAGTAAGAACAGTGTAATTGCATTTTTTAGCTATATACCCTTAGAATAACCACCACGCAGTCCTTTCTATAAACCATCAGGGTCAATTCTTGATGCATTTATTAACATAGGTCAACCAACCTGACTTCATCCTCACCTATCATCACTCATTGTTGCCCCGCCAATAGAGATGGGCAATCCACCTGGGTGGGTTTAAAGTCTGGTGGGTAAAAACCGGGTGTTTTGGGTTTATTGGGTTTAAACCCCATAAACACCCAAATTTTTGGGTGTTTATGATTTTGTACTTCATCATCGTCATCTCAGCCGCAAGACGTCCACTATACTGGACATAGACAATATTATTATGCAGCCTACAGAATAAAAAACTTTTAATTTGATTTTGAGTTTATTAAGAAAGAGATGAAAGTAAAATGTAAAACTACAGTCAATCACTGTCAGATTCAGAGTTATTACAAGCGATGAATTGTATAGGTTCGATAGGCTCTATTTCGTCTAAACTGTTATGTTCATTTACTTGCTCAATGAAAGCTTCTAAGGTATTTTCTTCATTAAACTGAATGTCCTCGCATTCAGCTTTATGTTTAAGATTCCAGTTATAACAAATGAATGAAATTTTTTCAGTTCTTTCAGTTGTAAGTCGATTTCTTTTGTTATTATGTATGTAGCCTTGGATACTAAAGGAACGCTCAGTGGCTGCCGAAGTACAGGGAGCTGATAGAATACGAATCGCTACTTTGCTTAACTCAGTGGAACCACAAATACCTTTCCACCATATTAGGGGCTCAATGCTATCTAATGAGCTCCATACAAATCCTCTGGCCCAAAAGTTTTCTTTAGCTTTATAACACGCCAAATCTGCCATTACATTTGACAAACTTAAGTGTTGGCTTAAATTGTAGATAAACTCCATACCCTTAAGTTCTTCCTCTTGAGTAAGTTCGACTCCTAGAGTCCTGGGGTCTAGAATATATGCTGCAAAATGTATTGGCCTCATTGCCATATTGCATCTTGAAGATACTGATGTTAGAATCTGCTGTTTGCTTTCTTCGCTCAATGTCGAAATCTCATTTAATGCAAAACGTATCTTAGCTTGTACATCTCTAAATGTAATGTATGTGCGATGCAAACGATTCTGGTCGCTCTCTAAGTAAAATATGCTTTCAGTGACTGGTTCCAAAATACTTATACATTCCCCTGTCTTCGTCCAGAAATCATCACTTAGAATTAAATCTTTAATATCTCTTGAAATTACCACATCTTCTCTAACTGTTAATATTTGCAAAGCTATCTTATTTGCTTTCAAACTTTTTAACGAAGTAACATGACTTCCCCATCTTGTAGCACAAGGCAATTTTAGTGTTTGTGTAGAATCTTCACCCTGCCTTGATTTTATCAACAAGGAACTTAATCGTTGACTCCTTTTAACAGTTTTTATTATATTTATGGCTTGCATAATAAATTAGACAATCCCAATTAGACATCGTCATGAGACACATGTCCTAGCGGTCCTATATAATATCCTTAATAATCCCAATTCTCCTTCCTACCTTCGTTCCCGGTTCCAATTATTACCTCCTCCTTCCAGACCTAGACGTCTTTGTCTGAACCAGTCCAGGGTACTGAAGCTTCCCTGCTGTAAAACCCATTTTATGGGTAACTCATTTGCATATCGTGCTGTACAGCTGTGGAATAAACTTCCCGTGAATATTCAGAATAGCCCGTCTAGCAGTTCCTTCAAAAAAAGATTAAAATCATTTTATCTTTCCAATTTAATTTAAATATAAAAATGATTAGAAGACTGTCATCATTGTGTTCTCTTGTATTTGATATTTATATGTTGTATTTAACGTGTGTATGTATGTGTGTATATGTATGTGTATATGTATATATATGTGTATGTGTATGTATGTATATATGTGAATGCATGTGTGTATATATATAATTATTTATAATTTATGTAAATATTTATTTAAATTTCTGTCTTGCACTACTACTGCCCACTCACTACTTCCTATGCCACTGCGTTAGGTTGACTGGAAGAAATCTCTTTTAGAGATAAGTTCGCCTTTGCTAACATTGTTATTAACTTATTGTTGTTACTGTATGTTTTTGTGCAATAAAGAATATATATATATATAATAAACACAGTTACTTCTTGTATCTTTACAATATCTTGGCACAACAAGTTAAGGATATGTGCACAGCAACCGAGAGGAACAACATGTGGATATTTGAGTTTTGTTAATTCGAATGCCTTTTGTATATTTCTAGCGTTATCGCCAATAAGTACAAGAAACTTATTTGCTCCATACACTTTCATTACTTTTTCAACTTCTTGGCTAAGGTATTCACTAGTGTGAGGATTACTTTCTGTATTCAAACTTTTAACGTATGCAGGTTGAGGTTTTGATATAAGAAAGTTTATTATTCCTTCATTTCTTAAATTAGACCAGCCATCGCACTGAAGGTGTAAGTAACTACAAGCATTTAGTTCCTCATTTAACTCAAAACGCATTTCTCTATATATTTTATCTAAGTATTTTGTCGCTAAAGCTTTACGTGAAGGTATTTTAAATTTTGGTTGCAATTTTTCGAAAAATTGTATCCATAAAGGATGTTGCACCATCGATAATGGCGTCCCTGTTACAAATATAGCTCTCGCTAATTCTGTTTTTATATGATCATCGGTGTCTTGAAACTCAGCATTTATTGTAGTGTTAGCAGACGACGAGGGGCTTATAAAAGAATCATTTGTCTCTATCTCTGACAGTCCAGACATTTTGGTTTTGGACGAGCTATCTTTTATAAGTTTCATAGAGTCTTTTAATGTTTCTGGAGATTTTGGACAAGTGATAAGATGTTGAAGCATTTTGGCAGCATTACTGAATTTGTAGACCTTATTACAAAGCTTGCAAGAAACAGACTTGTTTGGTAAAGTACGGTAGTGCTCCCATATGCGTAAATCTTTAGGTCTCCCCATTGAACCTAAAAAAATGAACGATGATTAGTTGGTCTGACGAAAATTCAACAATAGAGTGCCTATTTTTTTACAATGATTATTTCTTGTTATTTACAATAAATTTATTAAAAAAATAATAAAATAAATACAAAAAACCTTTGTAAAATTACATCTCCTCGGAGGATTAAACGCAGACGCTAGTTTATTATCGTATTGTTCTGTATTTTTCTCAGCAACTTCTTTAATTCGATTAGGTACTTACGCATATTATGTTAAAAATAAATATCTAGTACACATCTTAGGCTATCCACCATTATTATCCAATGACGACTCTCAGCTAACTATGCACTATCATCCAAAATAAACGTGTATGGAAAATTTTATCCCAGTCGGTTGAGGATTGAGGATAATTGCATCAACATACGAACATACCTACATACTTTTATTTACATAACGCAAGCTAAATAAAAGCTTGTAATAATACATCTAATTTTAAGTTAAAATTGTTAAGTGATCATGATATAATTGTATCATTCAAAAATCCACTTACCTTTAATTATTTCTTGTTAAGTATAAATATTATTTCAAATCTACTCCCTTAATATGCACTTTTTTACTGCTTTTCCTACCTAACACGTTACCAGGAAGTCACGTTACCAGAGTCAGAGTAATAGTGAACACGTTTGACAGTGATTGTCGTCGCCTCATATTCAGCGTCGACGAATAGGGGAATCCCCAGTCATAATGTATTGCATGCGTGGCGGTCTTACTTCAAATCCATAAACAAAGAGATAATTACAGAACTCGATACTAGATGGCGCTGTTTTTGTTTGAAGAAAGTTTGCGGGCTAAAATACATAGAATTTCATCAATGACTTCCACAAAGAACAACATTTCTGTTTTTTCTAAGTCCGTATCTCTTCCGTATATTTCATAAGATATAAGCTTGGGCTACATTGTTATGCAACGTGATTTTGTCGCTGTCTTGCTAGCAGGGTTGACAGATATACGATTTAAATCGTACTCATACTATTATTTGTCTATTTTTTAATGTACGATCGTAAAGATTATGATCGTAATTCGCACAAAAACATACGACTTTTTGGTTACCTGGCAACATTTTTATTATGAAACGAACATGCTCACATCATCAGTCACATGCAACAATTTATTGGGGATTTCCCCTTCACATCTGGCAGTCCTGCTTGCTAGAATATAGGTAAGTCAGCCACAGTTACTGACGATCGATATTTAAAGGGTATTGTTTTTGTGCTAAATATTTCATAAAAACGTTATTTAATACTTTGTGGATTATTAATTTAGTTGATAATCACTGGAAGTAAAATGGATGCTAATTTGAGAGATCAAGATCTTCGTATAAAACAATTAATAAAAGAAAATCTACGTAAGTACTCTTTTTATACCTAGGTAGGTAAGGTATAATAAACACAAAAGGTACTTAGATCGCGTGTGTTCGAAGCATTTATTCTAATAAATTTAATTTAAAATTGTAGAAAGAAAAAAATGTCTGCCAAGCCGTAGCCGAAGCCGATCTCCAAATATATTTGGCGATAGTGAGACCCAGTGTCCAGATGATTTACCCAGCGTCGTCGCAACAAAGAAAAAAACGAGGATAAAGTAAAAGAAAATTTACTGAAAGAAGAAACAAACTGTTCTAAATGCTTAATTTATGGAGAAGAGGATAAAAGAAATGAGTATTTCGGACTGTTAGTGGCTCAAGAATTTAAATATATACGGCCATGTGTGCGAACGAGGTGTTATGAAGAAATTTTAAAGTATCTACGGGAAGCAAAAGGCCAACATGTTGATCAACTGCAACATGAAAACACTGAAAATTAATTACTTTCATTTTATTATATATAGATTTTTAAAATTTCCTGAAATATTATTAGTTAACGTTTTATTTAATATTGTAGAATTGATCAATACAATTTATAAAAATAATTTATTGGTATTACTTACATATTTTCAAAAAAATACGTAAAAACCTATTTTTTTGGGTGATTATGGGAGTTTATGGGTGTTTATTGGGTTTTTACCAAAGCACCGGGTTTAAACCCGGTGCTTTGCCCATCTGTACCCGCCAACGTATAACGATAGCGCAGGCGGATGAAGTCGGTAAATACAAGCTATGGACGTATAAAAACCTATTAGCCGAATATTATTTTATTACCTGATCGTAAACAGCAGGCGAGCGTGTATAGACCGGGCCAGCGCGGCGCCGTGAACCGCAGCTGAAGCTCGTGGGTGTCAACCAGCGCGGTCACGTGCGCTGGCGCAGTCAGCAGTGTGTGCGACTTACGATCGCAGATGTAGCACCACCAATATTCTTGCTTCTCCTATTAAACGAACAATAAATATTATATTAGCAGCGCAGGCGGGATTTTCATTTTATTATCCTATTATAAATGTGAAAGTTAATAAATATATTTGGATGTTTACATGTTCGAATGTTTGTTGTTCAATCGTGATTAAACGGCTGAACAGATTTGAATGAAATTTAATACACGGATAGGTTATATCCTAACTTAATACATGGGCACATGGGCAAAATATAAGAAAGATCCAGAAAATCGAAATCACGCCAAATTAAATATATATCCATGGTAAAACAAAACCTCCACTGTAATCACAGATGGTGCAGGCATTAGCCCACTGTTGTGGTGAAAGAGCGTTCAGTTTGCTCATAACCATAAGTTCTTATGTCAGCAAATCAGAATTACTTTCTTACATAAAATTTCATGAGGATGAACCTAAAGACCTCATTAATGGGAGGGGGGATTGTTAGTAATGTGGACTACCACAGTCTTATTGCTAGCAATATACTCTTGCAGGGCACCAGTGAGTGATGATAGGCGAGGATAAACAGACAGGTCAGTTAGCAAATCGTGATGAATACACCTGAAATTCAGCACAATGGTTTCAAGGGGACCAACGTGGAGATTGACCTAGTTGGGTATATTGTTAGCAATGGTGCCCTTAGTCCCCATTATTAAAAATCCCTTCCGCCCCAGTATATATCGTTAGCATACTTACTATTTGCTTTATCATTCAATTAAAAAAAAAACCTCATTAGTTATCGTGCTTATCGATGTGCTTGTATTAAAGTTGTCATTAATTTGAGAATGATGATGCAAATTTAAGAGTGAAAGATTGACCTTGATTTTATTAATAATTCAATAAACTTTACATATGTACTATGGCTACACAAGCATATGTTGTAGACAACATAAATAATGTTTTCATCTATTAATAGAACAAAAATTAAAAGCATCGTCGCCAACGTTCACGTACAGCGATGACGTGCCTTCACCACTATTGTTTGGTGTATGAATACATAGATTAATTCATACATACAGGAAAATCTTGTATAAAATCATTAGGTGAAACAATCGCTTCCTTTTTTATTTTTTATTAAAAAAATTAAAATTATTTTATTAATCGATTTTTTTGTGACAAAAGTAACTTGAATTTAACACACAATTCTATCTGCTATTACAATTCTGCTACTAGAACTGCTGTTGAACAAGATCTCCATTTTAAATGTAACAATCAGTACACCATGTACCATTATGTAGCCTTTTTTTTACAATGCTTTTGTGTTGCCTTGCTATGGCCTTTACAAAAATCGTCCCATATGAATATAATAACCTTATTGATTAGTCACAATGCATCATAGAATTTAACTTTCAGAGAACCGAGTCATGATTTAACTGAAACGACATTTAAAAAATGACGAGTATCTGACTCGTTACAAAAGTAGCGAATCAAAGCTAATTGATAGTAACAACTGAGTCATGTAGAATTACAAATTAGACAAATAACCCCACATTTTGAACATATTACAATTATATAACACAATTTTGTTTTTTTTTTAGTTTCAAATTGTTATATGTCTATCACAGGTCTATAACTTCTTATTAAATTAAAATACGAAATTCAAACGTGAATGAAATAAAGAGATTTACATTCGTTATAACACACGAAAAAATATTATTATTATACTGCGTAAATCAATAGGTACGTAGATGTACCTACATATTTTAATTATAATAGTTTATGCCACTGACTAAATAAAATTAGCATAAATCGCATACACAGATGTGTACGTATTCGATCGCATACGTCAGAATATAAGTCATCGCAGCAAAACCATTAACAGTTAGCACGCTATACCTAAATTGACGGCATGATGTGAATTTAAGGTAATAACACGTAAGCGGTACAAATAAATATAACTTTAATTTGTATTTGTTTGTATTTGCGTCGTATCATGAGAAACAATAGTGACATTAGCAAGTTGAATTTTGAGCACGTCTACTATTAATCCAGAGTTTATGAGTCACAAGAAAATGGCGTGATCACCATATTTTTTATTTAGTTTCGAGCACAAGACAAAAGCTATTATGTCTAAAAAGAGATATATTCAAGCTATTTATGGTGGATAAAATTTTGTCTACATATTCCAAAAAAAGGTGAACAATGAAATTATTACTGTTAGATATTATTATATCTAACATTATTGTTACTTTTAAAAAAGTTTAGAGGTTCTGTAGTAATATTTCATCTTCACAACAAAAATTATTTTTAAATGATTTTATTTTAATTTTTTAATTCGCCTGTACATTTGTATTCATGTTACGCGATATCTTCGAAAATATATATATATATATATATATATATATATATATATATATATATATATATATATATATATATATATATATATTACAGTACACACAGTATACACAGTACGTATAACTGATAAAAATATCAGTTTTATTTAATTTATTCAAATACATTGTATAGAATATCATTACTGCGTCTACTATTTGTCGACCTAAATAAAATAAATTAAGTCACAGGATAGTGGAGTCAAGAAAAGCGACCATTATCATACAAACAGATACCAAATGCATGTCTTAAAAGTTAAAATGTGAAATATTCCGTAAATACAGAATATTGAAGTATATAAACAAATTTTAATTAGTTTCCTTATTGACTCAAGTTAATTGCTTATTACCAAGCTCAAGGGATAGTAAACATTTATGCGGACAATTATATCAAATTACTTGTTTACAATCAGAGAAAACAGGACGTGTTTTCAAATTTATTGTGATTTGACCATCTGGCAGAATGTGTAGGTATTATGCCGTGTCCGCAGAAACAAAATCTAAAAATACAAAAACTGAATTTTGTACCTTTACAGCCCTCAATCCAATTATTAATAATTTATAATTATCGAGGCGGTATTACCACGTCGGTCAGTGTGGACTTAACATAAAGGTGATCACACGCTTCAATGATTCTTTTTATAAAATTATATACTTTTTTATAAAGTGTTTTAGGGGTAGAGATTGCACCTGAGCGGGTGAATTATATTATCAAATTCTAAAGAATATACTTAGGCAAAAATTTTAGTCTGTTATACGTCTTGCCATATTATACAGGTCAAAATCAACATTCTAACCTAATAACAGGTACAGATATATTTCTATTAATTTAAATAACTTTATTATCTCCCAAAGAAAAAGTACTTCCATAGTTCTCTAAGTCAAACAATAAGGTAGCACAAAATTAATTGATGACCATATAACTTCGCATAAATCTGAGGACCGCGTCATGCTACATATGCCGCAAACGTATAAAGGCCATTAGGAAACACATTATAGAATTTAAATAGAACTAGTGTAGTGACTACTACGAGTAAGTGACGATAGGTGAAATCAAGTCAGTTGGCTCATCGTGAATAATGAACCACAGTGGTTTCCAGGTGGATCGCGGGGAGATCCTTACCTATGCTTACGTTTATCAGAGGGAGACTTTGTACAAATTCAATTGCTTGGGTACCTCTGTCCCATTCGTGTTTCAACCGTGAAGCAGTTGTGTTTGCATGGCTGTGTTTCGGTTTGAAGGGTGGGATATGGCGTGAATTTACTGGGTACAGAGGAATAACACCCGTGTCCTCAGGAGTGGCAACGCATGGGGGGTATCATGGGCGAAACAGTATACTCTGATATGTTCATGGTACTGCTCATGTTTATAGGCGACGGTTACCAATTTCCATCAGGTGGGCCGTCAGCTTGGTTGCCATTCTAAGTTGTATAAAAAAAAGATCAATTCGACAAGATATATTTTGTTTACAGCACAGGACTACCGCCGCCCATGATCACCCACAACACCAAAGGCATTGCAGGTGTGCTGCCGGCCTTTTAAAAAGAGATATGCTCTTTTCTTATAAGTTATGATATCGTATCAGTTCGGAAATACTGCTGCTGGAAGTTGATTCCAAAGAGTGGTTGTGAGGGGAAGAAAGTACCTTGAAAAACGCACGATGGAAGACCGCTACTCGTCCAGATGGTTGGGATGAAATTTTAGTTTATGGCGAGTTATACGGTGGTGCAAAATCAGCAGCAGGTATCAATCCGAACAATTCCTCAGAGCACTCCTTGTGAGAAATTCGGTAGAAGATGCACAGAGATGCAACATCTCTGCGCAGTTTCAGTGGCCAAGTCGGACAAGAAAGCTGGTAAGCTAGTAAGTATACTGTTAGCAGTCTGCTAGGCCCTATAAGATCTCTCCTCCCTCCATTATGAATTACCTTCAAGTTTAAACAATCTATATAGTAGCAATGGAAAAATGAAGCGCTTGTGATGATGATACAGATGATACAGGTTAAGTCGATGTCCACATAGTCCCCCCTGAAAACCATCGAGCTGAATTCCACATATATTCATTACGATGGACTAACTGACCTGCCTATTAATTCTCACCTATCATCTCTCACTGTTGCCTCGCCAGCATATACCGTTAGCGCAGGCGGGGTAACCATTCCATTATCAAACATTAAAAAAAATTATGATATAGATAATAATGCTCCATAGTTGTTACCTGTGGGAAGTACGGGCAGTGCACCGGATGGGAGCTCTTGGAGCGTCCCTCAAGCCGCTCGCGCTTTTGCAGTCGCTTCTGGAACTTATCCCATTGGTCGTCGTCATCATCCGCAGCCGATGACTTGTCTCGGGACTCATCTTCGGACCCGGAACTATGTGATGCGGAGTCATCTGAACTGCCCTCGTCTGATTCTTCACCTACAGTCAAAATATTAAATTTAGAATACAAAAAATTACGTTATTCACACTTTAAATAACAAATTATTCAATACACAATCCAATATTTTACTTTTGGATAATGGATTGAATAGTGTTTTATCTCTTTCAAATTAAGTACTTAGCTCGAAAAAAAAAAAGAAAATACTCCAATCGACACTTTGTTACAAGTTTGACCTTTGTATAAAAAAAAACTAACTTAGTTATTTCAAAATGCTTAAACACTTTTAAATTCAAATAATTTATTATTGCATAAAGACAAAAATAAAAGAGAAAAAAGAAAAATATAAAGATTTATACTAGTAATTTATGCCAGACTACCTAATACATTTCACACAAATGCTCGTTATAAAATGTATAATAATGTTGAAATATTTTTAGTTTGATAGTATAACACAATAAAAGATCCATTTTTCTATTGTAGTTCAAGGATTTTTTTTATTGCTTCATACTCATATTAACACTTAGTAAACAAATTACTTTCATAAAATACAAAAACTACACAATTGTATTTATTTATGAGTAAATAAGTATAAAATATAAACACCCATACAAAATAGCTGAACTATACTAAAAACCCTACTTTAATAATTTGAATGTCGTAATCTAATTATTTTTTAAAGGTTAGCTGTGTATACTAAGTAGGTACCTAATATACAAATTTTTTTTCAACAAACATATCAAAGGCTTCATATTTTAGCATCGCAAAGGCCAATTACAGAAATAATCAACTACCAGAAAAATAAATACTTAATAAAACTACTAAAAACTGATAACATCATCAGACCTTGATCTAAGAATCTAAATGATACATGCCCTTGATGGTGTCAGGAGTAAGAATTTAATAATTGATATATATTTACACAGAAAATTTGAGAGAGAGGATTTTTCAAGACACTAATTATGTTTTAATGAAGAACATTAAAATTTTTAATAGTACATTGTTTATAACTGCCTTTTAGAATCTTTACTAGTATTATAAATCTGAAAATCGAGTTTATTTATTACCGCACCAAATGCCTTTGATACAGTAATAAATTAATCTTTTTTTTTATTACCAATGGGCAATCGATGCTTTTACGCAACACAAACCAACAATGTAATTGATTCGATAGATATGTTCAAATATATATCTACATAAAATAACAAATTTAGCCTGGTCAAAGTGACAAAAAACAATAACAGGTAGGTTTTATGTATTTATTGTATTAGCAAATCTACGTCGGAGACGAGATAAATTCTTAGGCCGCTGAGTCACCTTACATCTTAAACAATGCGGTTAAAGTTGATCGCAAAAAAAACGACGAGTAGCCGGCAAACAAAAAAAAAAGGTAAGGAATATGATTTTATAGATTCGAATATTGAGAAGTTAGTTAGGAATATATACTAATTATTATCGGAATATTTTAATAAAAACAAGCACAAATCTATCTAAAAATTAACTAATTATTAAATCCATAAGGTTCCAGTACATATATATTGGCCGAGTATGCACGGTAAGTACACTCAGCGAATGTATTTTAGGGTGTTTTGTCTATTAGGGCCGACGTTCGTCGACGACCCGCCGAGTGTCGGTTTTTCAAGTACATATCAAGACGAAGAATTCAGCGTAAACCGCAAACAGTGATTAAATGTTTTCCGAGTGTTCAGTTCATATTCTAAATTGTAGCGGCGGCTACTGCCTCAACATACATCTTCATGTAACGGCCAATGTACTATGAAACCCCGCCAAACGTATAAATGACGTCATTAAATTTGTCAAGTATACTCGCAGAGCAAGTCCGGCCAACGTGTTCTAGACATTATAGGTTTATTATTTAGAAACAACAATCGACAAATATACATTGTCACAACACACCACATATTCATCATAATTTATACCTACATTATTTAATAAATTACTAAATGCTAATATTGTTTACTCAACTGTTGGTAGAATTTTATACGACTCAACTAGAGGTGGCATTGCACACCATCTTACCTATTTCTCAATCATCAAATAGTAGTGTACTGTTTGAAGTACCTATGTAGAAGATAAAGTCCATTGTAATGATTTGCACTGACCATCTGAACATCACTGGCAATCCAGATCTTATCTTAGAATTGGCGCGAGAGGGGCGTTGGATTCTTCACCACGACAATGCCCCTGCCCACACCTCTCTTGTTGTCCGTGAGTTTTTGAGTAAAAATTCCATTACGGTGACCGAACACCCCCCTATTCGCCGGATTTGGCCCCGTGTGACTTCTTCTTGTTCCCAAAAACCAAATTGGTACTTCGGGGGCGGCATTTGGGGGACATAAATGAGATAAAAAAAGCTACGACGGGGCAGCTGAGAAACCTACAACCAGAGGACTTTCAAGGAGCCTTCTCACAGTGGAAACGGCGTTGGCACAAGTGCATTATGTCACAGGGGGAGTACTTTGAAGGGGATAAAATTGATTTAACTGAATAATTGTAAAATAAAATTTTTAAAAAACTTTTATACGTACTTTCCGGACAAACCTCGTACGTGTTAATTACGTGTAGTATTGAAAAAAGTGTTTTAAGCGTAAAGCAAATTCTTTATCCGTGTTTATTTCTTCACTAGTTTCTTCTAGACTACAAAAAAGTATACGGACAGTATACACTGTCAGATATTTTTATGGAAGATTTGTATGGTCAAATTGCATTAGTGCGAAGTAAGGACAGGTTGCTTATAGTATTTATAAAAAAAAACAATACCTTCTTCTTCTCTCTTCTTTGGTTCTTTATTTTTCTTGACGTCGTTACTGGGCGGCGGCGGTGTTGAATTGACTGCCGCCGGTTTCGCCTGTTGCTTGCTCGCTGCTGGTTTTTTGGTCTTCTTAGACGGCGCGTGTTTCTTAGTCTGTTTCATCCACACCGGCCGTTTGAACGTTTCTTTTTTATCGTTTTTATCGTTGTCTCCCTTTTCTCCTTTTTCTCCATTTTCACCAGCCACTTCTTCATCTTCTCTGACAAATAAATTTAAAACGACTATAAATACAGTACGTTAGTTAAACAATTTCTTAAAACCAGTATTAATTAACAGGGACTCAAAATTTATTTTTTTCTACAAAAAAATTGTTTTTGTCACCCTAGTGACTAGGCCCTAGTCAGATATATCTGACAAAGATTGTCGCGTTCGTAGGACCCCTATCGGATTTATCCGACAGATAACTCGTGTTCATGTTTATTTTTTTCATATATTTATCTACAATAACAAAGTAATAAAACAGAGACGAATATACAATTAAAATTTATGAAATTTTTAAAACTACTTGTCATAGTCTGAAATATTAAAAAACAAATACAATACAAATTTGTCGATTTAAGTCAAACGCTAGCAGAATTACAACTGCTACCAAAACCAAGCAGTCAAAAAGTTTAATCATATTTTAGTAAAATAAATTTTATAATCTAAAATGAATAACAATAGGTACAATGTTATTTGTTATACTTGTTATATCTTTTATTCAATGATTAGCATTGTTACTTACTTGATACCTTTTTCTTTTATTGTAGTATCTCCAAACAACTGTTTCATATTGGTTCGACGTAGAAACACAGTTACGGTCACAATAGCGCCGGCTGTCACCACAGTTGAGTTTTCATCGTCGATTACTGCGTCAAATTGGAAAATGTATTACATATGTACATAATGTACCGTTTATTTAAAAAAAAATTGTTTCAGTTAAGAATCAAAAATATAAAATTTTGTATATGATTAATTTGGAATAAATTACCTTCAGTGTTTACTTGAAAATGAATATAAGGCATGTTGCCTAACACTTTCATCAAATCATCATATTGTTTATCATTGAGGAACCGTAAAACTTGTCTTCTCTCATCACCAGGTAACTGAGCTAGTTGGAGCAATGATTTGATATGCTTTTTACGATTTGTGAAGTGTTTCAAATGGTCTTCTGTGATGTATGGTAACTGGAGCAAAGGAGACTTGTACTCCCATAGTCCTTGTACTATCATTGGAGACAACTTCATACAATTTTCAATTGTTTCAATTGTCGGTAGTCGAGGTACTAAAATGATAAACCAATTGACATTTTAATAATTATTATAATAGTAGATTAACGAATTTAAATTGGCGCGAGAAAATAATTAGCTTTTACTTTTACCCCAGTGAATTTATTTAACAGTGATATTAAATAATAATTATGTTAAAAATATTAAAAAGATATTAGAAAATGAAACTAACTCCTTCTGGCGTATGCGAGAGCTATAAGCTGATTGACGCAGTTGACCATCTCAACAATGAGATCTGGGCAGCGCGACACCACATATCGTCGATCGCACTCCAACGTGTCCGGCGGCAACCTCATTCGAGACAGGTGAGCATGAAGAAGAGCGCGTGCCTTAATACTGTACGGCCGGCACAGCGGTTGCTCTTTATTCTTTTCGCCCAGGTTTGGTAATTCACGAAGTAACTGCAATGGAACATTGTCAAATTTATTTATAAATTCAACTGCTATTACAAATATTGTTAATTTTCCGATTATTTAGATTTTTTAGATATTTTATAAATAATAAACATATATACTTAAATACAAAAACAATATTTAGGAAAGATCTCTTTTCTTCTATGGAATTAAATTGTTTTCAAATATCCAATAAGAAAGAAAAAAAGCATTAGTTCCACACTTTTACTAACAATTTATTATAAATATCTAATGAAAAACAATCATTAATACTTTACCATTGGGACTTCTTCATTATCAGTTATTCTCTCAATAACTTCAGAGTTATGTCTGCGGTCAAACTCACAAGATGCAGCAAGTATCATGAGAGCTCTCTTTAGTGGCATAGATGGTGTTTTGTGACAGAAATAAAAATACATTTGAGTTGTATCTAACAAAACTTGCTCTCCTGAGAACCTAATAGATCGATACCACCAAGTGCCAACCTGCAAATCAAAGGTTTAAAATTTCTATAATAAACAATAATTGTTTTTATTAAAATAAAATAAGAAATAATAATTAGCACACATTATAAATTAAAATATCTTTATTGTTATTTGCAACAAAATAACAATTTTGTATTTAATCTAAAATTGTACAGTTATCAAATTTGTAACTGGATAATATAACAATGTCTGTGTTAATTATTATAATACTACCAAACTATACAATGCACCATACAGTTATGAAGTTCAAATAACAATAAACTTTAGTTTTTAATACTTACAGCTGTTGGCAAGGCAACCATAAATACAAGTGCATATAGACCAAGCACCCACACACTATTCTCTTTCTCTACAATCCAACTAGGTAAGGCTATACCAAAGCTCATAGCTCCTGGACCATCCGGATTTCCATACTTTTCAAAATTTCGTCGTGCCTCATCATCTGTAAGAGCCTGGATGCAAAACAGATAACTTTATCAAGAACATAATTAGAACTAATCTTATAAACTATAACAGTCTCACTATAAAAATATTGAAAAACTTTAAGTGATTGAATATTGTTTAATCAATGTAATGATGTTTATTTGTAATTTTATATACATTTTAGTAAATAAAATTATAGATTATTTATAATAATAAAATTACTTTAAACTTTTTATTTTTAATGACATAGACTTCCTTTGTTTAAACATAAATAGATGTAAGACACATTTTTTTAGTTAGATACTAAACATATATTAAAAAGGCAATTGCAAGTGGTAAAACTGTAACATTTCAATTCAATTTAAATTGATCATCTATTGCATTTTCATATTGTAACAATAAAGCATCAGAGATACACTTTCAACATGAATCCTGTAAGAGTACAGCAATAATTTTAATTACTACTCATTTATTTATTAGTATATATTTATTCATATATATTTATACTATTCTAGACTAACTAAAAAAATTTGGTCTAAACATTCTTACAAACTTTCTTATATTATAAGTAAAATGTAATATAAAAAACATGACAACATCTACACAAAGAAAATGAACTGGATGCAAATGAAAACCCACAATAATCATTGATGATGAAAATAATCATGATATTTTAATTTTTTTTTTATTTTCATTTATAATTAATTATTAATTTACTGTTGATCTTAAATATCTTCCATAAACTTGATTACAGGAAATAAGGAAACAAACAGTGAATGTCTATAATCTTCCCTCTAACTTCCTAATAGTCTAGATCTTAAATAATGTATTGACATTAAAAAAAATTACTTTAGTTAGGATCTAAATTTTATTTCATAAACAAAAAATCTACTGGATAATAGTATTTATCACATCAATTCCAAATTTCATTTCTATACTATTATAATTCTGCACTATTTGCATGACTATTTTATTATTGAACTAGCCTCTGCCTACTACTCTATGAACAATGAAAAAACCAATTACATTCTAATTTACTTAGCAAAATAAAATATACAGCAGTTTTTAAGTTAGACCTTCAAGAATGTAACTGCAGAAACCATATTTAATTTGGTGTAGTAGTTTTTGCATGATACTGGAACAAAAAGACAGACAAACAAAATTTCTAAAAAATATTGCTTTGTCATTTATCAGTCTTATTAAGACATATTATTTTTTCTTAAATATCTCTTATGTACATACAAGAGATATTTACAATTTTATTATACTAGTAAGATTTCTAATTAGAGTTGAATGAAGAAAATAGATAAGGTCAAACATTTAGCAATACAAAATAATTATACATAATCCATAAAGGGCAATACAGATATTCTATAATTATAAGGTTTTAAAATTTGTATATCATACCTGATAAGCTTTAGTTAGTTTCATGAATGCTTTTTCATCACCAGTTTCTTTATCGGGATGAAGAATTAATGACTGTTTACGGTATGACTTCTTGATTTCTGCTTGAGTTGCACCCGGAGGTAAACCCAATATTTCATACGGATCAAAATTAGACATTTCATAGTCAAACTGTGACACTTTGTATGCTAGGAATCCCAATAGCACCCATCCTAATACAATAGCTAACTTTATAAAGAAATTTTTTACTCCCTTGTAGGGCTGTGATTGTTCTATAATTAGCTGTTTCTTTACACAGTTTGGACACTGACACAATTCTGCTCTTTTAGCTGGATCTAAAATCAAAAACCATTTTATTGCTAAGTAGGTAGGTATTGTATGACCAATTTAGGCTAAGTGAAATGCTATGTTATGACGCCGTATGATTACTTAGTAGCTAATTATAATTTAACTGTTAAACAGTTAATAATTACTACTATGTTTTGATACAAGCTATTTAATATAAGAAACACAACTACAAAGTGTAAAGCACGATTTCTTAGACTTTTAAGACCGGAAAACAAGTTAATTTACCTTCTTTCCTTTTTCGTGGCCAATAATAAAAAGTAGCAGGCACCAATATTAACGCGAGAAATGAAAGAACAAAATAAAAGAATGTAGATCCACTTTCATCATATTCAAATTTTTGGCCACCCATTTTTTAATTATTAATACATTTAGAATGAAATCATTAAAAGCTACACAAGTGTAACTATAGAGAAGACGTGTCATAAATTGTCAGTCGTGTCGTGTAGATATTCGTGTCCTTATTCTTGGTAATATTTGCGTCATAGACTAAGAGTAGTGGATAATTTGTATAAAATTTCATTAGTTTATATTAATGTAATTAAATTATTAGTATGAACAATTTGTGCAAAAAAGTATCTGCATTATTAAATTAGCTACTTACTATTCTTATATAACATTACCTATCTTTTAATGGATAACAATAGAATGGTAACCCTTCCTGTGCTAATAGTTTATGGTGGCGGTGCACCAGTAATGGATAATAGGCGAATTGAAAAAACAGATTAGCCCATTGAAATGAATATACACAGGAATTGAGTGCGATGATTTCCAGGGGGGGAGGGGGCACGTGAAGGTCGACCTGATAGGATATATTGCTAATAATGAGATTAGTAGTCCGCATTACGAAGATAGAGATGGTTAGTAACTACTAGTCCCACTATTATGGGGGGAAAGGGATTGTTAGCAATAGAGTTTGACAGCCCCATTGCTAGCAATATGCCTTATTAGGCGACCTTCATGTGGTTCTCCCTAGAAACCGTCAAGAACAATTCTTGTTGAATTCGTCACGATGGGCCAAATGTCATCCTCACCTATCATCCTTCACTAGTGCCCCGCCGGGTAGGGTTACCATTCCATCATCACACATTAAAATAAAATTACTTTACTCTGTCAGGCGGGATTACCATTCCATTTTAATTTATTAAAAACCCTTAATCCCCCCCCCCCCCCTAGCTATCTGTACGTCATCAAGACAGTTATCACAGATGTTTTTGACAAATGACATTACATATGTTTTCTTTCAATAAGTTACTTAAATTGCGTGTTATGAAACCAAAAAATTATTTACCAAATAAAAATAAATAAAAACAAACAAAAGGTAGCAAATTACATAATAGAGAATAAAAATATATTTAGTTTTATTTAAGAATAGAGGAATTGTTAAAAACGGATATTTTCGATATTGTACATAGTAATTCTCATGACCTTATTCCTACAAATAATTATAAATTCTTATTACAGATGGCAACGAAAACTATTGCAAGTGCCACAGTAAGGGCTGTAAAGAAACGAGTACTTGCTACACGAGCTGCTCTTGTTCTTACACCTTCAGCCGTAAATAAAGTAAAGGAGATTATGTCAAAGGAAGAGGCCAAGGGCTATATTGGCTTAAAAGTGGGTGTCCGACAACGAGGTTGTAATGGCTTATCTTATACATTAGATTATGCAAAGACTAAAGACAAGTTAGATGAGGAGGTTAAACAAGATGGAGTTACTATCATAATAGACAAGAAAGCTCAGTTAACATTGTTAGGTAAGCAACAAATATAAAATTAAAAATGTATTACTGCAACTCTTTAATTTCTCTGTTCAATGTGGTTATATTTTTGTTTTAGGAACTGAAATGGACTTTGTAGAAGATAAACTATCTGCTGAATTTGTGTTTAACAATCCAAATATAAAAGGAACATGTGGTTGTGGCGAGTCATTTAGTATATAAAAAATAAATTTGTTGATCTTACAATTCTATCATCATGCCATCCCTTACAGGATAGGCAGAAAAGACTAAAGAGAATCTTTAATAAAAACATTATAAACCTTTTTTGTTACCACATATAGTCCACTTAAATACATTTTTAAAAGTCAAGCTTATTAGGCTAATAGTAATATTTAATTGCTACACATGTGATAATAGTTATCATATGACAAATTGGTGATCTCATACAATACACAACTTGTACTGCTGTTATGCTAATAAAATTATTATTTTATATCTGTATAATAAAAAATTGTATTTAAGATATATACAGAGTTGATTTTGAAGTGTAATTCTCTATTTCTAAAACAAAAATTTTACTTTAATAAACAATATTTATTCAAATTAAATAATTATTTTTATATTCATACACAGACACATTTACTTTGTTTAGAACATATAGTTTTGTTAAAGAACTATATTAAAATTATAAATTTAGGTAATAATGCTTCACAATCAACTCATTATGATATAAATACATTAAAAAATTCAAGAAAAAAAAATTGTTTAATATATTTCATTCTATCAACAACAAGAATTTTAATAAGGATTTGAAATAGGTTAAAATTTTGTTTATAATGATGTATATAGTTTTATTAGTTACTGTATTAAAGTATACTTTAGTATAAAATGTTAATACTTAGATAATTTCTAGTGAGTGAATAATTATACAGTTTGTAAACTGTAATTTTCTTATTTTTTTGTATTGATATCATTAGTCACTATCTAGTTTGTTTCAATATAACTTACTGAATATATAAAAATGGAATAATTGACTTGCCAATAAGATAGTCTCCTGGTCTTTAATGTAAACTATAAATAAAAAATAAATTAATAAATGTTTTAATTTGTTATCAATTTAAATAAGTAAGTTTTTCTATGTGTGCCGAACAAAATGGAATGTAATGTAAAGTTCTACTGAAACAGACTAGTCATGGAAAAACTTGTCACCAGAGGATGCTACCTTTAAACGTTATATCTGGCCTAGACATTGGGGACAATTCTGAGCTTTTTTTAATGGGTAATAATAAAATGATAACTCCACCTTTGCTATTAGTATATGGTGACAGGGCAACAATGGGAGAAGAAGGGATTGTTAATAGTGGGGATTAGTAGCCCCTTTGCTAGTAATATACTATATCAGGTCAACCTTCTCGTAGTTCCCCCTGGAAACCATCATTATTTATTTATTGTTGGATTCATCACAGTGGACTAACTGGCCTTTTTCATCCTCACCTATCATCCCTAACTCAAGCCCCGCCAGTGTATACCAATAGTGCAGGATTACCATTCTATTATTATCCATAAAAAAAAAAGAAGGGGCAACAATGAGAGACAATAGATACAGATGGAAACAAGTCAACTGGCTTATCACGATGAATTCAACAAGAATTAACTACAATGGTTTTGAAAGGAAACCACTTTAAGGTGGAGTTTTCGGACTCTATTACTAACAATCCAATTCTTCTATAATTCTGAGCTACATAGGCGCCATTTCTCTAAACTAATCTGAACTATAAAGCAATCTCTAAAATTAAAATGTCAATATAATGTCACAGCAAATTCTTTATTCTATACACCATAAAATAAATTGCTAAGAGATTTATTTTAAATTAACTTTATTAACTATATTTAGATTATGTAGATGTAGCATCAAGCCTCATAAACAAGTCAACTTTTTGTCAGCTAATTGTCAAATTAACTAACTCATTTTGTTATCAGTACTCTATATAATTATGCATAAAATTTATCTTGAAGTATTATTTAATAAATAAAATTAGTATTTAAGCATTAAAAAGATGCAGAATTTATAAGACAAAATAAATATAGAAGTAAGAAAAAAATCACTCATAACTATTTATTATGCAAAATTGTATGAAAAAATTTACTCGATTTCTCGAAGCATTTCTATGGAGACTCTTAAATCTATGTATCTTCTAATATAATAATAATTATGTCATAATTATGATTATGATAAAATTATATCAGAAGATTTAATAATAGCAACAAAAGCAAAAACGATAATCTTTAGAAATTTTGTTTGACTGTATGTCTGTTCACGCAAATACTACTGCACTAAATTAGATGCGATTTTAACAGTAGTGTTTATTGATTTAGTATTACTAGAATCGATTGGAATGGTAATTTGATAAGATTGGTACATTGCACACATTATATTAATAATTATTGGTAAACACCACATGCATAAAAGGAAAATAATGTGTACAGAAAAATAAAAACAAATTGGTGGATACCTTCTGCAAAAAATACATAAAATTTACCAACAATCAAAAATATAATAAAAGAGAAGAACCACATGACAAACCGAATGTGACCCAATTTAATAAAGACGACAATGTAACTTAAAATCTGGCGTATGTTTTAATTTAAAAGAAGGGTTTCTTTGCATGATTTTTTTTCTTGGTGAAATAAATCATGGTGATATAAATTATGCTCAAAATTAAAGGAAAAATCGTTAAAAAAATAAATTTGACAGATATGGTTTTTTCTACAATGGACATTAAAAAGGTATCCAGACATAATTCTTATAGTATAGACATAGAATGTGGATAATTCGGAGGCACAATCATGATTTTTCAAAATCAGGATTTTGCTCCGTAAATAAATTATTATAATCAAAGATTTCGAAATAGAAATTTATTCCTTGTTCTAAAGATATTATACTAAATGTTCAAATTAAAGAGTAGTATACAGTATCGATGCGTGACTTTATTACCAGACTACTAATTATTCAACTGAGCAAATCAATTGGATTTTTCGAATGATTTTTTAATCAAACGACTATTAATTTCATTGATAGTTGGAATGCCTTTTTTTAATGGAGAAGAGTGTTGGCAATTTAAATTGAGTAAAAATTACTAGTTTTCGATAAAAATAAGTAAAGTTTTAGTAAATTTATATTTATATCAAATTGCGATAGTTATTATTAAAATAAGCAGGAAAGTAAATGTGCAAGGAATTATTATTATGAAATTAATGTGGGCGTTTATATATATGTATATATATATATATATATATATATATATATATATATATATATATATATATATATATATATATATATATATATATATATATATATATATATATATATATATATATATATATATATATATATATATATATATATATATATTTCAATTTCTTTATATCCACGAAACTGTTTTGATGTAACAACACATCGAACTGAATGTATACTATTCAGTTCGATGTTTTGTTCCACTATGAATATATGTCTCTATGTCCATATCCAAAATATAGATATCGACTATTTTTATAAAAATCTAGCTAAAACATTTATAATAAAATACTATGTTTAGTTACTTAATTTTGTTCTATTTCGATATTTAAATACGTTTATTTTTGAAGGGTGAGTAATGCAAAATCGTTATTTTACATTAAACAATAATTGGAAATTTTGTGGCAAGATGAACAGCATCTGAAAAAAAATGTATTCTTATTTAAAGAATATATACGTTTAAAGATTATATACATATAAAAGTAATAGCCCTATTCGTAGGTATAATATTATTACAGTTACATGTAACTATAAAATTATTAAATTTATTTTAAACGTACCTACATAATTTAAAGTACTATTTATCTTTGTAATATATCTTTACTTATAATTCAATTTTATATAGATAAATATTAAGAACCATAATAGGAACATCACTTATGGATTTCAATTAATTTTACAAGCTCATAAAATAAGTATAAATTAATTATTTATTTCTTAATTAATTTTTACAAATTAATATAGCGTATAAATTACGCTCTATTACCAATTTTATGTTATTTTGCTACGCTACTATATGAACAAGTGAATTAATTAATTATGTAATGTATTATATAATTAATTAATTCGTGTTTCAACCGTAAAGCAATTGTGTTTGCATTGCTGTGTTTCGGTTTGATGGGTGGAATATGGCGTGAATTTACAGGGTACAGAGGAATAACACCTGACTCCTCAGGAATGGCAACGCATGGGGGTATCATGGGCAAAACAGTATACTCTGCTATGTCCATGGTACTGCTCATGTCTATAGGCGACGATTACCACTTTCCATCAGGTGGGCCGTCAGCTTGTTTGCCATTCTAAGTCGTATAAAAAAAAAATCAACTAAAAGCTAATATTATTTATACTTAAATATACTAATTTTATTGTTTACTTACCGGTTCAAAATGAAGATTAGATAAACATGTTATTCCTATTATAAATTAGATATTTTAATATTAAAAACAAGTGCATTTTTAATAGAAACGCTAGTTTTAAAATGAGACTATAATACTGACCGTTATGCCGCCTATTCAAGATGGTCATGATCCATTATGATAGAATATGATTCTTACTATTGGCTATCTAGATAAATAAGTTTCATACAAAAACATTATTGTTCCCACTAACGCAGGCCTGTATATATATTAATTTACCCGTTCTACGATATAATATTATAATAATATCGCAGACATAATGTTTGTGACTATCGCAGACATCATGTTTGTGAATAATATCGCAGACCTAATGTTAGGGGGAAGGGATTGTTAGTAATGTGGACTAGCAGTCCCATTACTAGCAATATATCCTGTCAGGTCGACCTCCATGTTATCCCCCTGCTATCTATCGTGCTGAATTCCAGGTATATTCATCACGATGGGCTAACTGATCTGCCTTTTCATTTTCACTTATCATCCCTCACTAGTGCTCCGCCAGCGTTTACTATTATTGATTATTACATTATTATTAGGCTACCATTCATTATCATCTATTAAAAAAAATACCTATTGCTTGATTGAAACCCGTAATATTATACTATGATTTTTTTATAGACTCTTGATTTAAGTACAACACTATCACAAACCGTAATTTCATAATTTTGTTACTGATAGACATCACTACAAAAATAAAATGGAGTCGCTGTCTTGATTTGTAAGGAATATTTTCTTTGTTTACGTGTCGAACTTATTGAACGAATATTGAAACAATCGATCTTAAACGTGATCTCGTTTATGGAACTTTTTCAAAGACAATTTACCTAATTCTTATCAAAATTGTATGAAATGAATAACGGTGAAATTGGAGGACCTAGAGGCAGAGGCCGTGGATGGCAGCAGCCTGATAACCAGCCAAAGGAGCTTCGCCGGCCGAAGATCGTTGGTGATGATGTAAAAGGTAATGATTAATATTATGCATTCAAATGTGTACTTTCACGAATCGTATCGAGCACAATGTGACGTCGTCATACATGGCCAGTTCAACTGCGTTCTGCATAATTATAATACTTCAGGTGAAAGTAAGGATTTTCATTTCTAGTAACGACATTGAAAATTGTCAACACCAACGGCCATGTTCTAAATTTCTTCTGTTTCAGTTATAATATCATATTGAAATATTTAAATTATATCAAGTTTGTATTTTATTAACAAATAGGTTAGGATTTTAGACTGAGTGATTAAATATAATGTGAATTAATAAATTATATTTACAGCCGAGCCTCCTAAGTCCCAACTATCAGCAGATGCCAAAGAATGGTATCCACCCAATTACATACCACATAGTGTGCCTTCATATGGGCCTGAGTCAGTTCCTTACAGGCTCCCACGTTCTTCTGTACAAGATCGCCTACGACAAGCACAGGACCAAAACCCTTACAACTTTGATGAAATGGCATACTCACTAGAGGAAGCAGAAAATATGGATATTCGGGTATGTTGTTAATTATATATATTTTAATAATGATAAGGTCTCATATAGTTTACAGTATATTGTTACTTAAAAAAAATTATATTCTAATAGAATTAATAATTTTTTAACAATTCACATTTTGGATGCTGTGTTAATAGGTTAGTGCTAATTAAGAAAGTTATGCAATATCATTATACAGCCAACCTTTGGCTATGTAAGCTGAGTGGTAATCTAAATGTTCCTGTTTTGTAGAACTTGTCAAATTCATGTATATTTTTTTAATGTACTTTAATAGTAATAATGTCTTTTAAATCAGAACACAATTAAAAAATGCATGCACTTACATCTATTTAATAATAATATAAAAAAAATATATATATTATTATCTATTAGTTGCCTATATTAAAATGTACATTTTTTAATGTCACTAATTTGACCATGATCTAAAATGAGTAAGAACAATTGATTATACTTCAGAATTTATATGAAATATATTAAGTGAAATATGCAATATATTCTAGTATTTACAGTATAATGCCACTTTTCGTTGTAATTTTATAACTCAAGAACGGGCTTACCTATCCAAACCAAATGTTTAGGCTTTGTTCAGACTATTTAGTAGATGGTTTATGTGAGGTTTGCATAAAATCGGTCTAGTGGTTCTTCATTTATCACATTTTTTGTAATAAATGAATAGGAATTTTTGTGTCAAATTCAGACTTTTTTTAAGATGGGGATTGTGCTGTCAAATTAAAACTTTTTTCAGTATTGACAGTACAAACATGTTGTTATGTCATTCATGTGGTCATTTCATTTTGGATGTGCTTCGATTAAAGCAAATTGTCAGAGAAAATTATTGCTTTGTGTTTATATTTTTAAACATATTGTTCAAATTGGCTATTCCATTCAATAGATATTATGAATTTAATAATTCATAGAAATAAAAAAAATAATGCTGTCGCGTTATACATGTTACTCCTACCTATTTTAGAGGTGCCGAAGAGGATAGGAGGGGTGGGCATCTAGATAGGTAGCTAGGTAGGTACAAATAAAAATGTAAAAATGTCCACCCCTGCAAAGCTGGGATGGGCCCCTAGTGCAATATATTTATTTATTTACTCTTTTTTGCACCATTTAAAGAATAATACAAAACATATATGTATATATACATATAATTATTACACATATGAAGTACAAATTATTGCTAAAGCAATTTCTTTCAGACAAGTTGTGTTTTGGTTTGAAGGGTGAAATAAGACAGTGAATTTACAGAGTACAGAGGAATAACACCTGAGTCCTCAAGAATGGCAATGCATGGGGGGGGTATGATGGGTGCCAACAAATAGTATACTCTTTTATGTCCATGGTACTGCTCATGTCTGTATGTGACGGTTACCACTTTCCATCAGGTGGGCTGTCAGCTTGTTTGCCATTCTTAGTTGCATAAAAAAAAAACCTTTGTGTAGAGGAAAAGAGAAAAAAAAATAGTTATTTTACCAGATAGACACTATGTGTTAAAGTTTTCTACCTATGTACTGTCCTTGCCAATATGAAAAGGGACGTTTTAATTTAATAAATCTTTTAAAGTGATTTTAAAGTAACAACAAATAAAATTACCTAATATGATACCATTTATTGGTAAATAATCAATTCTAGCCTGTATCGCCATTCTAAATTGTATAAAAAAAATAGCCATTGGTTCTATTTTTTTTTTACCTATGATTAACATGGTTGAGACCATGAACACAGTTGAGAATATTAATTGAAAATTGTTTATCTCCCAGGAAAATATCGCAAACTTAATCACTGTTATGTGTGAAATAACATTCGACCCTGGCAAGTTTGATACCCTATGTGGTCCTCTTGTGGATTCATTTGCACCAACATTAAATGATACGAACTACACTAGAGCTTTGGTAGAGGCTATAGTAAATCAGGTAATTATCTTATTGCATAATTTATTTTTTTATTATGTTTATTTGAAATTTCTTACAAATTTCAAATAAACATAATAACATGGAACATACCATCATATTACCTATTTATTATATTGTGATGTAACAACACATTCATTGGTGTGTATTAAATGGTAAGATAACATATATATTTACTCTTTAATTTTTAGGAATGATAATAAAATACATATAGACCACTCTCCAATATCTTTAGTTTTTTTTTTGTGACTGATAATGTTATGGTAACCACGCCTGTGCTAATAGCATATGCTGGTTTAGTATCAGTGAATGATGATAGGTGAGTATGAATATAGGTTAGCCTGTCATGACAAATTCTACAAGAATTAACTATGATGGTTTCCAGGGGAAACCATATAAAAGTCAACCTGATAGGGAATATTGCTAGTAATGAAGCTGTCAGATTCCATTACTAATGGTGATTGTATGATAAATACATTTCCAGAAAGACCCACCAACCAACTGAGGAGGTCGACCTGACAGGGTATATACTAGTAATGGGGCTGGTAGTTCCTATTACTAACAATCCCTTTCTCTGTTAACCTCTATTCTCTGTCTACGATATTATTCATACCTAGACATGATGGTTATCCCTTTCCAGTTTTCTACACTTTCTTGAAATAGCATTCCATTTTGAGGTATAAAATAAAAAAAATACTATTCTAAATACTTAGTCTATTTAAATTAATTTATATTATTCACACTGTCTATAAATAACAAAATTTTATAGTCCATCGCTGAGGCAAACTTCCGGTACAATGGTGCCCGACTTTGTTCGATGTACGACTCTGTTGCTTCTCCTGAAGAGTCTACATTCCGTGCCTGCTTGCTGGAACGTTGCTCTGCTGAAGAGAATAAGATTATTAATCGCCTGGAAACATCAGAAGAAAATATGCGTGGATTTGCTATGTTCCTTGCTGAGATATATACACAACTAGAAGATAATCAGGTAAGAAACTAGATGAATAAACATGTAATTGCATCTCGTTATTAATAAGGTGCGAAATATCTAAAAGTTACTGTATGTAAGAATAGAAATAAATATACAATCAATAAACAGGTTTTTTTACTTGTATCTTAGTATTTTACATAATTATCTATGCAGTTTATTAACCTAACTGGTTTTGCTACTCTGTGGACGTAACTTGAATACCTGTGTCAATAATTGTCTGTGACAAAAGATTCCTATGGCGCTAAAGGTGCTCTGCTTTAAAAGTTAATAAAAAAAAAAAATATTTGTTTTGTATATATTGATATTGGTTTTGTATTTATTGATATTGGTTTTATTCACACATTAACTTTGAAGTTTCCCAACTAGTTTTCGACTCGATAGGAGGCTTTATTCATGGGTAAATAACTGGATTATGTTTAGGTTTTAAATTTGTTATTATTAGATAGTAGAAAAAATTTTCAGGCGGATCCATTTCTATTTAAAATTTTTGTAGTTCTAGATTTTTAGCTGCATTGTTATTTTTAATTACTTATTTATGATTATTATAATAATATTTTGTAATATAGTAATAAATTTAACAATATGATATTTACAGGGAGGAAGAATTAAATCTCTAGGGGAAAGTCTCTGCAAAGTGTTACTACACTTGTTAAATACTGATAAAGAAACTAACATCAAAGCTGTATGTCAACTACTTAAGGTAAATATACTTCATCAAGAATAATAATCATCTAAGAATTAATAACATTACATACATTTATTTATATGCCACCAAGACATGACAAATAAGAATACGGCTCATCTCATGATACATTTTTATAATTATTTTATGGATAGCTGCTATTAGAGGCATTGATTTTTTACACAAATGACAAATATTTTTTCTTCAAATTGATACGATTTTCATAACTTTTATCCAATCACAAACCTGCATTAATTTTCTTTACGTGCTATATATCACAAACCTAATGACGAAAGAAAAACGCCTTTATGTGTTATTCGGGTTTTCTACTTTCATTCATTATTTTATACCGCATATATACAATAGTATTTAAACTGCTAAAATTTTTAGCTTTTAGCCATTTCACTTTTCTCTAAGAAAATCCAAGAAGATAATTTCTCCAAAATTTTGCGATCAGAATTTTTTTTTACCCTAAATCGCGAAAACAAACACCTAATCAGGCAACGCTGAGAGAATAGCATGCACGTTCTCGACCCTAAAGCATCTTTCCACGCCCTTTTCAAAATCTAAAAAAAAAAAGAGATTTTGAATACATAATAATGTATCTCTCTCAATTATTTCTGCTCTATTAGAAAAACTATATAACTTAGTAGTGCCTCAAATGATGTTTATCATGTAGATACTCAAGAAGCACTAACTGTCGCGAAAAGGACATGAACAGTACCATGGAACCTCACACAATACTCTATAATGCCCATGATTGTTTATGGGTGATAATGGCCTGCGATATCTGTATACGCTGGCTAGATACCAGTGAAAAATAATAGGTCAGGCTAAAAGCAGATCAGACGGTCCATCGTAAAGAATTTACCTCGATGATTTCAGAAGGTGGACCTGATGGGTGTATTACTAATAATAAATAGTCTAAATACCCAATACAAATAATTTCTTTCCCCTCTAATGCCCATGGTACAACTTATGCATCTCCATCTTCTGAGGACTCTCTGTATTTTTCGCTATACTTGTTATATTTACAAATGTAATTGAAATCAATAATACAAAGAACAGCCTAAAGTTTATCAACTGCACATAGCTACAATTATCTGACCACCATTTATACCAAAACAACCAATGGTGTTATAAATACTAGTAATAAAGGGGTACCCATACAGACAACTTTGAACATGTGTCTTTGTATTGTATAGCTATCGGGCATCGCATTGGATGCGGACTGTCCGTCGTCGATGCAGGCGGCGTTCGAGCGGCTGGCGATGCGTTCTCAACTGGGCTGCGTGCGCGCCGTGCTCGCACTGCGTGCAGCGCGCTGGGGACTCGCCGAGCACGAGCCCGAGCATGAACATCAACCGAATTCCAACGCACCGATCGCAGACCTGCGCCGTCGCCCGCAAGGTATTTATCATTTAACACTATGTATATCCTTAGTATAAGCTGTATGTATATGAGGGCTGGCTTTTACATTGGTCCTTTGAAGTTATTACTATTTATTGTTTTTCAAAGAATTCTCTGCGATTTTTAATACACTTGTGCTATATAATACTACAATGTGTTAAACTAGTTTTTAAAACATTCATTCCACTCCAAAGTGGGGGTAGTCAAAATGGCCGATTTGTATGCGTCAACAACTTCTTTGGGTGAGCTGAAATGTTGACCACGAACATTTTTTAATTTTGGGGAATTTAAAAAAATCGTTAGGTAAGCCCTAACGATTTTTTTTACACTTCTATTATTTCCTAACCTCATGATTTAGGGGGAAAGGGATTATTAGTAATAGAGACTAAGAATCCCATTGCTAGCAATATACTTAACCTGTTTGACCTTCTCTCGGTGCCCTCTGGAAACTGTCATTGTTAATTCCTGTTGAATTCTTCATGATGGACCGGCCCATTTTTTCATTAATTAATTAATTATCATTCTCATCGACCACCCTTCAGTAGTGCCCCGCCAGCGTATACTGTTTTTTTTTTTATACAACTTAGAATGGCAAACAAGCTGACTGTTCACCTGATTGAAAGTGATAGTGCAGGCGAGGCTACCACTTCATTTTCAACCATCAAAAAAAAAAACCGCATGATCTGTCATCTTTGGTTGGTTTTAATTTAATAATTTATTTTACCTGTCTTTTAATTTATATTCTTATTTATTCGATACATGGAATCTTGGGGATCTTGAAAAATTCAGATCACTTTACTACAAATTGGCGTGTTTTGTCTATAATTTTAGTACTAATCTATAGAGCAGCCTAAATACTATATAAAACTCTCTCTCTCTCTCTCTCTGTGTGTGTGTGTGTGTGTGTGTGTGTGTGTGTGTAAATTTTATACTAATAGCAATTAATGTCGATATAGATGGTCCGAATAGTGATGGCGGATACCTAGCGGACGGTAATTCGCTGACCCCTGAAGAGCAAGCGTTCCTTCAAAGCAACCTGCCGCCATCTTCTAAAAACGCCGCACTCGATGATGACATACTGTGAGTACATATTTGTTTAAACTCGAGTCTATACATTTTTTCTTTATGCGAAAAGCTAATGATAACAGGGAAATGATAATTTCAGGCGGCAAGAAATAGAAAAATAAATATAAAACAAAATACTAAATGGAAGCAACAGAACTTCATAATATTTTAAACTTGTTAGAAAAGTTATATAAATAAATTTTTATGTATCTTGCATTTTTAGAAAGCTTCAAAGCTTATTACAAAAATACTTGAGATGCTATTTTTTACTATTTTTCCATTAGTATACTTAGAAGTTTTCGTATACAGGAAGAAATTAAAATCATTTGCATACTTTGAAGGAAGTAAGGAAGTGTTATACCAGTGAAAGCGAACATTAAAACTTAGAATTATCAGTCTTCCACGCGTCCTTTCAGTCACACAAGCGGCACTTTCACTTGCGATTCTGAATTTTTTTAACGATATTTTTATATTGTTAATTAAATATATATATATAGTAGATTTTACCAGACGGAAACTTTTTACAAAAGTCATCTGCATTCTTGTGTTTCTGGTGTAAAGCAGATATACATGCATGGCTGTGTTCCAGTTTTAAGAGTGGGACATGGCAGTGAAATTACAGAGTACAGAAATATAACATGGTTAACCCTCAGGAATAGTAGCACATGAGGGGTACCATGGGTATCACAGAATATTCTTTGGCATTCTGAAATTATTAATATGCGAGTACAAGCGTGTACTTATCAATTTTGTTTATTTAATATAATTACATCAAGTTATTTATTTAGAGCTTTGAATTAATGATTAGAATTTGACCAAACTCGCAGTGAGGAGCTGGAGAACGAAGCGTGGGATACAGGCATGGATGCTGAGATGCAAGCTGGCTACCTGGAGTTCCTGAGAATGTCCAATCAAATCAAGCGATAACCGCGCCTACCCCGCACCCTGAGCCTCGCGGGGGACAGACCGAACTGCGTCTTTATAAATTAGGACAATGGTGAAAAACACTAAAAAAAAACATAAAATATTATAAAACTATAAAAAGATATAAAGGAGTGACCAACCCTGTAATCACTCTAAGAGAATGCGTGAATTTGAATTATATTGCTGTGCGTTGCTGTGATGACTACTTCTATAAGAAGTAAGCTCTTAGTAAACTCGAAGGAGTTTCTATATTTGTTGTGTAAGGATAATAGAATACCATACAAAGAAACATAACATCACAATTACTATTTAAAATAGCTTCATTACAACTTCCATGACGTTTAAGTATGCAACAATAATGCAATGCGCATTGCAATCGTGTTTTTGTCGGGTTTGATTTTCTGATGAAGTAATAACATGATTACTTTTAGAGTGGTTAAGCATTTGGACATTACTTATTAAGAACTTTTAATTTTATTATTTGTAGCTTCGAACTAAAGCCATTTGCATAATAATACATGTCGATATACTTACGTAGCGATTATTATAATACGATTATGGTCTGTTTCGTGAGAACTGATGTTGTGTTTACGTATAATGAGAGTAAAGCAGAGACATCCTTTTACAGGACTTGTTTTTAACATTTTTATTAATTTATATAAATTAGGTCGATTATATCCTGTTTCTTTTATAACATTAATACGTAAACACTACAATTGATATACACAATCCATAGACTAAATGTAAACAAGTTTAAATTCTATTTTTGTCCTAAATATTCATAAATTTGTTTTTTATTAATGATTTTTTTTGTTCATAATTTTAGTGTCGTTTAATTGTTTATTAATTTTAAATTGCTATTCCCACCATTAAATTAAAGGCCATACTGAGAGTCATTGTTCAATTTCTTGTTTACATTTCGTCCTCGTCAAATGATATTTAGTGATCTCATATTCTTTTGATACTTTCACTAAAATAATTGAATATGGATATTATGGACCAAGTTGATAGATAAATTTGAAACTTTAAAAGTCTTTAATGCAAAACATTTAAATGAATTTTATTTCGTTCACACTCCACTTTTTGTGGATGTACAACAATAACTGAGCATGTTAAGTAGTAGTACTTATTGTGTATTTTTATTCTAAAATATTTTATGGTCATATAAAATGGTGAGTACTGTTTTATATTATAAGAATAAAATGTGTTAGAATAATAATATATAAAAAGTAGATAAAATATTCTATTTTCTTCTTATCCAATTTTTTATTTAAATGAACATAAAACTTTGATGTTGCAGACTACATTTGGTACGCTCAAACTTCTGTTAAGTCCTTCTATCTCTCCTTTTAGTGCTATTTTCCTGCATTCTTTCTTCATGTTCCTCCATCATTCTCTCTTGGTGTATATGTGCTATTAAGTGTGTGAGTGTGTTTATATAAATATATATTCGCGTTTATATAAATATATATTCGCGTTTATATAAATATATATTCGCGTTTATATAAATATATATTCGCGTTTATATAAATATATATTCGCGTTTATATAAATATATATTCGCGTTTATATAAATATATATTCATGTTTATATAAATATATATTCGCGTTTATATAAATATATATTCGCGTTTATATAAATATATATTCGCGTTTATATAATTATATATTCGCGTTTATATAAATATATATTCGTGTTTATATAAATATACACATAATAGTACTGCGCCGCCTACCCTTTGTCTTTTTTCTCAACGTCCTCTACCCAACAGGTTGGCTGGAAGAGATTGCTTAGAGATAAGGCTGCCTTTTGTATCATTTATTTAAATGGCGCAATAAAGTGTAAGTAAATAAATAATATACAATGTGAAAATATATTTGACCGTACAATCAAGCTAGATTGGATTGTATACAATATTTAGGAAAATATTACAATTCCTGGTATAACTATGGCTAAGTATGTATACATACTTATGTATCTACAGAATTCCAAAATAATTAGAAGAAATAAACTGTTACTGGTTTTGAATTCTACCGTTACCCAGTGATAATGTTGGTGTCAGTTTATAAGTAGTTTTCTGTTGCAATTCGTATTCTCAGGTTTAACTTCTTAAAAATGTAAATGGTTTGGAATAAAAGCAAAATAGCTAAATTTAGTAGTAATACGAGTATATCAATTTTGAAATTGATATTTTTTTTGTTCAATGTACTGGGTTTGGATTCCCAAGCACTTGCGTTTGCGCTTTTAGTGTACGCTCGCGTATGCCAAGGTTTGCAGTCGATTAGGTAATTATATGGGTAAAGAATTTGGGCTTCATCATTAGGTGGGTACTGAGAGTATGACTTTTAAGATAACCTTTCTGATGAGGATCAATGGGCGATGAGTCATTATTGTAAATTTCACGATTTACAGGTTAAACAGTTGATGGAGTCGATAGAAAATTTTGGAGAAGGTTCGAGACCTTATGAAGAGGGTGATTTTGACAGATATTAAAGGGGCGCACTTTTTTGTCATTATCCGAATATCAATAAAGTGATTGAGATAATTTGTTTACATATATGTGTAAATATATTTTATGTTAACTACATACATACATATCTATCACGTCTGTCTCCCACTAAGATAGACAGAAACAATAGTATACAAAATGCTCCAATTCAAACAAGCCTTTTTCACTTCCTCCACATTCATCAATCTTTTCCTACACGCTCGCCGGTTACGGGTACTTTAATAATTTAATATGGTCTAGCACGTCGCCCATTTGGTCGACATATATCCGTCTAGGGCGGTCCCTATCGACATTTCCATTAATTATTGCTCAATAAATCCCTCGTAGTTCTACTTTTATCCGTCCTCTCCAAATGGCCAAATCAACGCAATAGTCTCTTTTCAATTTTTGTCACTACATCGTCTTTCAATCCACAATTCTTTTTGATCACACTGTTTCTCACTTTATCTTTTAATGTAATACAACACATACTTCTCAGAGATCTGATTTCTACAGCATTTACTTCCATGCTTCTTCCGCCGTACCCACGATTCGCTTCCATACTTAGTGTTGTTGTCAGTATTCCCTGAATTATGGCAAAGTGAGCTCTATACAATCCTTCATATTTAATAGTAATGCACCGTTAACTCTGTTTCCTGCTTTCACTCTCTTCAATATCTCGGTCACACTTTCCATCCCTCGTAAACAATGAACCCAAATATAGAAATTCACTGGTTCCACTCTTTCATATCCTATCATTATCTGACATGTTAAACTTTCATTCCTCTCAAAAACCTTCGTTTTAAAAATAATAAAATAATTAATATGTAAATTGCTTGGTTCATAATATAAAAAAATGACAAATATCAAAATATTTTGTACACGTCCTGTAACATCGTCTGTCGTCGTGTTTTTACACCTGTCTTTATAAGAACTTCCATTCCATTGGATCAAATGATAAAATACAATTTTGAATGTATGTACCTATATTGTTTTATAATTTAAAAGGCTGACAATTGAAACAATGATGTGATTTGATATTTTTGGATTCAGCATCCAGTGTTCTTTTTAGTAATCTCTTTTAACAATCTTCGAAATCGTATGCAATAATCTTATATAAATTATTTTTAATTTCATGATAATTTTATTTTGCACAAACCTTTTTTACTAGGTGCCGCAGGTGACTCCCAACTGAAAGACAAATCAGTTTATGGCATTTCCTTAAAGACAAGAGTCACTAAAGCAACTGAAATGCCAAATTTGTTACAATTTATGTTAAACTTTGTTGTGATTAAAATTTGCCTATTCGAAATGAGTGAGACAGAATGAGTCTTTAGAGTGCTATAATGGATTTTAATCAAGAACCTAATTGCGGTTAATAAATAATATAATCTATAGTGGTACCAACATTCAATTCATCAATAGCAATAACTTTAATAATGCTAATAAAATAGACAGTTCATAGAGAGTGCTAATGAATTACACGTTTTTGAATATATTTATGCAATACAATTTTATTTATTTGAAGCAATTAGGAAAATGTTTATAATATTCCATTGTATTTTTGTTGCAGTGATATTATGAATGTTATAAGAATAAATGGATATTTTAATAAAAGTCATTTAAATAATAAGATTGTTTTATTATTAAAATTTCACCCTCTAATATTAAGTTTTTATACGAAAATAGAGTATAGAAGAAATAACGGTAAAAAATTGCAATCAGAAAAGAGACAATCCCGCCTTATTTAAGAAGATCAAACGTGTCGGTGAATTGATATACAATTTACTATTTTAATGTAATTTTAAATATTTTACAACGCATTAATGATGGACTTCTCCGATGCATGAAGCGATAAGCATATCACATGCTAGACGGTTATCTAATTTCTGCAAAATAGCTTATTAATTTAATACTTTAAAAAAATTATACATTTACTTCAGGTAACACTTTATATGGGTTAAGGATTCCATTTGGGTCCATCAAATTTTTCAAATCTCGCATCATCTGCAGTGACGACTCATCTTTGCTGTAATGCATGTACTGTGGTTTCCGGAAACCAATGCCATGTTCAGCGCTTATAGACCCTTTCAGCTTGGCGACTTCTTCAAATATGAAAGGTTCCATAAGAGATGCTATTTCTTTAGAGTACTCTGGCACTGTGATATTGATGTGTATGTTGCCATCACCTGAAATTAGGTATATTAATGGATACTGGAAACATTTTATCGATATTTGAAGAGGAGAAATATTGAATTAATAAGAATAAACTGATAATAATAATATCTATACTTTGCTATCCACCTCCAGATGGAGGTCTCGTAATAATGCATATCATTCCAGTGCCTCTATTACAATGAACCAATCACTCTTACAGTGAACTTCGCCTTGAATAATTACCAAGAAATTACTGTAGAATTATTTCGTATTTCTCGGCTAGACAACCAGAACGAAGTCAATGATATCCATACTTTTAAACAAACGTACCAATATGCCCATATCCATAGACTCCAATTGCTTTATCGCCCAGCCTCTCTCTTAGTATTGGGACTAAATCATAGTAATTTTGTTGCGGCAGCGAAACATCGTACTTAAATACGTAGCCACGAGCAAGTCCGGCTCCAGATATGCTCTCCCGTAACGTCCAAATTGTCTACAAAAAAAAAACAAATAGGTTCCAATACTTTATTACAATATATAACGTATTCATCTAAAACTCTAGACCACATGTTTACTTATATAATTACTTACATTCATCTTTGCTGGCTCTGAAGTGACTGTTCCATCTAATATCAGGCCACTTTCCATCTCTTTTGACAGGAATTTTGTTAGCTTCTCCTCATCGTGGACTTCATTGCTTCCTTGAGTTTCAACTAGTACGTAAAATGGATAATCTGATATTGGATTTCTGTAATGGAGACATTATAAAAATAATAATTGTAGATAGGTTACCATATTTCTGCAATTAAGAGTTTTTTTCCAATTTCATAATGTATGTTTAAAATGTTTTATGTAGGTACTATCCTACATAATTCTCAAATAATGACCATTAAATAAAATATTATAAAGAGGTCTTCAATTCGGTATAAAAATAGAATCTACTACTAGTCGTAGATTTTTGCACATATCACCTGACACTCATAATCCTATTAAGAGAACTAAATGTTGTGTAAATATGTATCTTAGCAATAACAATTATTTCAAAAGATGGAATTTATTAAGGAGCAAGGACGAACATCTAATGTACATAATTTTAAGTATGGGCAGGGATTTGAATCCCGCCGCAGCCGGAATTTTAATTCCTTATTAGAAAAGGTGTTGTCTATAGATGTTAGTGAATGAAGAATATTAACTGAAGGTTGCTATTTACTATTTATTTAATGTCAGTCACAAACCACATTATAACACATTGGTTGTTTTTCGCAGTTTTACCCAAATCCATCGGCATATAAAGTACCATATATTAGGATAGTTAGGATATAACTTACCCGTGGACCAAATCTCATTCAAATCCGTTCTGATGTTTAAAAGTGATTGAGTAACAAAAGTGCGAACACTCACATAATATTAGTATGATATAATAAATGTAATTGATAAATGAATATCGTTATTTACCTACCTATTTATAATGGTTAATTATTTACATACATAAAAATGTATGTAGGCAAAAATTATATCTCGTGTTTAAACAATAAATGAAATACCTAGATATTATAAACAACAATGCGTAAAATGGTAGGTATTTTATATTTATTGCGAAAAATAATTATTATTTATTACTAGCTTTTACCCGCGACTTTGCCCGCGTGACCAAGGTAAATTTACTAACTGGAATAAAAAGTAGCCTATGTAATTTTCCATCCCATACACTCATATATAGAGTCATTAACAAGAGTGGCATTGAATGCAGGTTAATATGTACCTAAATGTAAAAGCTGAGCTACTGCACTGACTAACACTAACTCGCAGCTAAAAATACAAAATTAGCAATTTAAAATTGCGCATTATGAAAATTAACATGAAATTACTAAAACTCTTGAATAACGCTTATGTTTTGCTTATACGGAACTGCAGATAGGACCTCTGCTTACTTAAATTTCCTAACAACGCTGCATTTAATCCTAGGCATGTATTTATGAAAATTAACCACAACATTAACCGGATTGACTTACACGTATTTTAACCGAGAATACCCGATTAGTTTAATAATAAAATAAAATTGTGGATAAAATAAACGAAATATTCGGTTGTACTCGTTAATATCACATTTTTTATCCTTCGGAGCGGATTCTGTATTATCACTTCGGCATGTTAATAAAAAGGAATATCTATTTAATATATCCGCGAGATTTTAACCTTTATAACTACCTACTTACTTACGGGAGCTTCAGATTTTTTGATGTGGTACTAATCGCTCCGTTGTCTGCCATTTCAAAAGCTGATAATATTTCGCCCAAAGAAGATTTAGCACTTTTATATAATTGAAGAATGTTATCAAAATTTTCAACACCTGAAATAATAATACAGATGAGCTGACATAATACCAGTTTAATGCCACTGTATTTAAAATACTTTATTAGGTAGATAAACAAGATTCCTTACCAAAAAAGCCTACAGTAACGGCTTTGGGTTTAACGGGACAGTGAATAGCCACTTTTGTTACGAGTCCTAAGGTACCTTCAGATCCTATAAATAAATGTTTAAGGTGATAACCGGTGTTGTCCTTTTTGAGAGCTTTTAAACAATCTATTATAGTTCCATCGGCTTTTACCTTTAAAAGAATACGTATAAGTATAGTAGGTATCATAAGGCTTCATAATACCTATAAATTCATGATTTCTTATAATATAAAAGATCTTACGGCTTCAACTCCCAATATCGACCCGTGAAGATTTCCATAGCGCAGCAACCGAACACCGCCAGCATTAGTGCTCACATTCCCGCCGATGTGGCAAGTTCCCTTAGCACCAAGATCCAAGGGCATAATAAGGTTGTGCTCACGCGCATAGTTGTCCAAGTTTTCTAAAATACATCCCGCTTCGCATGTCAAAGCTCCTATAAATAAATAAATTACACATATTATTTGTAATAAAAGATCCCACAAAAAATTCACTTCAACTGTGACATAACCAGTAATTATTATATAGAAATTAAACTATAAACGTTAAAAACGCGTCGTCTAAACTAATGATTTTATTCATTATGACAGATATGTATGTATGTATGTAAATTAAACTAATGAACTGATTTTGATAAAATTTCTGTAATACGAATCTGTAAGTTCGCCGTGTAATCGCGGCATAGAATAGGCCACCCCTTCCTTTCCCGTGGGTGTCGTAAGAGGCGACAAATTATGATGTAACAAAAATAAAAAAAATTAGAACATAATTATGTTCTAAATTCTGAATTCAGAACCTCTTTTTTTTAAGTCAGTTTAAAATATTTCCTTAAAAATAAAACAACTACTTCAATCTTGACAAAATTTATATAGAAGAAGTTATTGTGTAAAGTATTTGTATATATGAACACAAAAATTGAGAATTCGTTCTATTTTGAAGTCAATTGAGAAGAATTTTCAGTCATTCAAATCCACTGATGTCGTAATATTTTTTTTGTGAAACAAAATATACTTGTTTACTATTGATTAGGATAACCTTTACTCCCATGTTGAACCCATAGATACTAATTTTGTCAAGATTGCTGACCTTTTATAGAACAATATTAAATCATAATAGAACCATTACCGGCTAGTCGAAATCCAAATACCTGAAACGTCGTCTAAACTAATGATTTTATTCATTAGCATGAAGTTGATTACTATTTCATCGAACACTGGCACAGAACCGCCTACAAGTCCGGTATTTCCCCCTTGAGGACATACCGCTAGTTTTCTCTGATTACAATATGACAAAATATTCGAAACTTCTTGGGTTGTTTTTGGTTTTAATACTACTGATGATTGACCTGAAAAAACAAACTAGTTTGTAAGCGAGGAAAGGTATTGTTAATAATGGAGTCTACAGCCCAACAGCGATATATCTTATCAGGTCGATCTTCATGCGGTTCTTTCTGGAAATTATTGTAGTTAATTTTTGTAAAGTTCATCACGATGAACTGACTGATCTACTTTCATCTTCAACATTATCCGTCACTGGTGCCCCACCAGCATATACCAATAGTACAGGCGGAACTATCATAATATTTTTACCCAATAAAAAAACTGGTTTGTAAATAATATTATCATACTGTATAATAGATAAGAGTCTGCTATCTCACAGAATGGGCCCGTCTAAGAATAAAGGTCTTTTAAATTTAAATTTTCTACAAATTAAGCGTTAGTGAAAGAAAATTGCTCCAGAGCTAAATTGTACACGACCGCAAAAAAATAATTTAGAACCTGCTTACGTCTATTAAATATCTATAGGTACAGAAATAAATGAATTATTAATAATAGGGCTCTAGTACTCCTTGGTAACTAAGGATCAAATAACCAAGAATAACACGTTAGTCCTCAGGAATGGCAACGCATGGGGGAAATCATGGGCGAAATAGTATACTCTGTTATGTCCATGGTACTACTCTTGTCTATAGACGACGGTTAATACTTTCCATCAGGTGGGCCGTCAACTTATTTTGCATTCCAAGTTGCATAAAAAAAAGATCGTAGAAAGTCATAGTGATTTCGCCATAATGTGTCAACTGAACTGATTTCATCGTCATCACTTTATTCTCCATTGCTTCTCCGCAAGTGGCGTATTGGTATAAGCGGTGTAAAGGGATAAAGTCGGTATATATCATACTGACTTTATCCCTTTAAAAACCTATATTGTACACTACTGATTCATTATTTTTACCTCTACAATTTTTTATCCAATCGATGTTGAATGGTAAAACATCGGCTTCATCTGTAAGTACCCTCTCTTCGCCAAGTACCGATTTGAAGTAATCAACGTCACGTGCTTGTATTGAAGCGAATGCTTTCCGTCTGACGTTGTACTTGTCCTAGTAAAGAGATAATTAAAATAATAATCTAATCTTATACATAATTATTAAATATCATCATCAAGAATTCATTTCATGTGTCATGTAATTTTTATACCACACCTATACCTATACTACATGTAATGTGCCTACTATAAACAAAACAAACTGGAATAACAACAGAGTTTTAAACCTACCTAAGCAATTTGTACCCGAATTAAAGTACATTTGTTTAAAATACAAAATTACAATTGCAAAACAATTACAATTGTTGGCAATGAACATTCCAAAATTTTAAATTAGTACTTAATATACTAGCTAGATCTTATATCTTAACCTTATATTTAGTAGATAATTTTTAATTTTGGGAATTACCTACCTCCATGGCTACATATATGTATATTGGCCGTATGATAAATAAAATAATATATAAATATTAAATAGACCACCCCTTCCTTTCTCGTGGGTGTCGTAAGAGGCGACTAAGGGAGGGCGAAGGATGGACAGCTGCGTCCCTCTTAAAATATCTTCAGAGCCTAACTGCGGTTGCCAATCAGCCTACCAAGTATAGCAACTATTGGCAAACCCCTCCAAGAAGGCTTTTGTTTAATAGTGGACAGTTAAAGGTTGATATGATTATAATGGCTGTATACTAAAGGCAAATCTTTTAAAACGTCATCATAATTTATTGCCATAACGAATAGCCCTGGCCTTCTGCCTACTGACTCCCTGACAATTTGTAACATAATATTTTAACTTTCTTTTAAATTCAGCTGTCGGATTGCATAAGTGGTGCTAGTTCGTGGGTGGTGCAGTATATCCTGTGAAGTCTTTGTTGTAGTTCATAACTACAAGCGAGAGTAAATTTTTTTTTTAGTGGATGAAAATGGAATGCTAACCCTGCCTGCGCTAATGGGATACGCTGGCGGAGTACCAGTGAAGGGTGATCGATTAGAATGAAAATAGGCCAGTTAGCCCATCATGATGAATTCATCAGGAATTAACCATGATAGTTTCCAGGGGTAGCTTCCACGAGGAGGTCGACCTGGTTGGGTATATTGCTAGCAATGGGATTTGTAGTCTCCATTACTAACAATCCCTTTCCCCCCAGCGAGAGTTAATTAGGTACCACAGTCCATTAAATGGAACATAACTTTAATTACTATTACAACAACCGATACAAAAAAGTTATAATTTGTATCAGAATTGATAGTACATTGTCTATCCAATAATTTTAATGCCACACACCCATCGTTCCATGATAACTGTTTTATTTAAACTAGCTGACTCGGTAAACGTCGTTTGCCCCCTACCGCACTATAGCGGGTCGACTTTTTCTTAAAAGAATAAAAACTATCCTATTTCTCAAACTAAAACAATCAAGACACATGTACAAAATAGAAATGTTTGAATTGGCAGTTAGGAACAGTTAATATGGAGAAAATAAAAATGGGACTTTTACGTTTTTCCGAGCTAATATTTCTCTTCAAAATTCATAAAAAAAATATTTTTATTTAATTTCGGGACAATTTTTGTATGGGAATATGTATTTAGGTTTTATATTTTATAGTATACATTAATATTGAACGCTAAATATGTTTATTATTATTACCAAACAATATATAAAACAGACTATTATAGTCGCTAATTAATGTGTATTCGTTGATTACATATTATTACTTTGTAAATACCTAGGCGGGTTAATGTTTGAACTTGATTTAGTATGATAAATGTAATGATAAGAATTCCAATAAATAAAAGACATATAAGTAGGTACTTACTGCACTTAATTGTGGCAACACTTGTGATAAATATTTAACCTGTTCGAATACTGTCGGCCGCTTAATATTTGGTAATACTAGTTTCATTGGATTTAGCATTATGATAATTGGTTATGTATAAACGGAAAAATAAGTTAATTCCTCCAATATCTTATAGCGTACTCAATACGTTTCTTTTTTAAATTAATTTACGTCTATTTATCATGCCACTTCACAACATACTAACGTCACTTCGTGATACTAGTGCACTGCATAGCGTCATGACGATAATAAACAACCTTGGATTTTATAAGTTGTATAGGAATGGAAGCTTCACATTTGATAGTATTGCCAGCTTCAATAGATATTCGGTGCGACAAGGGACCAATCACAATAATTTATCAAGTCTTTGATAATTATAATAATAACACTATTTTTCTTTTAATAAATAAATTTGCCTGTTTTCACTACTATAAAAATAAAATTAGTCGCATCGTGTTTTAGTTATAGGTACCTTTCTATCTATCGATTTGAAGATTTCTATTATGAGACTAGCTGATTCAGCAAAGATTATTTTCTCCTATAGTACTGAAATGTATATTACTGTCATAAAAACAATCCTAGCTGTCAAGTTGAAGCAAACAATACACATTGATAAAATTTCCTCATAATCGGTTAAGCGAGTGAGTGACTCGAGTTGAACTAATTTACCTTTACTATGGCCATCTTGTCTTATGGTACTAATCATAGTATTTTATCTATTCTATAACTGATTGCCCACTTTTATAAGAAGCCCACACCTAAGAAAATTCTTAAACCAAATTTAATTTTCAAAACTAAGATCTCATTCAAACGTAAAAATAAAATGAGGACACGACCTATAGGCACCTTCTTACTTAATCAAAACAGGGCAATTTTGGCAATTATCAATTTCAAAAACTTTTGCAGCTAAGCATTTATAATGTGTATAATTTCCATATGTACGTAGGTAAGTACTTACTTACCAATTTTTATAAAGGTACTTCAGTAATTCTTTTCTATCTAAAAATTAACGTACCTACTTGCAGACCAAAAAAAAAAACAAGTGATACTTATTACTTATTACTTATTTCTTTATTTAGATATTTATAAATATTACAATCCAATGTATTATTAATGTATTTATTATTATAATACAATGTATTATTTTTCTATAAAAAAATAAATTTTCTTACTATTGTCGAGTATTGCCATTGTAGTGAATGTAACATTCAACAACCACGCGAATATATCGCCACACTAGATTTTTATTTATTTTATTTGATTCAAATAAAATCTTAAATTGTTAAAAGTTTGCCATTTGGTCTCACTTAGATCGTGTAGTTTCTAATTTTTTTATAATACTTTACGTCTAAGCTATTTAAACGAATCATGTAGCTACAATAAATCACGAAAAACAACAATAAAGTAGATATATAGATAATAGGTTATATAATATATTAGATAATAGATTAGTCCAAATCGATAATCTACTATTAAGTTCGATTCAAAATAGTATTAAACCTACTCTTTATATTCACAATTTATTCATATACATCGGGAAGGACCTTATAAGGGTTGAGAATCCCGTTTGGATCCATCACGTTCTTTAAATCACGCATGAGCTGTATCGCGTCCTCATCCACACTGTAGTGTATTAAATGTGGCTTGCGACATCCAACCCCATGTTCAGCGCTCACGGAACCATTTCTTTTAGCCACCTCTTCGAAAAGAAACGGCTCAATAATATTAGTTATTTCTGAACTGTATTCTGGAACTACAACGTCGATGTGAATATTTCCATCACCTATAAAAGATTTACATACATTTATTTTGATCATGTTGAGTGGTGTTATTTATTATTGTATATTAATTATAATAAAATAAATAGTAAAACACCATTTATTGAGTAATCAATGAACTGTATTTATTTGTTTTATTTATCAGGCGAGCAGCTAGCTCTTTTACGCTTATCTGTTACATTACCCTTTTTCGTAAAAAAGCGTAATGTAACAGATAATATACTGAATTTCACGGATTCACAAAAAGAACGGTCCTGATCCACCCGCATCCACTGACTTTCAACAATGTATTTGAGGTTCTCACTTCTACTAACTAATGGGGGGTCGTACTGCACTTCATTTTCGAGGTCGTCACTCAAGAACCTTTCTTCTTCATCGGTTGTCGGTTCTTCAAGCTATATAACCAGCCCATTACCACTTTAGCTTGCTTATTCTTCGAGCTATATCAATGACTTTGGTTATTTGCGAATATCCTCATTTCGGATTCTGTCACGCAAAGAAACTCCGAGCATAGCCCTCTCATAGCTCACTGAGTAATTTGAAATTTGTATACGGTAACCGCTGATTAAAGACCTTCGTCTTCAAATTTTGAAGTATCAGCCTAAATGAATTTCAATAATAAAGAAACACGATAAATACATACCAATATGTCCAAAACCGCATACTTTTGTGGCTTTGTCGCCCAATCTCTCACGCAGCAGTGGTACTATCTCGTAATAATGATTTTGAGGGAGCGATACGTCGTATGTATAAAGGTAGGCGCCTGCTAAATCTGCAGCTGGTATACTTTCACGGAATCTCCAAATATACTGTAGTGAAATAATTGCACGAAGTAAATACATATTGAAATATTATTATTATCTGTAAAATGCCATCAAAATTGGTTCAGTAGATTTAACGTGATATTCAAACAAAACAAATAAACAGGCCACCTACCACTTTAGTAGGTACACTACCACAAAAATAAGGAATATACCATTAAAATTTATTACTTAGATCGTCAAACGCATCAGCCGGGCATGTATCAATTGATAATTTGACACTTAGGTCAGTACAAGTAGATAAAAGTTGCAATAGATAACATTTAAACATGGTCGTTAATTGTATGGAAATAATATTTAGCTACACATAATTTTAGATAGGTATACCATAATTATTCGTATTTCGTTGATGGAAGGGAATAATATACGATAAACAGTAGGTCACCCGCTCATCACCAGGTGGCCCGTATGTTTGTTTGCCACATTTGTATGGTATAAAAAAAAATATGAATTAATTCTATGTACTACGTATTTATGTATTTATATAAACATTCCATACCTATTAAGCAATATGTGTGGTGTGTTTAATAATAATTATAATTTGGAAACGGTAAAGTTGTTATTATCTTACGAACACCCCGAGTAATGTGTTTGTTTTCTACATAACTAGCTCCTTTTATATTTCTACGTCATACTGCAATTAGTAAATTACCAAGTACCTAATTATAAACAAATTTTATTATTATTTGTTTATACTTTTGTACACATGAAATTGAATCATCGAACTCAAATACACAAAAATGCAATCTAACTGTTGCTGAAGATAAATCTTTTAAATCAGATTATAAATAAAACGTTAAACAGCCAACCTGCATTTTTCCTGGCTCGGAAGTAACAGTGCCGTCCAAAATGAGTCCACTTTCCATCTCTTTTGATAGGAACTGAGTTAATTTTTCTTCATCGTGAGTTTCATTGCTGCCATGAGTCTCAACTAACACATAAAATGGGTACTCTGATATTGGAAGACTGCAAAGGAATATTAATGTTGTTATATTATTCTCGAACTCTTTACATTTCTTTTGTAGCAAATAAATATATTGGCATGTAACTTTGCGAGTATATACCTAAATCACAAAAAAATTGTTGTTAGAAAATCCTTGACATTAAAAATTTGAACACACGTGTCCAAATATCCAACACGCATAAAAAAATTATTCGCGAAATTTTACTTAATATTTCGACAGACTTCTGTTTGATTGCCTTAACTGTTTGTCGAGTTCAAATCTATATAGGTGTAATCATTATTTCTTATTATTTTACTTTTATTATGTTTCTAGTTTGTTTATGTAGATACCTACTTACTTTTGATTGAGATATTTCGCACTACTGTTTAATGCTTCACGATCAATCATTTCAAATGCAGACAATATTTCACCCAATGATGATTTGGCACTTCTGTACAACTTTAAAATATTTTTGAAATTGTCAAGTCCTAAAAAAAGAATATCATTATATTATTAATCATATATATATATATATATATATATATATATATATATATATATATATAAAATTGTATAGAAATGGAGGAAGCCAGGACTACGGTATGCAGCGTTAGCTTAAAAGCAAGTGGTGGTCTGTAGCTTCAGCCTACTTCAAAGGGGAAAAATAATAATAATTATCAATAAAGTTTTTCTATGAATTATCTCACCAAAAAAACCAACTGTAACAGATTTTGGCTTAACAGGGCAGTGAATGGCAACTTTCGTCACGACGCCCAATGTACCCTCGGATCCTATAAATAAATGTTTCAAATGGTACCCTGTATTATCCTTTTTTAGCGTCTTAAGACAATTTATTATGGTACCATCGGCTTTTACCTGCAAAAAATATTTTTTATCCGATTATATTAGGTTACCATCATAGTTCTATATATTTTTCCCAATATCTACATTGACGGTCACATGTGTATCAATTTTTTTTATCTCTAAAACAAACAAGTCTACTTATTTGCTAGAAAAGATCTCTTCTGAACTTAATTTCTTTTTGTACAGTCTCTAAATATCTAATACACACAAAACAAAGTCATTGTCGGCGTCAGTTATTTGACTCAATTAAACCACGCAACCGATTTTAATACGAGTTTTACTGTATGTTATTTATTAATTTAATGTAATAATAAAATAAATAGATGCTTACAGCTTCAACTCCTAATATGGATCCATGCAAATTCCCATAGCGTAGTAGCCGAATTCCGCCAGCATTGGTACTCACATTCCCACCGATATGGCAAGTGCCCTTAGCACCAAGGTCTATGGGCATTATAAGTTCATGCTCACGCACATAATTATCCAAATTTTCTAAAATACATCCCGCTTCGCATACCAAAGTTCCTGTGAAAAAAGCCATCTCACTAATCTCAGCAAAATAATTTAGCAGTAAGGTTTTGTGTGAAATACCAGACTAGTATATAATTATTTTTCCTATTTATTTATTACTACCGATCTGGCCCGGCTTCGCACGGATAGATAAAATTTAAAATAAAATATAGCCTATATTAATCGCTGATAATGAAGATTTCTATAGATGAAAGAATTTTTAAAATCGGTTGAATTTATCCTTTACAAAAAAAAAAAAACAATAAAATTTTTTTGCTGTATAATATTAGTATGGAAAAAAAAATTGCAAAACAAACAACTTTTTATGGTCATCATCATTATCTTCATACCCTTATACCAATTATTATTTGGGGTTTTATCCATATTACTGAAGATTTTGACTTATATGATATAACTACAAATTTTCAATTTTCGGATTTTTCCCCTTTACTTGTGCTGTACAACATTGCTTCTTGCCAAATTTCATGATTCTAGATCAATGGGAAGTACTCTGGGTTTTGATTTCTTTGTAAATGTCGAAGTACATTAAAAACGGTCATGTCTTTTGATTGCGTTAACTTGGAAGTTTGATTTTTTGACAGCTTTAATGGATGCTGACTTGAGTATTTGCCATTAATTTCAGTTTGACATCTTAACGCGCTTCTTAGAAAATGGGTCTTGAAAGACGGACAGACAGACAGACAACAAAGAGATTTTAAAGGGTTATGTTTTTGTTTTTGAGGTACGAAACTCTATTAATATGTACATAATTAATTATATTTGAGCTATTATAACATAATAAACATACGAATTCAAGAGTGAGATTGTCTTCTGTTCAGATTTAAGATACCTAGCCTAGAAAAAATAGGAATGTATTTATTATTAGGCAAATAAATATTTACCTGAAATAGCATCCAAACTGATAATCTGGTTCATCAACGATAAATTAAGTATAACTTCATCAAACATTGGAACGCCTCCCCCTACAACGCTGGTGTTTCCACCTTGAGGACAAATAGCGATTTTCCTCTGATTACAATAAGATAAGATCTGTGATACTTCTTGAACACTTTTTGGCTTCAATACAATCTTCGATTGACCTGGTGAAAGATTTTGTCTATTATATTATTCTTTGAATTACTTATCTGACTGTACATATTTGTACAACACAGATAATATAATTCTAATAATAATTTGAGAATACTATACTCGTTAGTAATACTATATAAGTGACATAGTAATTTTTTATATAAATGAAGCCTCAGGTTCCATTCTCGGTCGGATCGAACTCTTCTCGGGTCAGAACACCTAATTTTCTGAAGTATGCATTTTTTACTACTTTGTATTCGTAATATCCTTGGTAGATACATATTTACAGCAACAAATAGATTTAAGATTTTGTTCCACAAAAAAATTGAGTTCAGTCGTGGAAAAATTTTGATTGAAAAACTAAACTACCTACTGAACCCATTTTAAACTTTTAGGTAAAAGAATCCAAATCAAGTTATAAATGACAGAGTCATGAGGTAACACACATAAAAAATGCAACCGAAAACATCTTTATTGAAGTCGGTTGAAAACAGTATTTTTGCTTTATAAAAAAGCTACTTAATTCAGTGACAAAATACACCAACGGGCAAGGAGATGTTTAGTAGACAAACTAAATTTTAATTAGCAATAAGTAACATTTTCTCTGCAAAGGAACAATTTCAATTACCAGTAACTACGTAAAAAAATATACCTCAAGGAAAGTCTAATTTAATAAACTTTCCTAATCAATATACAATCTTTTCTTAAAAAATATAATTTTCTTAAAATGTCAGCGTCGTTTAATTTTTCACTGTTTAATTTAGGTATTTTTTCGCCAATATTAAACTTTAAGGTCTCTTTACACACCTCTACAATTTTTAAACCAATCGACGTTAAATGGTAAAACATCACTGTCTTCTGTTAAAACTCTTTGAGCGCCAAGTATTTTTTTGAAGTAATCTAGATCCCTTGATTCAGCTGTGGTAAAGTCCTTTCGCGTTTTGTTATATTTCTCCTAAGGCAAAAGAAAGGTGCATTATAATAGAATAAAAAAATATTAATACTAAGAATTTCTGTGAATTTGTTTCATATAATTTACGATTTGGTACTACAAAAAAAACACTGACTTCAATCGTGACAAAATCAGTTATTTTGATTTCAAAAACTAATCTATTGAACCGATTTTGATAAAATTTTTATTGAACTAATCTGAAAGTATATTCGTTTTGAATAAAAAAAGATTGACAATTTTTTTCATAAATGACCGAATTTTGAAGTAATAAACATAAATAAAATACAACTCAATTGAGAACTTTTATTGAATGATAGCATTCATGTTAAGTACCTATTATAGCCAATTTGCTATGATTTCCTATATATATTATTATTTTCAGAACTGCTGTCTAAACACTATTATTCAATAAAAATCTCTGAAGAATCACACGTTAAAAACTGTTTTTAATGTTAACACATTAAAAATCTCCAGTCTCTAACAAGATAGGCAATAAAATATAAAAATAACTTACCGAAGAAAACTGTGGTAAAACTTGTGATGAATATTGAAGTTTAACCAAAACATTTTGCTTGGTTACATGTCTTACAAAAAGGTTTACAAAATTTAACATGATCAATAATGACTTTCATGCGTACATCTGCGAGTCACAAAATAAGTATAATCTTTGTAGGTACATCATCATAATGTTATCAAGCACCCATGTTATCTGTAATACTTATGTATTTAAACATCCCAGTGGTTATTTACATTACTGTAATTACTGGTTACTGTCATTTATGTATTCCATTTGTTGTTCTATCGATGATACGGGCAGCCTTTCTATTATCAATGGCCGCATTGCCTAGCCTAGCTAACTCTGTATATATATTGATTCAAACAAGCAAAGCCGCGGCAAACATATAGTATTTAATATTCTTTTTGATCTAATTTAATTTTTATATATTACGTGATATGCATGAATATTTTTACTTTTTTTATGGATGATAATGGAATTATATGTCCGACTGTGTTATTCGCCTACGCTGCCCAGTAAATGATGATAACTAAGGATGAAGTCAGGTTATTCGATCTATTGTGACTAATTCATCAGGAATTAACCATGATGGTACCAAAGAAAGACCGCGTGAAAGATGATCAGATAGGTTTTATTGCTAGCAATGGATATATTAACACGGATATTTTCTACTATCGCACTGCTGGGGAGAAAGGATTGTTAGTAATGAAGACCTGACAGCGATTGGGTTGCCCATCGCTATAAGGTCGGTAATAAGATTTTATATATTAAAGAGGGAGACTTTGTACAAAAGTCGATTGTTTGGGTACCTCTATCCCATTCGTGTATCAACCTTAAAGCAGTTGTGTTTGCATGGCTGTGTTTCGGTTTAAAGGGTGGGATATGGCGTGAGGACTGAGGTGTTATTCCTCTGTACCCAGTAAATACTGGGTACAGAGGAATAACACCTCAGTCCTCAGGAATGTCAACGCATGGGAGGTATCATGGGCGAAACAGTATACTCTGTTATGTCCTTAGTACTGCTCATGTCTATAGGCGACGGTTACCACTTTCCATCAGGTGGGCTGTCAGCTTGTTTACCATTCTAAGTAGTATAAAAAATATATATGAAATTAGGACAAACAGAATTAAGAAACACCGTTTATCTACTGTCGATTTTTTTATTTTATTTTTTTACAAAAGAAGAAAAGTTAAAATGGAATATTTTAACTTTTTTAACCCCGCCTACGCTATCGATATACGTTGCTATCGAGGCTTCGGTGAGAAATGATAAGTGAGAATGAAACCTGTCACTTAGCTCACGCCTATAGTGACGATTTCATAAAGAATTAATAAAGATGGCTTCAGGAGGAACCGTGTAAAGGTCGGCCTGACACGGTATATTACTAAAATAGGGGCTATTAAATAGCCTCTATTACTAACAATCCCTTTCCGCCTGCTACAAAGAATTATTCATACAAGACTGCTTTTTTTTTGGTGAATTTAATGAAAATAACAAATGACTAGTTATTTATGCATCTAACCGCATAGAGATCGACTTGACAGATATAATTCTCTACTGTTGTACTCTATATTAGCAGTAATAGGGCTTTTAGTTTTTGATTACTAACAGTCCTTTTTCCCGCTACTAAAAAATATTTGATATGTCAATTATTTGTTAATGACAAATTTTACATTACTATATTATATACTCGACATAATTTATGTAGAAGGTATGCAAGCAGGTTGTATTTAAAGTTGGTAGGGTTTTACGGCCGTATAACATTTTTTTACACTAACCTATAGCAGGTTGAACTGACAAAAATAGCAACTGATGGTGTAACTTTCGTCCTTTTTTTACTAATTATATTTGCATAAGAAGAAAGGAGGCAACCATATGATTAACAGTTTTTATTTTATCATTTCTTCTATGTAATTCCTTGTTCTTAGGGTACCTTATCAGTAAGTGATGACCTCAAGAATTTTTTATTTTTTATAAAAGATATAAATTTAATACAGGTAAAATTATTTAAGATGAAATTGTAGTAAAACATTATGCCCCTAAATAAGTGGCAAATGAATGTATTAATAGATTCGTTTTGGTTTGCATTCAAATTAGAAAGAACAAGATACCGAACAATAATTCAATCGATAAATTTGATTCGTTGACCATTTGTCTAGAGGATTGAATAATTTATTTATTCTGTAGTATTATATCATCTATTTTTGATATATATTGATTATCTGACATTTAACTGACATACCACTTGTCATTACCATGTGTGACACAGAGCTGTCAGAGTAGTGTGATGTGATTATTAAAATCTAATCGACAACATAACCACGTGTTTCAAATAACTTTTTTTATTTTATTTAATCATATTTAATTGTCATAATTACTATAATAGTTAAATTCAATAAAAATGGTTAAAGTAAAGAACAAAGAAAAGAAAAAGCAATTACCACAAGAAACTAAAAATACAGAGGAAAATGTGGTTATACTACCACCAGTCCGAAATTCTGATGATCCAATGCCGAAACAAGTAATCAAATTATTTATAATATCTTATGCTATTTCTATATTGCTAATTATAATTTTTCTCATTATACTTATGCATAGACTAAGAACAGACTGTTTACGGCAATACCATGAGATTTTTACATGGTATTTGCCTACTATAATTAACGATAGTAAATATTTAATATTAATTTAGGTAAAATGGATAAATAGGCAACGAGTACTGGTTTTTGCTGCGCGTGGCATTAATCATCGGCATCGACATCTTATGGAGGATATAAAAAAAATTATGCCTCACCATAAGTCAGAATCAAAAATGGAGAGAAGTAAAAACCTATATGTGGTCAATGAAATTAGTGAGATGAAGAATTGCAACAAATGTATTTTGTTTGAAGGCAGGAAAATGAGAGATTTGTATTTGTGGATGTCAAATATCCCCAATGGACCAAGTGTGAAGTTTTTAGTTGAAAACAGTAAGTAAAATAGTCTGATTATAAGCTGTGATAACTTTTACCTGTTACTGTGACATAAATATATTGATTGGCCGAGATAAAAAATATATTCTATATCCTAAATAGTATGTGCTATAAAATTTTGTAACTATTGGTTGTGCACTTAAAGCACTACTTATTAATACCTAATACAATTAAACATACTTTCATATTTATAATATTAGAATTATATGATTGCAAAAGGGTAATTGTAGTTTGGTGTTTGATGACAATAGCTAAAACTTCCAACTATCTGTGATTATCTTAATAATTTAGGCAGTTGAACTGTAGAATATTTTAGGTATGACACAGACACTTTATTTATGTATAAATAAAGTGTCTGTTTCATTTTAAAACTAAAAGAAAAAATAGCAAATGTAGTCATATCCATATATATGATGTTATATCCATAGATTCAAGATGAATTACTAAAAAATATTTATAAGTATATCATAAATAATTTTATCTTAAAGAAAAGTTATAATTTAATCTTCCCAAATGGAAAGCATTGAAAAATAAAAAACAAATTTTATCTCACCTTGTGAGATGATGTAATTTCTAATTCAATAAGATTACAATAAATGTAAGCTACAATAAAGATCTTGTTTTATTTTGCAGTTTATACTATGGGGGAGCTCAAGATGACGGGTAATTGTTTAAGAGGGTCCAGACCGTTATTGTCTTTTGACCCACAGTTCACAAAAGATCCACATTACAACCTATTAAAAGAATTACTTACTCAAATATTTGGTGTGCCTTACCACCATCCAAAAAGTCAACCATTTTTTGACCATGTGTACACTTTCATGATACTTGATAATAGAATATGGTTTAGAAATTACCAAATTTTGTCTGAGGATGGAGCATTAGCAGAAATTGGGCCAAGATTTGTATTAAACCCTGTAAGTAGTTATATTATATCTTATATTAGTTTTGTCTGCAATTTCTTTCATAGGAAATATTGATTGACTAGGCTAAAAGTATGTCCTACTCCATGCCAAATACTATCTGTATGTCTAACGATGACTGGTTGTCTATTTACAATATTAAGATGTAGCAAACTCACTTTCATATTTGTAAAAAATATTTAAACTATTGAAATTTGATTATTTTAGGTTAAAATATTTTCTGGATCATTTGGTGGTACAACTCTTTGGGAAAATCCAAAGTATGTAAGCCCAGCAAAACTTAGACAAGCATATTCTAAAAAGGCTGCTAGCAAGTATGAGTCGCGAGTGGAGAAAAAAGCAGTATATGAGGCAACAAAGCCTGAAACAGGTTATCCAGATATTGAAGGTGCTGATTTTTTCAAAGGTGATCCTATAGAAAAAGCACATGAAGTCTTGGTTGAAGGTAAATTGCATTGTTGATATTTCACTCTTGTTTTTTCTCAAATCTTTTTATTTCTATTTTTTTTAATAACCTTGTCTAAATATGATGATATATTTACGCACGCTATTATTACACTTACTCTTTATTATAACTAAATATTGTAAAAAAAAAAGAATACAGTGGCATCAACCATAAGAAACTGGTAACTTTTGGAAAAGGTTTACCAAATATTTTTTATAGTATTATTCTTTGTTACTTTCTATTACCTCTAATATGTATAAGTGAAAAAATAGGCTATTACAAAAGTCAGCATTTAGAAAATTCTAATTTATAATGAAAATTATTTTGTACAAACTTTAAAAAATATCATTAATTTATAAATTTTTCAGAGAAAATAAAAGAAGAAATTAATGATGCAGAACTAAATGAGCCGAAAGTGAAAAAACCAACATTCAGTATAAAAAAATCAAAGAGCAGACCAGATATGGCCATACGTCGTAAGCAACTGAAAGCCAAAAGTAAGGCTATCTCTGATCAAATAAAAAAGAGAAAACAGTTCAGAAAGAAATAAATCAGATGATATAAAGGTAAAACAAAATTTAATAAAAAAATTGTTACTTATCTTAAAAAGAATTTTATTTTAATTTTCAAATACAAATATGAATGAATTTCCTTATAAATAAATTAAGCTTACTCAAAAACTTATGCAATAGTCAAAGTAATGCTTCATTTACAAAGATGCTGAACTTAGTGTAAAAGTATAAATCATATAATAACAAACACTATTCCATAGAAATACGTTTAGCATATTATAGACGCGTATTGTTGCGTTAGAGGCGGATTCAGACGTGTAAATTGATTATATTCATGTTACAAATATAAGAATTTAATCAATATACATGCATAAAAAAAAGGTAAGTAAAAATAAGTTTATAATGCAAAGCTCCACATCTCTGTAAATGAAATATAAGGTATAGTCCAGAAAAATGCTAAATAACTTGTATGAGTATCAAGATTCCGAACAATTATAGTTTTTACCTTATTATATTATGCAGCAAGAATTAAGTTCAAAGAAATTAAATTATGTCTCAGTGTTGAAGAAATTTCACAAAAATGGGTAAAGGTAATCTTATTCAGCATATTTAATTATTATATATAATATATCAATGAATGGAAGATATTTAACAAAAAGAGGTAGAAAAGTTACAATTTAATCTTACAAATCTATTGAGATATTGAAATTATCAATAAAAATATTCGAATATAAAGTAACTTATCAAATATCATCAGTGATGTGTTCTAGTTGGGCTATGTTACCATTATTACAATCCACAATTTCACCATCCTTCCTTGATGTTATATTCAATAACAATACATACCACGACACATAATATACAAAGACAGGGGGGAAGGGACTGTTAGTAATACGGACTATATAGAATATATTACTAGCTATGGGACTGCCCATAGCTAGTAATATATTCTATAAGGTCTCCACGTGGTTTCCCCTGGAAAATCGTGCTGAATCCCAGGTGTATTCATCACGATGGGCAAACTGGCCTGCCTTTTCATTATTACCTATCATCTCTCACTGGTGCCCCGCCAGTGTATACCGTTAGCGCAGGCGTGGTTACCATTCTATTATCATCATACATCATCATCAATAAAAAAAATATATATATACAAAGACAGTCAACGATAGGAAATTTAGATCATTATAATCACTGTAGATATAGCTTATTTACTACCATTAATATAGCAAGCTCTATTCATCTTTATTATAGTTAAATATAATTTTGTAAATTTATTACGTCCATCAAGATCCGTGTACATTCCAGTGTTGTAAATATATCTTAAATCATTTGTCTTGTATAAAAATATAAAGAAAATCCTAATTTTAGGCTTAAAAACATTAAATTGGCGATAGATAACATTATTGTTTCCGACCATTGAGATACAAATTCTAAAAATTTTAACTGCATTGGAAAGTGGACGGTATATATGATAAATAAAAAATACATCAAGTAAAAACTGTAACTAAGTCTGTCTTTTAAAGATCAATTTTGTCACACAACCTAAAAAATTTCATCTATTCAGGCCTAATAAAATTACATATAAAATATACTTTCTTAATGTACAGTTTCGTATCATAATGATTGTGGCATGCAATGTTATACTATCTTAAGCCTGAACTCACGCAGGCTCCGTTTTCAGACACGCGTCGCCCTAATAAAAATATAAAAATTAGATTTGTACTTTAAGTAAATTTGAAAAAGTGTATAAATTAATACAACTAAATACATCTATTATATTAACAACTAGCTAAAGTGTATAAAATTTCAAAAATTCACACAATTATTATGGACAGATTATTACGTACTAATAATGATTTATATATCAATATTTTAAAATAAAATTATTATAGTAATTAAGCGTAAGATTTCTTATAAGCACTCTGGAGATCGCGGATCAACACTCGATTCAGCTGTGAAACAAATATTTTCTCATAATAATATACCATTGTGCTCTGTTACTAAATTTATCATTGTTTTTTTAACGAGTTACAGAATAACTTATAATTATGCAGTATACAACATAAATAGCATATCAGACAATAAAATGCACACATATTTAAATTTTACTTACCTAAAATCTAGAAAATATTACATAAATGGACCCATGCTTGGCCTAATACTAAACAACTTTGCTATAACATTCGACAAAAGCCACATCAAAGCAACTGCCAGTAACTTATTTTCATTTTTGACAAAATTAAATATAGAACGCTAGGCTTGACATGACTTAGGAGGATTAATAATATTCGACAATACCCCAGTATTGTAAATACATGGTTATTATCGATATATACATATATATCTCCTAAGATATAACAAACTTTAGAATATTTTTAAACGAACAAAACCCCAATATTTATAAATTGTAAAAACATGGTACATTTTAAGATTTATATTACATCAAACATTGCATTGTATGTGCATTTCATATGCTTTCATTTTTCACTTTATTCTAATTGATTTATTTTAAATTTTTAATATAAACAATAATAATATCATATTTTCATAGTAAAATTTAAAAATAATTATATTCATATAAAAATATCGATCATTCTTTCCCTTTCCACTTTAGTTAAGTTAAACATTGATAGAAGAGGAGATACTACAATAAACAATTCATTCACATCTACAACATTGCATTCAGCCGAACCCTGAGCAACAAGCACGACAAAAAAAATTAGTACTTCTCCTGCAAATCCTGCAGTTCGGCGCCATCTTGTTCGTCGCGCTGTTTGTGACCACCAAGTTCAGCAAGTCGGGAATGTTTCCATTTGCCTTCGGCACCGTTTATATTACGGTCTTCGCATACACATAGGAACAATGAGTCAACAACCATCTGCAAAGTAATGTCAAATTTAAAATTAACAAAAACTTGATTTAAAAAGTAAAAGGCTTTTCTCGTATTATTTTTATTTATTTATATCGTGATAAATAACTGTGATCTCTCTGGATGCAAATGCTACGTTACGTACTGTATGCCTTAAAGATAAAAGGTGTAATAAAAATAAACAAACCTCATATAGGGAGAGAATGCAATGTGCGATAAAGAAGGAGAATATGCAGATAACAAGTGTGGGGGCAGCAAAGAAGTGCAGCTCAGAGTTTCGTTTGAGGAGCAGCAAGCTCACGATGCCGGTCACCGCGGTCACAATGCACTTGCCCAAAAACAGTATAAAGTCGCCCACGCTGTTTATCGTAGCTACTTGTAATGCGTTGTTCACGACTGTGCTGAATGCCTGATGTTAATAACATTTTATCAAATAAAAAAAAAAACAACATCAAAAAATAATAAATATATAACGAGAGAGAAATGAGATAATCATCAGAATCAAGTATGTTATTTCATTTAAGAGATAGACTGCCGTAACAAATATTATACATATTAAAATGTTACCTTAGCAGCAGCCTTACAGAAGTGGCATCTCTCAATTGTAATAATAGTATACGCATTGTGGTTTAAATAGCGTATAAACTTCTCTAGGCAATAAAAGCAACATATTCCACATTTCAAGCCACATTTTGCACATTCAGATCCTTTTTCAGCCCGAGCTGACAATCTACAATAAGATAAAAAAGAATTATGTACTTTGTTCAAATCTAAGATCCTCCTTCCAAATTCAACTTCACCACATGAGAAATAATTTTATATGACTTAGTATAATTAGAATTTACACATTTTCTAAATATATTATTATTTATTATATTAGTGACAGGAGTTACACTCATAATTGATAAAATTTACACACAAGTTCAATTACCTTATATTTGATAAAATTTATGAACCGTTTATCATAACTAAGACTATTAAACTACTACTAATAGTATAAATTTTACTCACTTAGCATGTAGATACGTCAGAATTAGTCTTGGTATTTTAAATAATGTTATCAAGAAAGATCCCTTGGCAACAGAGCCCAAATGGTACTTTAAGAGCTTTCCTACTGAATACAAAACAGGTGAGTGAGCATTTGGACCTCTGAAATAGAAATTTTGCTTTATGAAAATAAAAAAAAAATATTTTAATTAGAAAATAGGTATATATTATAATATTTAACACGAAATAGTCCATGAGCATGACTGAATGCAAAATGTAGCATTCAGAAGCCGGCCTTAATACTCGCATGAGAACATGCAATAGAAAAAATATCAATAAAATAGAGAAGAAGGAATGATCCATAGTCAAAAGTAATACAAAAACAGTAACGAAAAACGTATTTCATTATAGATCTCTCAATTTAAAATGTTATAGTGTAAATGCAATATAGGTACCTAAAATACCAGTGGGATACAGCACCAGCAATAGTCATCTGTTGGCATCCCAATATAAACTCGCTGCCCCACACTAAGCATATGAGGCACATCCACCACATACTTTTCACCCACATTGGGTCGAACTGAATCGGATCGAGGGTATAAGCTGAAAAGAAAAATTATATTAAAATAACCATGACATCCAACATTCGCTTTAGTATATAGCTCCGATCAATTAGTTGAAACTATAATGGGTCAATTATTTCATAGACACCTACATTAAAAATATTTAAATTTAGAACGCGAAATCGCGTTTAAAGTCGTATTTGATTAAGCTGTTTATGATATAAACAGCTTTTTGCATCGTAAAGAAAAACGACAATGTCAATAGTCCACGGTGCTGTTAATGTATATATTGATGGTTGCCACTTTCCATCTTGTAGACCGTCAGCATGTTTGCCATTCTTGGTTACAAAAGAAAAATTAATGCACTTATTACTCAATATTTGGATAACAAAAATTCAATCCTAATAGTAAGTAATTAATACATACTCTTTAGACTAGCACTTTTGTCAACACTTTGCGCTTGAACGGCTGCTTTGTCCACTTGGTCTGGCATTGTGGTTCCATTAATGAAAAAGTTCGTGCGGTATGGTATTCCAGGGTAATTGGCTGTTGCTAAGCAAACCTAAAATAATAGGTATTTTTGAAAAATACGCACACAATTGTATTCCAAGGTGCAGATGTAACTAGGAACATTTTGTCAGTTGTCACCGTTTGTGTTGAACGTAAGTTTTGACTTGTTCACATTTTACTAAGAATATTAAAAAGTACAAAAAAGCAGGGATGAATCTACTGCCTTATACATAGTTTTATTAATTAGGTTAACTTCCTTAAGAGCTAGTTTGTCTAGTATGTATGGTATATTGGTAGGGAGTGTATGATATTATTATTGTATATAGCAAGACTTACCACAAAAATCTTAATACGATTTTAAAAATTCATAAATAGTTTTATAGATTTTATTACATACCCACGAAATAAATTATTTTATAAATAAAAAAAAAACTAGACTATATTAATAAGATGTCTATTATGTACTTCTCTATATCGAATGCTACGTATGTATCTACTAAATTTCATGACGATTGGTTAAGGCACTGAAAGGTAGAGGTTTTTAAATTATTTAAAATTATAATTAATATTATGTGGGGCATCTATATATTAAACCAAGTCTAAATTTAAATATGATCTTACAAGTACAGAAGAGTAACTTACCACAACAAGAGACCAAAATGCAAAGAATAGTACGAGGAAGAAGAATGTAATTATTGGCTGTAGGAAAAGTGACGGAATTGAACCGAGGCAGTGAGCGGTCTCCTTGAATAAGGCCGCTAGGAACGACACACGTGAACGCATTACAAAAACAAGCAACAGCAAAATTACCTGAAATGAAAATACATAATAAAATTCTATACGTAATATGAGAAAATGTATTAATTGTTTGAGGATCAAATAACCTATACTTCATTTTGTTTATATAAATTAGGTATTTATCTAGTTTGCATACTTCTCACTCCAGATTGAGCACTGATACAAAGACAATTGTATCAGTATCTGATCCTATTCATTACATTAAAAGAGTTTTTAATATTCCCACCACATATGCAGTGGATACAAATATATAATCCAAATTATACCTATACCTAATACTCAAAATATATAATAATACCAAATACCTTCAAATAATTGAATTACTTTATATGTATTATTAGTAAACTGGTAAATATGTACTTACAGTTATTATAGTGGCAATTATGGAGTACCACAAAAAAGCTTTTTCATTTTTCAGCGATTCCTAAAAAAATTAATAATTATTTATAAAATAATGCTAAATAATTTAAGATTAGTGTTTCGCCTATGTTCACTATATGTATCTTATACATAGTAAATAAATAAATTTGTTGCTGTGCAGAATTATGAAAATCGGTTCAGAATTTATGACAATACTGTTATTACTCCTAAGTAACATAAAAGAAAAAGATAGACACAAGACTAAGTTCCGCACTTGTTTGACAAACAAATGTTATAATTTTATTGCATGTATTTATGTAGGCATAGTACAGCAGATATATAGTACTATCTGCACAAATTTATACAAGAACAATTTATTTATCAGAAAATAAAGTTCTTTTTTTAACGACATAATTTATTCAAAGGCTGACTTACAAATAATAATAAGCATGGCCTAGAAAGGGTAAATAATCAGGAGCGATCAGAGATCTCGGTCAATAGGTCCACGCCTCTTACTTGAATGTCGGCATTACTTACATTATTAATACCTATTACTACTTATTTATTCTAGTTTTACCCATGACTACGTCGACCCCTTGCGACCCGGAAATATTGACTGACCGAAATATAAGAAGCCTATGTTCGCTTCATTTCAAAAAGTAAATGAATATCGAATTTCATGATAATCTCGATTATACCATTAAGATATCAAGAGGTAACAAACACACATTTATCAAATAGGAAGAATTTTATTCAATTTTCTATTGTTCTATTTTCACACCAAGTCCCTTGCTTTCAAAGATACCGGGGAGCCAGATAGACAGATAACTATTTAAACCACGTTATTTACTACTAATCAGAGCAAAGAGGTGATAAACTTATTTGATCAGCACATGAGATTCATATTTCATTCTTGTCAGTCCGTAAATTATGAAGAAAAGACATAAGTTACTTTAATCAATAAATAAGTAGTAAGCACTCAATCAATACAATTGGTATACATAATGGTAAGCGATTCACTCAGTAAAATCATAGCATGGTTCCATGTAAAAACTTGACTTTGTACGTCTATTTTTTATATTATTATTATAACATCTATATCATATACATTATCGAGTATCTCTGCATATCCTAAAGGTTAACTGGTAGAGAATACTAACAGTATTGAGTCCGTCTTTTGCACCATATTTTATTGGTCAATAAAGTTCAAATAAATTAATTAACAAGCAATAAAGTCTCCTTGCCCATCCCTCGACTATCAAATTCCCTTAATCACCTATTACGACACCCACAGGAAAGGAAGGGGTGGCCACATGGACAAATCGGACTAATACTAGTAATGAATTTTCCTAAACAGCTCTGCTTTGGGTAATTTAGATTGTAACTCCAGATATAAATTGCCTAATTTCTCATAACACCTCAACACTGTGCCCGTTCTATACCGAGACTATATGGACATTTATTATTTACTCATGTTTATTATGTTGAGTCATTTTGTGCGTAGGTAATAATGTATATAAATTGCCTCTCTATCAGGAAAGTACAGCACTGTTTACTGAATTATGACCCTATGGGGTCGATTCTGTTCAAGTATAAAATTAGGGCGAAATCACACTTCTAAAAACCAATACAAAATAAATTTATAATAGATCGGAGTTATAACTACTTTAGTATATAATGCTTGTGTCACACTATCAATCGTACACTTCATAAATACATTTTGATTCACAAAAAAAATGAGATGATACGTAAATATAATAGACCAAAATATATTTTAATTTATAATGCGAAACTATATGTCTGCAAGTAGAAGTAGTAGAAGTAAGTATAAAATTTTATGATTTACAAAAAGCAATCTTTTGCTCTGCAATGGAAAACGGTAGCTTTAATGCCATAAAACTAATATGGCTCCAACAAGGCCGTAAACTGATTTTTAAAATTCTTGCAATTAATAGCAATCGCCCAAATAATCTATGTATATCTATATATATCTCTTCCTTTTGAACGTCGCGTAAAAATGAAACTCATTGATTTTATATAATTCCGTGAAAAAAAAAAACAGCAACTTTAAAGTTACTAAAGAAAACGTTCAATGTATCGTTTATTCCTGTTTTGCTACGATTACGTCGCTGTTCTGCGAACTATCTTTTGTGTTTTGTGATTTTTTTCTTTAATTAAAAAAAGAAACAAACTTACAGATAAAAAACTCATCTCAGAGAAGTCCCTCTGCTTAGTTCTCAGCTCATGGTACGTGTACCATAACAAGCAAGTACCGGCTACGCTCACAATGGATACGATAATCATGAATATCCATGACACAAACGTCGCCAATAGATGCAGAATCGAAACCATAAGTAACGAGCAGACTGAAACAATATAAAATATTAACATATTTATATCATTAAGTACTTTTTTTATTGGATGTTCACGTAGTTTCCAGGGGGAACCACGTAGAGATCGACTTGACAGGGTACATTGCTAGCAATGGGACTGATAGTCCACATTACTAACAATCCCTTCCCTCCAATATCATTAGGTACTAGCTGGCCTGGCAAACGCTGTCTTGAGCACTACCGGGTGCACTTTTACTAAAAACTATCCTACCAAGTTAGAATAAATAGTACACATATATGTCATTAAAATCACTTGAGTGGTATCGGAGATCAGCATGACCGAATATCGTGATTTTTATAGAGATCTGTTTTCATTCATTCTCTCATTATTAATAGTTCTCCTTAATGAAACTAAAACACTAGAAAAATTGTCTTGATGTTTTTTCATGGCAATTTTTATCTTGCCTAGAGATAAATTAAACATATAAATTAATGATATTATTAATTTATTTACATAACATTTATCTAATATATTTTTATACTGTAATGCCGTTATCCGGTAAATAATGTCAATATAATGAAGTTTAATATGTAGGTATAGTCAAGGCGACCTAGAAACTCTTCACATCAATAGGTACCACCCTTACACGGGTAGTACATTAGTAACAAAAACAATATCGATTTTAACCTACCTTGAAACAGATTAAGAACTATGCCACTATAAAGATTTTTTTTAATAGATGATAATGGATTAGTAACTCTACTTGCGCTATTGTTATATACTACCAGAGCACCAGTAAAATAGGTGAAAATAAAAGCAGCAGTTGAGCAATCGTGATGAATTCAACAAGAATTAATTGAATCAGCGTGGACGTCGATCTATTAGAGTACATTGCTAGTAATAGGGCTATTTGATCCTATTATTAACTATCTTTCCCTCTGCTATAAAGAATTATTCATACAAAACTCCTTTTTTTTTATTTAAAAAAAATAACGAATATCTAATAGACATTTGCTAATTATTTCAGACAAATTTGATGATTATTAAAAATTTCCCAGAGGATCACTTTAGTCAGAATGCTTAAGTTTGCTTGTGGTTCAAAAATCCTTATTCATTATTGACTTGGAAATTGTTTTAAAAGCTGGAAATTAAAATACTGTTGCAGCACATTAATGAGATCACTACTCATTATAATAATAGACAATGAGTCAGCGGGTAAACGTCACTCGACGGTTACCTCCCCACGCAACAATTACATTATTACAGCATCTTACTATAGCACCTATCTAATACAATTTGAAACATTACAGGTACACGGCTCAAAATTGCATTGCAATAATAGATAGGACCTTGGAAATTTAAATATTATTTTTATACAGGTTAGTTTCGTAATTTGGTTCTGTACTCAGAAAGGTATATCACTTAATGTTCACCTATTTCAGTACTTTTATAAACTGTTAGTCAATCTAGACCCGCTAAAGAGACTGTAGCAATAGACATGTTACGAGTTCTTGATTAGATCAGTTGCCTTCTAGTTGAGGCTGAACCGATTTGATATTAGGTTAGAGACAAAAAACGAGCACCGATCTGAGCTTTTAATATTATTTACTCTTTAGTAATTATAAAAACAGAAAATATATATAAAAATATTTCCGAAAATAAATTATTATAGTTCATTTAATGAATATCAACTTAATAATTAGGTCTTAGTGCTTTAGAAGTACTACTATAGCAGTGTTACAAAAGTATAAGTTAGCGATACAATATTAACAAAAAATATTCTTTTTATTAACGAAAAAACCTAAAACCTCTATCGTGCAAGAAAAAAAAATCAATAAACACTTACGATTATGATAGAATTTATATTTTTTTTTTTATATAATTTAGAATGGCAAACAAGCTGACGGCCCACCTGATGGAAAGTGGTAACCGTCGCCTATAGACATGAGCAGTACCATGAACGTAATAGAGTATACTGTTTTGCCCATGATACCCCCCATGCGTTGCCATTCCTGAGGACTCAGGTGTTATTCCTCTGTACCCTGTAAATTCACGCCATATCCCACCCTTCAAACCGAAACACAGCCATGCAAACACAACTGCTTCACGGTAGAAACACGAATGGGACAGAAATACCCAAGCAATCGACTTTTGTACAGTCTCCCTCTGGTCTTATATACCTTAAATCATCAAAAGAACCCCTATGGATAGAAAAAAAAATATCCGGCATCAATCACGTAAAGTGTATAATAAAATATGTCACGAACTGATGTTTTTTTAACAAGGAGTCAAAACATCGGTAAAAATTTTAATGAGTAACGTATTATGTTGCCGGTAACAGTCATGAACTTTTCCAATAGAGGTGATCTCAAACAATAACTAGATCCCTGGTGAACATTTTGAAACCTTGATTTTTCTGTGAAATGCGCGTAGTATTAAAATGACCACCACAATATACACTTTGAAGGCACGGATATATAATGGAAAGCAATAAATATTCGTTTTGATTCGATTCCCATGACAAACTTCTACCACTACATTACTTACTATACGACAGTTCGTTCTAACACCTTAAAATATAGATGGTCAAGTATAGCATGATTTTCGAAACCTTGCATCCTGGGGAAAGTTATTCTCCAATTGCTGTAATGATAGAATAACTTTCCAACAATGCAACATTTGAAGAACCAAAAAAAGTGCATAAATATTTTTTAAGAATCATTAATGCAGTGCCCCATTAGTGCAGTGATATTACAGGTGTTCATAGTCCGTAATAATCAAATAGAAGTTAAATTCTTTAATTATTTGGCTTAGTTATTATAGTAAATAGTAACAACATTTTTGAGAGATACTTACTAAAAGCTATGATGACACATATAATCATTTCCTTCCAAGAGGAATAAAGATCGGACAGCATTTGTTCAACAGTATCCCAACTATTAAGAAGGTCATAAAAATCGTTAAATACTCGTTTCGCTAAGTCATGTGCTGATTTAGGGAAACATCTATTTAAAAGTGGAAATGAGTCATAAACAGGCAAAGTGGGACATGGACCAATAAAATTGTGCAGATCCTTAGTAGCAGTAACATTATTTGGATTAATATCATATCTGCAAAGATTTGAACCTGTTTCTTGATAAAAATTTCGTATATCAGTCAGAGACTCCATTTTTCTATTAGGACATTCTTTAACACATATTTTAAGAGATCTTCGTAGTTCTTTCACATCCATAAAAAATAAATATTTCTTGTCAATAGTGCTTATGCCCGCTAATGGAAAATTTATAAGTTTCTGGTTGTTCTTTACACCACATGTGTTTCCAAATGAATCAAATCCATTAATGAGTCTTTGTGGGTTACCATATACAAAAGATATTGCAGCAACAATTATCTAAAACAAAAAAACCTGTTAGAAACAAATTATTAGATTAAACCTATATATATATAATCAAACAAATACCCATTCGAACTTCAGAACAACACAGCTGTAGAGAGTAGATTTAAGAAGCTTTGACAAAAAAGGGAATGATAGATTAGTGGCAAGAACAGTTAAATACCTGTGCCAGAGCACATACTTAGTAATGTTCAAATATGTTGAGAAAAAATCTGTTTCATATTGTTTAAATCACAATTAATAATATAATGTACATAAAATCATATAATTTTTAAATCATCTGTGAGAGATAATAGGTGAAGTTGAAATCAGATCAGTTAGTTCATGATGACAAATTCAGGAGGAATTTATTAACCTATCATTATCTTATCACTTATTAGGATATAGATGAATATTTAAATGATAAAAATTTGTATTAAAAAAATAACACATAATATATAAATATTACTAGATAAGTAATTTTGGAAATCCTTCTAAAACTGATAATGATACTAATAAAAACATACAAAAATATAAACAACTACATTAAATTGCATTAAATTAAAATAGAACATACGGATATAAAAATACATTAAATTAATGTGGAATTTAATTGAAATTTAATTACATTGATGACATTAAAATTGGATTATTTAATAATTGAAATCTTTATGAAAATTTAAAGATCGACATCCTCCTCGCTTCTAATTGCTGTGTCCAACTATTTTACTATTTTGTTTCCAAAAATCATAAAATAATTTATCTCTGATACTATACCCCTAGAGAAGTTAGGGATGCCCCTCTGTGCCCTATTCTCTCCTCTTGATAATAAAACAATAGAACAACACAAGTCCTTCCAAATTATACAAATAAATAACAATACAATTGAACTTTGATAATTCAAGCCTCATTGAGTAGAAATCCATTAAGGATTTTCACCAAAAAAAATATAGTCATTCCAATCTGCTAAACGCCAAAATATAATACATATCAAATACTATAACTCGAACAATTAGATCAATATGATGTAATAAAAATATTTATCATACTCTATAGCTTATATTATAACAGCATAAAATATAAAACATGAAGATTTACAATCTAACAGTCTACTAACTATTAAGTTAATACTATTAAACTATGACTCTACAATTCAAAAAACATACTTGGAAACTGTGTTTCTAATTTGAATAGTAACCAAAATTTTATACTATTACATGGATACCTTCATACTGGAAATGTTTAGCATTTCTCTTTAATTTCGAGTTGTACTATATTTTTTCTCACAAACAAGCTATATTATATTAGACATACAATAGGTACCTATTGTTTACTAGATAAGAAAAAATAAAATTAATAATAAAAAAAAAGATTATTATGTATTATGTGCTAGGCATTATTTAAGTAATTTATATTTTTTATTTATGTAGGTATACATTATTTTCATTTACGCTAAAGGGTATAAACAATATTTTTCTAGAATTTATTTATTTTAATTTATTTTAAAGAATTTATGAACCTAATTTATAACTTACCATTAAAATCCAAAAAATAATATAAATAACCAGCCATAGAACATCAGTACACCCTTTTCTAGGCGTTTCATTTTGAGGCGATATTTCACTTTGTGTACAGCCCATTACAGGATATTACAAGAATTCAGTTGTCAGCAAAAATATACAAAAAAACACCCGTTTTTATATTGCGTTAAAAATAATTATAAATATTTCCAAACAAACAGCAAAAGACCAAGCGTCAAAAACAAAACATTTCAAATAATTATTTAGGGAGGAGCTCTTAATAAATAAATTGATAGACACAATAACTATATATTAGATATCGGTTATTCAATATATATAATGTCTATATGACAAACTCGATGTTTAAATATCGAACCCGGTGAACATGGCGTGGACAACATTTAAATCAGTGATGACTTTTTTTACGAACTCATTATACAAGATGTAAGGGACAGATTGGCAAAAACTGAAACAGTAAATTCAAAATTTTTTCTAAAATTGAAAACCAGTAGAAATTCTTTCCGAAAAATTTTAATTTGATTTTCCGTTTTATTTTTTCATTTAAAATTATGTAATCTATGACATAGAATATATATGATAAAGAAATAATAATATTTTATAGTGAAATGTAATATACGTATAAAAGCTCACTCACTTTTAAGAAATCAATATTAATATGAAATTCATGAGATCACTTCATTCATCATCTTCCTACCCTTATCTTAATTATTATTTGGGATTGGCATAATTATCCATGGTTTTATCCATATTACAAAAAGACTTGGCTTATAGTTTTATGACCGGCCGCTTGCCTGACGATGATGATGAGATCACTTCATTAAATATGAAAATTTTACATTATAAAGTAATTAAGTCTTTTTATGATGTTGATAGGCATCACAAAAAGATATTGATATTTTGGACAAAAGCATATTGTAAATAGTTGCACAACATGTAAAAGACATGGTATTGTAAACTGTATATAGTTGCAATACATGTATTTTAGTTTCTTCATACTCCCACCAAAATAGCTTTGTTGCGTAAATTTTTATCCCGTTATTACTCTCACTCTAACATACAGGTTATTGTATTTTCTTTCTCTTACATTGCCAATCTGTATACTTATGAAGTATGTAAACTTCCAACTATTGTTTAATTCGCTAAAGTTTCTCTTTGTATGATGTAAAACTCACATTGACAAAATTATAATAGAGCAAACTGTAACTAAACATAAGCGTTTGTTTTATTGTCCATATTTATTGAAAAATTTGAAAATTGATATTATGAAATAAGCTAAGTTTTTTAAGACATCAGTCGATAACGATATATTGAATGACGGCATATATAGATAGTGGTACATCCGTATGGATATTCATTTTCTATAATTTTCATGATGTTACTTCGAAAAGGTAACTTGCATTTCATTTTCCAGTTTTTGTGAATATAAGACCACTGCCAACTCTTACGACGTAATAATTACTTAATCTTTTTTCTTTTTTCCCTTTCTTATATTAAAGTAATAAAATAAAACTATAAATTTTCTTGTACTTTTATTAATTTTATGATTTAAATCTTAATATGTATTTCAATTTAATAAAAAACTTCAAAGTATCTGTTGTAAATTTATCTATGCATAATCGATATTTAAATAACAATGTTACGTGCATAACCAAAATACATAGAGAAATATACGCGAGAATGTATCCAACTCGAATAGTACAACCTGATGGTGCTTCGATTAACATTAGATATCATGAACCACGGAAGATTATTAAGGTAATTAATGAAATGATATATTAAATTTATGTATCATATTTATGTCTTTGCTTTTGTAAATAAGGAATTAAAGATTAAACTCAAATTCAAATCTACATTTATGTTGCAAATAACAAACATCATATAATAGGAGATAATTTAAAAATTATTAATAAACATATTTTGTAACATCATAGGGAGTACCTAATAGAGTAATGACAGATTTAAAATTCCTTTTATGGGATGTCTGACATTACACTCTTTTCTTAATAATTGTATACAATTATTAAGAAAAGCCTATAATTTAGAAATTTACTGTATAGTAAAGTCATTTCGATGTTATAACCACTTTGCCATTCTTGTGGTTCAACACCACTTTACGATGACTGCAGGTTCAAACCACAACAAAACAAACATTTATTCATGACCAGCAGGGTTACTCTTGAAATAAATATGAATAGATCAATATTGGAATTAAAATGTTTCACACGATTCACACAATTAGAGAGAATTGCAACAATAGCAACATAATAGTTCCATACTATTCTTATAGATGCATATTTGCAATGTAAATTGCATGCAATTTGCCAATGCAAACTATTACAAACTAATTTCAATTTTAACTTAATTTATAATTGTTATTTCATGAATGTAGTACAAAATAATTGGCCTTAAATTGGATTGATATTTATATTAGATTCAAGAGAAGGCCTGCTGGTCTGTATTAGTCATGTTTTCTGTGTGTGGTATGTAACAAAAAGTTTATCTATTATTTATTGTGTATAGTATAAGTTCTGCTTAGTTTGAGATTGGATGGTGCTGTGTAATATGTTCACTAATATTTATTATTATTTATTCTACTATTATTTTTTATTATTGAAAATCTTTCATATTTATTAAATATGAAAGATTTTCAAAATGTTTATATGTTATTCAACCACACCTAAACAGCTGAAAAAATTTGAAAGGAATTTTATACATTGGTGGGTGTTATATCCTAATAATATGGGATACTTTATATATTTTGAAGTATTTGGTCTAGGCCATGGGAAACAGCTAGTTATAAGAATCATAAACATCTTATAAACTTTCATGTTCAACAACTAAAACTTTCTACAATCTACTTTTCTTTTGTCTCTTTCTAAAATGTTGTTCACTTTTTTAAAATTGGGAATTTAATGTAGGAGAGATACAATTCAATAGCAAGAATAGATTTATGAGAGGTTTGACATTTTTAAAAATAAGGGGGTTATAGTATTAGCAAGATAAGTAATAAGGTATATATAATACATCAAAATATATATAATTGTATTATTAATATATATCTGGTAAGTTCACTTTTTACTTCTGACTGGTTTTAATGATTTTAAATAAAGAATGTTTTATAATATTTGGTAGTTAAATACATACTATTTTCTTTGATTACAGTTGCCGCTAAATTTGTCATTATTGTCTGAGGAAGAAAGGAGGATTAGACTAGAAAGAAGGAAACCAAAGAAAAAAGTCAAAATCATTGATGATGTTGAAGATAATTTTAATGCTAAAAAATATTTGAAATTTATGAAAAAGGGAAAAAAATAATATTTTTTTTTTTTAAATTGATTGCTTGGATTAGTTATTAGAAAATTTTTAATAATAGATTAAGATAATATATTTATGATTGATGACTGTATATATTTATTCATTTTAGCCATTAACTGTTCACTGCTGAACTTTGCCTTTCCCATAACTGGAGTTAAGACATGTTTTAAGAGAGATGTTGCTGCCATCCCTTTACTAATAAATTCTCTTAGTTGTTTCTTATTACACTTTCAAAAAATCATTTAAAACTCTTCTACATCTGAGTCTGTCGTTTACCATTTTGTGGAATCTATTAATTGAAAGATATCAAATCAAAAGGTGAGAACACACCAGTAGTTACATCTACTTGTTCTATTTTAAATATAGGTACATGTGTGTACTACCACATTTATATTAAAATATGAATTGTTTACAGAAAGCTTTTAAATTGAAAGTATATTAGTACATGACCTCCAATTTGCCTGCCTATCCTAATGGGAGATAGGCATGACAGATATGTATGTATGTATGTACCCCCAATTTATGGTCCTTAGAATTGGATTTATGTATTCTTTAATAAAAATTTGTTTGTCCAACAAAAGTAAATATAGTAAATATATTAAATATATTTCTAGTTTATTTTTCCAATGAGTGAAAATTAAGTATTTATTTTTTAACTAGCGACCCGACCCGGCTTCGCACGGGTATAACGCTGATACTAAATATACCTACTTACTATAGAATATCCTTATAAACGACTTTTAAAGCTTTTTTGTCATTATACAATATAAACATAATAAAGTCCTATAGGGAGAAGCGCGGCCTTCGACGCACTATTATAAAGACACGCGCCGCAGGCCGGGGTGATACCGCCGCACCGCTATGTCTCTGCATTTTAAATCTATAATATCTAAGGAAATATTTATTTAAATTACACGCTGCATAGGACCATATTGATCTATATTAAATGGTACTTAATTGGATAAAAATTAATGCTGTATTGCTTAAAATCACTTCGTAAATAAGTCATTTTTTTCCGTAAAAGGATAATAAATGTTTATTGTGGGTTATCCTTAAGAGATAGACATATACCATCGCGGACTTTTTTGTTGACCTTTTTAAGGTGTACAATGCTGTACATTATTTTGATTTATCTCGTGGGGTTCAGCCAGCGTTTATAATGTAAGCGCAAAAATGTGTTTATTTACGACATCACATTAGATCACATTTAGCAGAGGGAGACTTTGTTCAAAACTTGTTTGCTTGGGCACCTCTGTCCCATTCGTGTTTCAACCGCAAAGCAGTTGAGTTTGCATGGCTGTATTTCGGTTAGATGGGTGGGATATGGCGTGAATTTACAGGGTACAGAGGAAAAATACCTGAGTCCTCAGGAATGGCAACGCATTGAAGGTATCATGAGCGAAACAGTATACTCTGTTATGTCTATAGGCGACGGTTACCACTTTCCATTAGGTGGGCTGTTAGCTTGTTTGCCATTCTAAGTTGTATAAAAAAAAACCTCTAAATTTATCAGTGTTTCTCTACAATATTATGCATGTATTATACATATAAACCTTCCTCTTGAATCACTCTATCTATTAAAAAAAAACCGCTTCAAAATCCGTTGCGTAGTTTTAAAGAGTTAAGCATAGAGACGGACAGACACCGACAGCGACTTTGTTTTATACTATGTAGTGATGATAATTAATAATGAAATCGTAACCCTGACCGCGCTATCGGTATACACTGGCAGGGCACCAGTGAAGGATAATTGATGAGGATGAAAAGACTCATTGTGACGAATTCAACGATAAATTAGCCACGATAGTTTCAATATCAATTATCAAAATAATCAAATTATATCTTTAAACAAAACTAGGGTACCATATGAAATGTCTTCATTTGTATATATTTTAATACTTTTTTTAATGGGTGAAGATAAAATTGTAATCCCACCTGCACTATGGGTATACGTTGGCAGGGTACCCGTGAAGACTGACAGGTTAGGATGAAGGAAGGTCAGTTGGTCCATAGTAACCAATTGAACAAGAATTAACCAGTTATCCAGGGAGAATCGCGCGGAGGTCGACCTGATAGGGTATATTGCTAGCAATGGGACTAATAAATCTCGTTATTAACACTCCCTTTCCCTCCTATATTTTAATATTATCTTTTAATAATTTTTATATTATATAGTTTTTAATTTATGGCAAAAAAATCATTCCTCATCTTTATCACTCTTAAATAATTACAGTTAATAAAGGTATATGTGAATAATATAGTAAAATAATGTTTCTAACTAGCACTTTTTAAGAAATTAACAAAAAAACCTACAAAACAAACAGTTTTGCGGACCAGATTTTTGCCAGTTTAAAAAATTATGAATTATAAGAAATTACGAATCATAATATCAATAACAACTATTGGGTATATATTTTGTATAAGAAACTAATGTTATTGTATCTCATATCTGTGTTGTTTAATCTATAAATCAAAATACCTAGTTTTTGTACAAAAGTCCGTTTTTTTGTGGAACATAATGTTATATTATTTCAGTATTCTTACACCTACCTATTTCTCGATATTTCTACCGATATGGTACTATCTACTCCTATTGAAATACCAAAATGACACCTTTTTTTTGACTTCTAAGAATGCAAGAAAAATCTTGAGATTTTACCGATTTTCAATAATTACAAATGACTCTTCATTTATTTTTTACGGGAAATCCCATGTTGATTTATTAATATAAGTAAACTAAATATTAATAAATTTCTATGTATCATATCAACCGTTAACTGTCCATTCTTGGACAAAGACCATCCCCTATGGGGGGAATTTGCCAGTAGTTGCCAGTAAGCTTGGTAAACGGACTGGCAACCGCATTTAGGCTATGACAATGAAGAGTTAAATTTATGTGCAAACTGTTAGTTATTTTTAATAATTCCTGAAATTTATAATAATCGAAATTTTATTGAACTGTTTTTATTTTTGTTTCTAATAAAACTTATTTGGCAACTTTTCCGATTTCGTATATTGACGTTCGAGATCACTGAATTATTTACATGGATACTTTATTATTGATATTGTACATAGATATTTATGGAGTGAGGGGTGGAGGGTTGTTTTAGGTGATGTTAGGTTACCTTGGAATAAAAAAATTAGGTGACTTCTCATCCATTTTATCTGGCAACTCTGATCATATCTATGCTGGTAAAGATATTTTTTTATCTATGATAGAACTTATTGTCTTTACACGTAGTCTATATAATCTACGGTTTTATTTATTTCTTTTTGCTATATGATCCTTTTAAAAAATTAAAATAGTTTAAAAACCCTTTTGTAGGTACGTATTGTATATAATAATTTAAAAAGAATTAGATAGATCTTAGAAATTTGTCCTAATAAGAGATTCATTTTTAGTTCTTCGTATCTTTTCAGGAAAGTAATGACTTTCTAAACCTAACTTCAATTCATCTTACGTAAGTTTGTACAATTAACAACAGAATGGGGAATACAGTGTCTGCAGATGCTAATGTTAACATAAAAGCTACTACAAATAACTTAAATCCACCACCTGAATGTCCTATGCACAACAAAGGATCCAAGGAACAACAGGAAACGAAGAAAGTATCAGAATGCCCTGTACAACATGGCACTGGAAGTGATATTAACCCTTATAATATGGTAATGTACGCAATATCGATTCTTTATTAATAAAATAGTTTTTCTATTTGGATGACAATGGAAAGGCCACGCGGCTCACGCTCATGGTATACGCCAGCAGAGCACCAGTGAGGGATAACAGGTAATAATGAAAGCAGATCAGTTAGCTCATCGTGATGAATAGACCTGATATTCAGCACGATGGTTTCTAGGGGGACCATGTGGAAGTCATCCCGGTTGGGTATATTGCTAGCAATGGGACCCTTAGTCTCCGTTTACTAACAATTCCCCCCCCCCCCCCCAGATAGTTATTAGGGTTTATTGTTAACCATAATTATTATTTACAAAATTCAATCTTTTTTATACTACTGCAGTACACAGTGATGGAAGGGATTATTAGTAGTGTGGACTGCCAGTCCCATCACTAGCAACATACCCTGTCAGGTTTAATTCCCCACGGTCCCCCCTGGAAATCATTCCAGGTGTATTCATCATGATGGACTAACTGATCTGCCTTTTCATTCTCATCTATCATACCCCCACTGGTGCTACATCAGCATAAACAGTTAGTACAAGCAGAGTTACCATTACATTATCATGGAAAAAAACTGAAGTGGCAAATGAGCATCTTTCCCACTTGTCAGTGAGTACTGTAGTCTATGAATGCCTGCAATATCAGGAGTATTTATTACATACACATTGCTAACCCAGAAGTGTCCTCTATTTTTTTTAAAAGAATCTCATGCTATAGTCTCTTGAAAAAACTTTGGTTCATTTCATAACCTGAGTTTTTGTGGGAGGAAACATCTCTGAAACTGTGCTGTATATGACTATTCAGGCTCAAATGTATGGGGATGAACTCCCTGTCAGTGGTGAGCTGTAGAATCTTAGAAAGTGGCTGTAGGCATCATATTAAACAATTCTTCTGAGCACAGTCCATTGTATAAGCAGTCAAACATACAAAGTGAGGCAAAATGTCCTAACCCTTCTTAGTATAATGGTGGAAATTTCCATCATAACATTGAATGCCCAAAAATTATGTAAAAGAACAAATTCAATTTAAGTTGATTGTGTCAAATTTATTTTTTAACAATTTTTCCTTTAATTTTGAACATGAATTATATCACCTTTATTTATTTCACCAATAAAAAAATTCATGCAAAGAAGGGCTAATATGTAAGGATCCAATACTGCTTGTATGCCTGAAATTATCAATAATTCTCATAGTGTATGGTTGCACTGAGTTGAAGGATTAAATCTTGTAGCATTTATGGGAGATTAACACTTCATGTGGGGTTGAATTTGTGACTTATAGAGTTATTGATCCGGCGTAAAATGTTGCATCACTCTATTACGTACACTGCATCTTTTTGATGCTAGCTTCAACTTAAAGATGGCAATGGAACTGTATATCGCTAGAGATCTTGATACTAAGGATTGCAATGTTCTTAGAGATGATAAGGAAAAGGATGTGAAATTGCAGAGCCACAGCAAAATAGGGTTTATTTTCTGTGATAGTTTGTATCTTAGTGGGGTTAAACTGGATTAAATTTGTCATCTCCAATTGTAGACCCTGGCTATCATTCTATCTATCTCAGACAACCTGTTTACAACTCTTTTCCATAAAGTCTGTGATATTAATATGTAGACATTTAGTTTAAAATGTGGTAGTTTAAAGAGGCATATACATATACTTTTAGATATGTCTTTATGAAGTTTTGCATAGGCTGGCACCAGACATTTCTGGGGTGGGTACAGCCTACCCAGCCCCTATATGTCCAATAGTGAAAAATTAATAAATAGTGTTGATGATAAGAAAATAATTGTAATAACTTTAATTGCTGTATATAGATTTCATGAAAATTACAATAATAAAAAATTTCATAAATTAATAATTGTAAATAAATTTTAGATGCCTCCAGCAAACCAGCAACCATCCCCTGATCAACCTTTTCCTCTTCCAACGCAACGGCAAGTCTCGACAATTCCACGAGCTATGCCCGATGGTTCTACAGAATTTTGGGTATATCCAAGTCAGCAAATGTTTTGGAATGCCATGCTTCGTAAGGGATGGCGTTGGAAAGATGAAGATATAAAGCCAAAAGACATGGATGATATTATTAGAATCCACAATGCTAACAATGAACAGGTATTCATTATGTAACTTTCTATTAGTCTGTGGTATTTTTAACTGATAGTTTATGATCATTTCAGTAATCTAATGAGATAATGTTTTATAAATTTACAACAAAAGCCTTAGGGTGAGAGGGTGTTCAGGCAGAGGTCCAAGAACCTCCCTTCAAACAGGAGCCATAAATCAGTAAAGACTTGCATAAAATTTTACATTGGTATTTTTGAGTCATCAGAGTCTTTGGTGACCTTTTTAAAGTGGGCAATATTTAAGACTTAAAAAGCTGTGATCGTACACATATTGTATTCAAATAAAATTAAATATACATGTAAAATTTATTAGACATGTTTATTATAGGCATGGCAAGAAGTTCTGAAATGGGAAGCTTTACATGCTAAGGAGTGTGGACATCCCAGACTAAAAAGCTTTGGTGGAAAAGCTACACAGTACAGCCCTAGGGCTCGTATACGCTCTTGGCTTGGGTATGTATCCCATATTCTAGTATAATACACTTAACAATCTCACTTAAAATCTCAATTTAGTACTAAGTACTGTAATTTATCAAATACCATAGAGCCCTGGTTCTACTTCTCTATTGCTTGTTTAATATTAATAACATTAAAAGTATGTATAATGTATACAAATAGTCACAAAGTATTCATATCTTACCAACTCTTTCATTACAACAGTATTAAAAATTTAAACAAGTTTTTTTTTTTTAAGAAAAATCGTTTTTATTGCCCTGATATGTATACACTTTTAAAGATCCTTTACTTTTTCCAGGTATGAACTGCCATTTGATCGACATGATTGGATTGTGGATAGATGTGGAAAAGAAGTTCGCTATATTATTGACTATTATGATGGAGGCGAACTTGACAACAAGTATCAATTTGCGTTGCTAGATGTTAGACCAGCTATCGATAATTTCGAGAATGTTTGGGACAGAATGAAAGTCATGTATATGAGATATCGCTATGAATTGATTGGTAATAAAGGAGGAACCAAATTAACTAATTAATTTGTGTGTATTTGCAAATTTATCATTTATTTCCTTAAAAGTTTCTGTATTAAGGTGAATTGTACACATTAAATTTTATTTTTTGTGGAGTTCTTCTGTCGGCAACATTTGTCACTGCAGAAACTCTTTGTGATTGTTTTCTAACTATTTATTTTATTAGATATTCATACTAAACCAATTACGAGATTCCAAATATTTCATAATCTCATTAAGTATATTCATATTATACCTAAAGGTAGATGTATTATGATATCCTACTCGTATTACATTCGTCTTAACCCATTAATTCACTAATATATTATGAGTAAGTACACATTAATATAAGTAGTATGTACTTAAGACACATAAAACCATATGTAATTATGTACAAATAATTTTATTGTTGAAATAAAATTTTTTTGAGTTTGATTTCATCTTGTTAATACAACTATTTTTACAAAAAACTATGTCACTTTTAAATTATAAGTTATGGGTTTATTCTAAATTTACGAGTTGGTTATTTGATGTTTGTCCTTTGCACTCAATTTTGAAAATTTCAACTTGCTGTTCTATGTACCCCTCAAAATTACTGTAGGGACAAGATGGAAGAATTTTGAATTTAGGCTTCCCTTTGGTGGAATGATAAACAGATCTCAACATCAAAACAGGAGGCTTCTCTGGAAATTTAACACCTGTCAATTGAATAATTAAATTTAATTAGTTAAAGGGATAAAAATAGTTTAAATTAGTTGTTTGTCATAAGTATGTTGTCACCCCTTTTCACATCTCTAGGAATATTAAAAAAGGCGATTGCGGCATCAAGCACGATCTACCAATGCAAACGTAAACTAGAAATGGCCAGTTTATACGAGTAACTTCACTTATAGAAGAAATCTGTGTCCTGTAGTAGGGTGTTGATGGATTGTTACAAGCATCAGAGGGAGACTTTATACAAAAGTCGATTGCTTGGGTACCTCTGTCCCATTCGTGTTTCAACCGTGAAGGAGTTGTGTTTGCATGGCTGTGTTTCGGTTTGAAGGGTGGGATATAGCGTGAATTTACTGGGTACAGAGGAATAACACCTGAGTCCTCAGGAATGGCAACGCATGGGTGGTATCATGGGCGAAACAGTATTCTCTGTTATGTCCATGGTACTGTCATGTCTATAGGCGACGGTTACCACTTTCCATCAGGTGGGCCGTCAGCTTGTTTGCTATTCTAAGATCGATCGATCGATTTTGCTTGCCTGATGACATAGGAAGAATTATAGCAAAATTAAGTACTAATAAAATTTCCTATCGGAATGGATTCACGTAAACAAAATCACGGCCAACAGTTATATTCGCATATGGGGTCAGCTAAGCCGTTACACGTCGATCCATCGGGATTTTTTTGTGCTTCCCCCTGCCTTATACCATCATTTCATAGATCCTATGTGTTAACGATATCCCACGGTTTAAGATATCTGTAGTCCGCTGACTCTGGATAAGCTGTTCCCAGTATACTCATACGCATGCTTGCCAATGAATCAAAGTTGCATATCAAGTGCCATCACGGTCAACAGTTTATTATATTAGTAACATATTATTCTGGGACAGTGAATCTTTTTACGTAAGAATTTTTAGAATTGATTTAATAGTTGCAAAAAATTATAGAATAATATTTACTAATAAAGGAATAATCTGTGGATTGTAAGATTAACTTTATAGGCACAAAATAAGAATTTTATAAAAGTAGGAAAAAAATATACCAATGTCAATTTGTAATATCCAGTGAAAATCATTCATTTCAAAGAGAAATGATGCGTTGTTTGCATCATGCTCCAAAATAGCACCTTCATATTTTACAATAAGCTGAGCCAATAGTTCTCGTTTTAATCTTTCATTATTCAGGACATCTTGGATCTGAAACAATTGAATCAATTGACCATTACACTTGACCATATTGCCCATTACTACTGTTGACCACAGTATTTATGTTAAGCATTTAAAACTTATCGGATTGATCAAGAGGTTGTTTGCCAGATGTATAAAATAATTGTTTCTTGAATTTTCTTTGTTCAATATGTATCATACCTTTTTATTTAAAAGTTCCGTCACCATAGGCACATAGTCCATTAAAACTCCTGATTGATGCATTCTGCAAATTATACAAAATAATTCAATATATAGTTAAAACAACAAGAGAATATGTATTTAGAAACAGACATAAAAAAATAGTAGTTAATATGAGTAAGTTATAGGATTTGAAAGAAAAAAAAAGAAACAATAGTTCATGAAAATAGATAATCTTGCTAAAGAAATTAGATATAAATGAAGACTCAGACCTTATTGAATTTATATTGAAATAAAAAAAAAAATATTAGCACCACTACATATTATCTCAAAAATTTAAAAGTAGAAAAAGACTTTTGGTAGGTAATTTAAATAACCCGCGCCTATGAAAAAGAACAAGACACTTTATATCACAATCTATCTATTAATAAATTTCTTTGTCACCTGTCTAGGTAAACAGAGCTATTGGCTGGATACTTTCTTGTAGGATTATAATGCTACCATAGAAAAAAAGAAAACAAGTAGAAGTAAATCTCTTATGTAGTTTTTCAAAAGTCGGCATTTTTTTCTACGATTTTTTCGGGTCACTTTAGTAAAAAAGATATACATGTGATATACACAATGATACATTTAGTAAAAAAGTGCATATTATCAGATCATAAGTATATGGTTTAGTTTTATATTACATAGTTTAATTGCGCCATATGATTAGAAATTACACACACTCATACTTACCTGTACAGGATAGTGTAACAACGCCAAAGTGTGAGAGATCCAAGCAAGCAATTTTTAGTGTTCCTTTTAAAATTCGAAATATTACTTACAATGGTAAAGTTATGTTTCCCAGTGATTTCGTAAGTAGAGGTGATAATATTAATTCTGCATTTGTTGAATTTGGATACCTCACAAGAAGTAGTGCTGTGTCAATACCAGGATTTTCTTCTATACTGAAATCAGAACGTCATAGTTTGAAATTTGTATATATATATATTCTCCTTTTCTACATTAATGACAATAAGTCACTATTTATGATAGATACAGTTATGAATTGTACCATTATAAAATCTACTTGAAACAGACTGTCTATCTATCTATCCATTTAAGAGCTGCGCTCTTGTCGGTGGAGCTCTTGCCACTCACTACGATTTTCAGCGAGTCTCTTCACCTCTTGATACGACACGACACCAACTCCTTCCTTGATCTGCCTGATGTAACTATGTCTCGGTCTCCCTCTCCCCCTTCTTCCTTCTATTATAATGTTCATAAGTTCGTCGTGTCGTATCAAGTGTCCTAACATTTTTTCCCCTTCTGTCCTCAATAGTTCTAATAATTAAACATTGAAACAGACTTATATTAAAATTATTGGTCACCCATGTATTCATACATTTTTTACTTTTCTTTAAAATAAAGATAACAAAGGTACTACTTGTGATATATTTTGTTTCGTATTTTTTTAGGACGGCCATAAGTTGAACGTTTATAAGACTAAGATATATATATATATATATGCAATATATCTAATAAAGGTATTGTTTAATGTGTAGTATGCTTATTGTACTAACCCATCATTGTATAATTCAGGAAGCCTTGATGTATCCACATTTAGTTTAATAAGAAATTCAACCACATGGTTCCCAACCCAAACTTCAATATCATTTTCAGTTGTTAAAGCATCACCAAGTAATGCAGTGTATTCAAAATAAGCACGAGAACTTTCATCTTCATTAAGTTTTTTTATCTATAATATAAACTTCAATTAGTCATATAGTATACTTATTAAAAAAAAATTACCGAGTTGGAAAAGTTTGAATGAAGTTCCATAATTAGATAGTATGTTTTAAGATATCAATTTGGCTGTACAATCACTATTCTCTTTTTAATAGACTTTTGTGATAAGACTGTGTTATAATACGCACATTTATTGTGTACTTTGCACATAGGTGGGTTTCATGCCAGTCTTTTGATCAGTTTCCTAGAGACAATAAACAATCCTACATTCATCATTGTGCAATTTTGTGTATTGGAATGGAGCACACTGAATTGCATATCACTATTTCCACACTAAATAACATTGACATCTGCCAAAAGATATAATAGTACATTAAAATAGAATTTTCCGTACCTGATGGTTTTTATATAAAGAAACTAACTCTGATAGAACACAACTGAGTGCTTTAGGATCATTTTCATTCCAACTACACAAACTTGGTAATTTTTCTTCTAAAAATTCCTCATTAACATTGCTCAGAAAACTTTCATCATCAAATCTGAAGTCTGGTGCAAACCAAGGTGTTGTTGGATCAAATATAATTTCCCATTTTATTTTTTTAGAGCAATAAGGCAGCACTAATCGTAACTGGCTATCTGTTAAATCTGAACCAGCTACTTTTTCCAAGTCAACTTTGGTCTTACAAAGGCCTAAGAATAATAAAATAATATTAGATTTATTGTAAATGTATATGCCTGAGTTTTAATATAATCTACATATACAAAAATTAATCACCATTCATTAATCATGTTAATGTTAAAACTCAAAAATGGTTTAACTAATTTGAACAGTTTTTTTTTTTTATTTTATTTATTGTTATATAGGGGTGGTTTAAAGAAAAAAAAATAAAGTTGTTTAAAGGAAAAACTTAACTGATCAATTTTGCCTTATAATTATATATTTAAAAAAATCTAAATTCTCGAAATGGAGAAGAGTAGTTGTTTATAATCACATACCTATAAAAATATTTAGTAATTATTTTAAGTAAAAATTATTTACCTTCACAGATTAATTATTAGATTATAAGTTTTTACAAGATGGTATAAAAGTTACAAATATGAGAAAAAAGAATAAAAGTATTTTTTTATATTATTCACAGGAATATTTTATTATCAATAATTTACAACATTTTATTTAATGTTCTTTACATTGTTTGCCATTCTAAGTTACATAAAAAATATATATAACTTTTCCCATGTGGACCCGGCATAGAATAGGCCACCCCTTTCTTACCCCTGGGTGTCGTGAGATGCAACTATGAGAGGCAGAAAAATGGGCGGCAGTAGCATCTTTTTTAAAACATTTCCAAAGCCTAACTGTGGTTGCCAGGGGGGAAGGGATTGTTAGTAATGGGGAGATTAGTCCCCATTGCTATCAATATACCCTATCAGGTCGACCTCCACGTGGATCTCCCTGGAAATTATCGTGATTAGTTTATCATTGAATTCTTCACGATGGGCGAATTGACCTGCCCTTTTATCCTCACCTATCACCCCTCATTGGTACCCCGCCAGTGTATATCGATAGCGCAAGCGGGGTTATCATGCCATTTTTACCCATTAGAAATTGTGGTTGCCAATCCGCCTGCCAAGTGCGGCAATTACTGGCAAAACCCCCATAGGAGGAGGCTTATGTTCAGCAGTTGACAGTCAAAAGCTGATATGATGATATATTACTTACCAAGCTTCAATTCTTCGTAAACATTTTGTATGTACGGACGAAATATAGGAGATATATCATTTAAAATTCCAATACATTCTGAAGACATATTAAAAGACGATAGCTTATCTATATAGGTAATATTAATTAATTTATTAATCAATATCTCAAGAGAAAATATGTAATGATTTTGGAAATTGTAATATATATGGAAATTATCGGAAATACATTAGAATAAAATAATAAACATAGTAAGTAATTACCACAGATTACACAGAATAGATAATTATAAAAGGTAAATAGTTTTTCTCGTTGTCACTATCGAACAAAGAGTATATAATCACTACGTTATAGAAGTTAGCACCGGCCTTATATCGACATAAACTGAAGAAAAAAAAAGATTAAATGCATGTTACCTTTCCGAAGCGACAATATAATAAAATTATAAAAGAAAACCTAATGATTATCCATAGTGTTGTACCACTATCTATATATGCCTTCATTTAACATATCGATATCAACAGTTCATCATCATCACCATTGCAAAACTAACAAAAATATTGTAAAATAAACTTTTTCATAATTTTAAAATACTTTTATGTTTTTCGTTTGTTTCATGGAATGTTTCTTTAGTCTTTATTATTATATCACAATACATGAACATCTATACACGGCTGTTTTATTTTTGTCTAATTTTATTCTTTCGGTTCAAAGTGCTTGCCAAATTTACCTATAGCAAAACCAGCGACCAACAAAGAGTTGGACAGGTTCCATAAGTCATCACTAGCTACACGCACTAGTAAAAGGTCTTCGTCTTCAAACTTTGAGGTATTTTGGATGAAAAGAAGGTGTAGTTTTACGAATGCTGCCCAGCCGAGTAGGATTTGTCGGTTGACATCTCGATCGAAATTGGACTTATATATTTAGACAACTTTTTCCAGGTATACATACTCGTCGACAACTTCGAGTTAGTGTTCTCAGTCGTAACCGGTATAGGTGTGGCATGAATGCTAGACATGATTTTACGTCTTGTCCATTTTAAGTCTTGTCCATGTTCAACTTAAGACCTACCTGTTGAGAAGTATCTATAGTACTGAGAAAGGCAAATTGAAGGTGAGTGATATATTGGCCATTGATGTTCATAACATATCTTTTCCAGTCCAAAATTTGAAAATATCTTCTAATGAAGCTGTGAAGAATTTCGAATATATGACATCACCCTGTCTTTCACCTTTCTGCACTGGGATGGGTTTCGTGCTCTGGTTCTGTACTCGGATAGACATCGTAGCATTACTGAATCAAGAGTTGCCATGAAAAAACCTAGCCAGTTCATAATATAAAATTTTCAAGTTTTACTAAAAACATGGACAATATAAAATTAGTACATATTGTAAAATTAGTATACAATTTTTAAACTAATTTTTTTGACAGGCAAATACTGCAAATTTTCTATGTATTATATTTCTGTGTATTATACAAAAGGTGGAAGTATAGTACCGAGTCAAATAAAAATTTTAAGTGGAAACTGAATACTACAAATATAGTTAATTATTTATACATAATTTTATGTAAGTAGATCTTAAAATGATCACGAATAAGACTAAAATCATGTCTCACGTCCATATCACACTTATATCGGTTATGATTGAAAATGCTACGCTCGAAGTTTTTTTTTTTTTATAATAGGGAGCAAACGAGCATACGACTCATCTGATGTTGGGTGACAACAGCTGCCCATGATCACCCGTAATACCAGAGGTATCGCAGATGTGCTGCTGGCCTTTTAAAAAGAAATATACTCTTTTCTAGAAGGTTATGTTGTCGTATCGGTTCGGAAATACTGCTGCTGGAAGTTGATTCCAAAGAGTGCTTGTGCGTGGAAGAAAGTATATTGAAAAACGCACAGACGTCTGTACCTCCTGATGGTTGGGATGAAGTTTTAGTTTATGGCGGGTTGTATGGTGGTGAAAATCAGCAACAGGTATCAATCTGAACAATTCTTCGGAGCATTCCCTATGATATATTCGATAGAAAATGCACAGAGATGCAACATCTCTACGCAGTTTCAGTGGGTCAAGTCGGACAGTAAGGCGCTGGTCATCAATGATTCAAGCCGCTCGACTTTGAATGCAGTCTAACGAAAGAAGCTGGTACTGTTGCGCTCCTGCCTATAGGTGAGAACAGTATTGCATATGTGGCCTGACTTGAACGTTATACAATTTCAAACGGTGTTCCGGCATGAAATACTGTCTCACTCTATTGAGCACTCTAACTTTTTGGAGGCCATCTTAGCCTTTTTCTCCAGAAGACCGCAAAACGACTTCGCTGGATATAGCAATGCCAACGTCAGTTCCCTTGATAATAAATTGAGTCTAGGGACTTAAGTTATTGTCAAGGGAAGTGCCTTGAAAGTGAAGAGATACGACAAACGGCGTTTTTTTTTTGCGGTGAACGTGCAGACTTGTCTCTCCTTAGGGTTGAATTGGACAAGGTTCTGTTCACCTCAGATCAAAACTTGATCGAGTGAAGTTTTCAAGAAAGGTTCTTGAGTGGCGACCCCGTACAGGCAAACGCAGATGGAGTGACTTTAAACGCAATGTAGGGAGTCGATGGACGCAGGTGGTTTATTCTTTATATCTCGACTTCTGGCATATTATAGCAGTCTAGGGGGGAGGCCTAAGTTCAGTAGTGGACGGATAATGGATGGAATACTGATGATGATGAATTTTAAGTACTATTTATTTTCATAATATTACTTATAATTCAATTACCAAAGGGAAACTTTGTACAAAAGTCATTTGCTTGGGCACCTCTGTCCCATTCGTTTTTCTACTGTAAAGTAGTTGCGTTTGCATGGTTGTGTTTCGGTTTGAAGGATGAAATATGGCAGTGAATTTACAGAGTATAAAGGAATAACAGCTGAGTCCTCAGGAATGGCAATGCATGGGAGGTATTATGGGCGAAATAATTTGTTATGTCCATGGTACTGCTCATGTCTTTAGGCGACAGTTACTACTTTCAATCAGGTAAACCGTCAGCGTGTTTGCCAAGCTAAGTTGCATAAAAAAAAAATCGATTCATGTCGATAAACAGTAGGCACAATGACAGGAACAATACTACCAATTTTACCAATAATATTACCAATTTTGGTAAACTTATAAAATTAACTAAAATTTATAAGTTTACCAAAATTGGTAATATAGCTTAAAAATTAACTCCGCTGCTATGTATATGAATGAGTAAATTAATTATTTAGATAATACATGCAAACTTTAATTATTCTTACTTATATTAATTATTGTTTTCTCACCAGTTTAAATCTATTGAAAATTGAGCTAAAAACAACAACTTGCTATTTCAAAAACAGCGTAACAAAGAATAACTTTGTTACGCTGTTTTTGAAATAGCAAGTTTATCTATCATGGCGCCAATTCAAGATGACTATGGTTCTCATGGTGGCACAGAGTGGATATTATGTGATGATGGACGTGGGGGACGGTAACGTAATTTCAAATAGAAACGTCCTGCCCACAACAGTATTCGAACTGGTGCATGCTTTTTTATTATAATATATAATTCCATTTATTTGGGTTCGATTAGATATTAGCTAATTTATTTATAAGTTATAAAATACAATAATTATTCAAGTAATGGGATCGATTCAGCTGTACCCTTACGGTAAACATCTCTTAAAATTCAAATTTCAATTTGGTAACATAGGGAAGTCTCTCAAATTTATATTATTGAAGTTAAAATTATTAAATAACTAAATTTAGTTCATAGTGATCTATAATACCGCGATCTATAATATTTAAATATTTAAAATATGAAGTCAGAGCCTTAAAGTAATTAAACGATTTCTTGGCTACAATGCTATAAAAAATTTACATGACAGAGTTAATCTTATTTGTGATCCAACTTTCGGTGAATTTCAGTTCATTTTTTCTGGTAACACTGGTCTTCAGATCAGTCAGTTGCTTAGTCGGTTTATTGTAATTTTGTCGTTTTGCTCGTTCTAAATAATATTACACAGGCATCAAGTTTTTTATTTCTTTTTCCACATAGATTTCACTCTTATAAATAATTTGGGGTCATCATCTTCATAATTGTTTTTAAAATATTATTTTTCTACATTAGTGGAAAAGGTAGATTGGTGCAAGGCGTCTGTATTTTGCAAGCACTGATTACTTTCTGATAATTTATGGAATAAAAATATGAAAGATATGAATTCGTCAATACAAAACACCGCGTCCGAATTATTAAAGTTAGCAAGAAACTTTAACTGTTTCTATTTAGGAGGTAAGTGTTTTTTGTGTAGGTACTTACTAATAAGAATATTTTTTATTCTAAGTAAACTTTCAATATTTTTTTTAATAATTTTACCGCCTAAACTTAGGTTATTAATGAAATTATTTAAGTATTATAATTATTTTTATAAAGTTAATGCACTTAAGTGAGTACCTATTTTTTAAAACTGTCTATATTTTATATATATGTTTTAGGTTTGCATCAAGGAACATGTAAACCATTTTTAGTGGCTGGTCATCAAGTGGGTCTCATTAGACCAAATGTGCTAAAGTACCTACAGAGATTTCCTGAGGTTAATATTTTGCTGTTTTATTAAATACTAGTATATATCCACTCACTTGCTTTTCTCATGTGATAATAATTAACTGATGATTAACTATATTGGATAAAAAGTGGCCTGTTATACTTTAAAATATTGAAAATAAACCTCAATTTTTTTTAGGTGGGTAGTTTACTTAAATTAACTGTCAACCTAAATAATAGCAGGTTTTATAATTTAGTTAAGAAATACTACTTTTCCTTAGCATGGTCAAGGAAAAATGTTTTTAAATTGACTTAAAAAGATAACAAGGTTCTCAGTAAGGTTTTTTGTTTGTTACCTTATAACTGATAGTTATAAACAGATTTTGTAAATTCTTTTTATCTGAAAGGGGTTTTCTTTAGATTTTACCAATATAGTTCAGAAGTTTTTAAATCATAATAATTGGTTTTGCCGCCATATTTGAAGTCTTTTTTTGTGGAACATCATCTTAATTTTTTATTTTATTAACTAGGTTAAGAAACTGCCTTTTTAGGTATTTATTTCTTTTTTTTTTAAATAAAATTTATTTGCTAATTGTGTTAGGTAGGTTGATATTCTGAAATATTATATGTATTTATGTAAATTTTCATAATGATTGATTGAACAGTTAATGGGTCAAAAAGTAACAAATTCATTTTAACATTTGTAATGTATAAATTGTATATGTAGGTATAATTAAATAGTGGAATTTTTTTAATGTATGATCTTTTTATCAACAGTTAGTTCAAATTCCAAAGTACTAATTAATTAGATAAATAATAATAACAGATAAAATGTCTTAAACAGATGGGAATAATTTTATCTAAAATTTTTCCTAGTAATTTTTTTTTAAATTAAATTATGACATATGACACCAAATTAGGTATAATAATGTGCTCTCTATCCAGAATTTTATTAGACCCTAAGGTAGGTTCATTCTGTTAATATCTTCTTCATCTTTTTTAAAATCACTGATATTAATAACTAGTTAGTATAAAGAATTGGGATTAATTAGTGTTGTAGTGCAATATAGTTATAGAAAATTCAATTTGATAAATAATTTACTATGACTACATTGCATATATTCATCTCGGGGATACCTGATGTTTCTTAAATTTTATTGGAGGCTTATTGCAGAGTTAATGTGTATGTAAATGTGTGTAAGTTTTGTAATTAGCAAGCAATTTTAAGATTTTTATTGTGACCAAACTAAAATGTATGCTAAGGATTTCATCTTAATTATTAATTTCATTAATGGACAAAATATCCCTCATTTAGACTGAAGACTGAAGTACTCAACATATTTTATATTTATCAATTGATTTTTATTAAATATTTTACAGGTGTTTAATATAACTGATAAACATGTAGAATTGAATCCTGCCTTCCGAGATTATAAACAAAGGACAATGAGAGTTGCAGAGGTATTACAAAATCTTAGAACTGAAAATGAAATTTGTGCTCTCAAAGGTTGGCGTGATGAGGTTTGTAAAATAAATAATAAAGTAGTAGTCATATATTAGAATCAATTCTTGATTCTAAAAATGTAAATATTGAATTATTATTATATATTTAAATAAATAGATAATCTTTAATGTTCCCCCAAAACAATTACAGTAATAAACTTAGTAGAAATACAAAAAAGAAAAATATACTTATTATACTTTTTACTTCTGGTTGTGATCACTATTAGAACAGCTATCACTTGAATTGCTGTTGTTGAAGAAATAAAAAAATAAAAAAGAAAAAAAACTATGACAAGATGACATTTGGGTATTCAGTTTTTTCCTGGGCACCCATGAAACTTTTAATTGAAGATGTTTCAAGTTATTTGCTTATCAGTATCGACTGATTGAAATTGATCTCTCTGTGACACAAAAATAGTTTAGGGTCTGAAATTTCCAACTTTTCTGAAGTCTTGCAATTTAGAGAAATAATAAAATAAATCTAGAAAACATAAGTAGACTAACTTTATATATTGACTCAGGGTATGTAATCTCTTAATCTTCAAATAACTTTCAAGTTTGTGCAGATAAGATATCTATATAATGTGTATAGTGTTGGATCAAATTATTATCAATTTTTTTTTTTTTTTTTTTAATTGATGATAATGGAATGGCAACCCCACCCGCGCTATCGGTATACACCGGCGGGGCACCAGTGAAGGATGATAGATGAGGATGAAGCAGGTCAGTTAGCCCATCGTGACGAATTCAACAAGAATTGTTCACGATGGTTTCCAGGGGGAACCACGTGGAGGTCGACCTGATAGGGCATATTGCTAGCAATGGGGCTGTCAAACTCCATTACTAACAATCCCTTTCCCCCCAATTATTATCAATTGTAAATTGCACATGAATTTGGGTTACTTAGTGTATAATAGAATACTAATTAATATGGTATTATGATAGTAATATAATAGGTTAGATCTTATCAGCTTAGCGGATGCAAATAGGTTAGATAATTTTTATATTAATTTTTCTTAACAAAAACAAAACCAGCAAATTCTTTCTCAGGAAATACTAGAACTCTAGCTATTTTCTAAGTTTAAATTTCGCCCGTAGTTAATTTATTCGAAGCATTTGCAACAAAAGTCCGGTATGCAGGTAGATACTATTTGCCTGTAGTCGCGTTACATTAAGTCTTGATTGAGTATTTATATTTCTCCTATACTTTAATAAACGTTATTCAACAAGGATCTTCAACAAGTTTCAGAGATATACAGCCCTATAAATTTTTCTCTATATACTTTGAGATTACTTACCAACTATATTAATGCACCATCCTAGAACTCTAGAAACGACAACAAATGAGTTTATCAACTCTTTAATCATCATCATCAGAAATCAACGCTTCATTCTATAACTTATACCTATATGCATATTCAAACATAATTAATTATTAGTTTATTTGAAATATTTATATTTTTATTAATTTGCTTTTATTATTATATCCTTATATATATCCTTATATATGTATACATCTCAAATATCTATATTACACTTTCTTACAGTGCTTTGAAGTAAGTACACCATTTCATCACGAAAGTCTTTTGGAAATGGATCGGAGCGCTGTTTGTCTGTTTGGAATTAGAAATTATGGTGTCAGTGTTACTGGCTACTTGTATCATCCTACCAAAGGATTATGCATCTGGTTACAACAAAGAAGTTTTACAAAACAAACTTGGCCTGGTGAGTAAAATGAAATATATGGAAATAAATGTATTTGTGTGATTTTTATATTTAAATTATGACATGAACAAGATTATTAGATTGTTATATTTGCAATACCAATAGTTAATTAACAGCTAGAACTCTTGGTTTCTATGTACGTTTTTAATCCTTTACATAATTTTTAATTTCTTGGAAAAGAGAAAAACTCAATAACTGCTCTCAATTCTCAAACTGGAACCGGCATATGAGACTCCTGCATTTATGCAGGCAATTTTAATTTTATTTGCAAGTTTTTTATAGATACTAATTCTGAGGAGTATGTACCTTACTTTATGCCCGTCAAGTTAATTTTACACTGGTGCATTAATATTCTATTTATTAAACTACATCAAGCTGGTTACAAGGTTACAAGTTGCGTCAAAGATACAAAAGTACATGGGTACATACAATATAATGTATTGTTACTTTTTTTTGGCAGGAAAGTGGGATTGCTTTGTTAGTGGTGGACTAGCAGTAGGCTATGGAATACTAGAAACAACAATTAAAGAAGCTGCTGAAGAGGCATCTGTAGAAGGAGATTTAGTTAAAAAATTGGTCCCAGCTGGTTGTGTTAGGTAAGAAGTTTTATACTAAATATAATAATTAAAATATACAGAGTTTGATCTTTGCACTATTGTTTTTTATTTTGATGGGTTTGTGCTTGACAGTAGAAAATACTTATTCATCATTTTTACTTGAAGAGTCCTAGTTTGTATTTTTATGATAAGTTAGTCTAGCTTCCAGTACATCAGCATGCTTCTACTTTATACAATATATAAAGAATGTATTTTTTTTGTAGCTTTTATTTTGAAAGTGAAAGGGGATTATTTCCAAACACTGAATATGTGTATGACCTCGAATTGCCATTGGATTTTGCACCACGTAATGCTGATGGTGAAGTGGAATCTTTTGAATTACTTACTGCAGAGGAATGTATACAGCGGGCTCTCTCGCCTCAGTTTAAAACTACCAGCGCCCCCGTATTGTTGGACTTCTTGATACGAAAAGGATATATAAATCCAGAGAATGGTGAGAATTAATTTTATCAGTGGTGTTTTTATTTTAAAAGAAATATTTTCCTTAAATTATTTTGGATAGGGTTACAATTTGATTTTTCGATTGTTTTTTGTAATACATCTAGTATTGGCGTTTACAGACTACGCTTATACTTGTTGTCAGGCAGGTTCTATGATAGTTTTCCATCATTGCAGTTCAAGAACACATCATTTATTATACTCCGTGGCATTGTATGCTTGTAAGGTCTGCAATAAAAAAATATATATCTATACTTACTATTAGGTTTTCTATATAGATATCCAGAAAGTTAAAAGCTTCATGAAGTGAAATTTATCTCTCCTGCTGTCTGTCTCTTCATGTTTCATTGGCAGCTAATTAACATTATGTTATTATTGTGATCTTCAGAGCCGAACTACCGCTACCTGGTGGAGTTGCTGCACGTTCCACTGCAATCCATCTATAATTGGCCATACACAGCTGTAGCGACAGTTAATAGAGATTCCGACGAATTACATACACAGAATTAGCTCATAATTAGTTCATTCTATTTATTATTTTACAATATTTAAAGTAACATCGAATATTTTGAAAATTTGCTGTTTTGACTTAAATAATGAACACTAAATATCTAATTTTCAATAGTAGTAATGATAAGTTTTTGTATTAAACAGGGCCTTATTTTAAATTATCACATAGGTAATGTAAGTTACCAAACTAGTAGTTTTTCAAAATGTACTCGCTGTCAACACTGACCAAATCCTTATATTTGAAAATGTCATGATAGTTTTAGCTAGGTACGGTTAATTTCTGTGATACTTTACCAGTTTGGTATAAGACATTGTATAATATATTTAGTTGTTTTGTCAACCATGAGGAATGTTTATCTTCCTGAAGGATTAATTATAATTATTTATTGTATTTTTAATTATGATTGAATAATTACGTGCTTTTTAAATGTTAATTTCCACAACTTTTCAGGACAAAATTTATACCTACATGTATTCTAAACAATTTAGTTACGAGTTAATGTTGTAATAGTTAATTAAAAGGAAAAAATTAATCCATAGAACTACATCGTTTGAACTCCAGTCTTCTACTTAAACCATATATTTCGTAATACATTGTACATATATTGACTTTATAGTATTAATAGATTACAATGTATACTTTGTGTGTTTATATATGCATTGCAAACAATTTAAGGGATTAATTGGATATAAGTAATACGACAACAATATAATTTTTTATAATGTATGCAAACATGCATACCATTCAAAAGAGCAATCGCACCAATTATTTGCAGTTCATTTTTAAATACCATTCATATATTAAACAGAAATGGAAGTCCAGTGATAGTGATTTTTGTAAAAGTAAATTTTCCTCAGAACATTAATAGAAATTTTAAACTTTGACACACGAGTTTGTTTAGACTAATAAACTAATTTCATAAATTAGATATAAATAAGTATAACCAAAATTATTGTACTCTGATAAACTGGGCCTAATATTATCATATCCAAAAATGTATAATAACAACAGCAAACTTCTCAAACAACAAGTTTTACCCGTGACATGATACATTACGGTTAATATTACGAATCCAGCAAACATAATTTTTGGACTGGAATAACTGAATTTTTATTATGAAATTTGAATATAGTAGAGATTATCCGCTCACCATTTATACGAATTCGCGATTTTACTAATTAATAACAGCGATTAGATAACTTTGTAAATAACAATCTTTTAATAAAAATTGATTTTGACTGGTTTTTGTTGTTTTGAATGGACGTACATGTACATGTACGTGAATGAGGTTGAAGTAGCAATTTAACGTAAATTAAATTATCCGGATTTTCGATTATCCGAATGCTTGCGATAACAAGTTAATCGAGTTTCGACTATATTTACTTTATATATTTGCTCTGTTTAATTATATAATTAACATGTTCATTTTATTTGTATTGTAGATTTTTGTAGTTGGCAATTGTACTTTTAATTCAAGACCATTTCGATTAAGTCATGGACCGAGCTTTATAGCTCTAAAGTGACAAATGATCTATTGGTAGTTTTTGTTATCGCATGCATGTGAAAAGAACAAGACGTCGTATATCTAAGAGACGACATCCAAGAAGACAAATCGTGTTTATTATAAGTCTTCGATTAGCTCATTATGTCATATACTTTATGTATACTGTTTAGGTAAAGGTTACATTCCTTTTTCTGTTGTTGTTTGTGAATGTCCGAATGTAAATTATTACTATATTAGTAAACCATAATTGACTTGGAATGGACCAAACTCAATGACGATAGATTTAGTTTCAATTATGCCATGAGAAAATTAATATATAAATAAAAATTAGCACATACCGGACAGAAAGCCGAAATCCGAATACATTTAGGTGGATGGTAAACATAATCACCATTACATTATTTAATATATAGTATCATCTCTACACCATTCATTCTGTGTATAAAAAACACATTTAAAAAAAGAATGGATGAAAATTTATTGCAGTAAAAATATTAAATCAAATCTAGTCATTCAATACAAATTGGTTTTTAATGTTCAATCATGAAATAAATGGTATTTATTATTGCTTTTATCTATTAAAAATATTATATTAATATCATTACATAGATATACTACACTTCTAGAACGAAGTTCAAAATAAATCTTCAATTAAATATTAGACTGTCGGGAGGCCTATTTCATACTATATAGTAATTTATCGACGAAGAAAAAATAGATGCTGATACTTGGTTTCTTAATTTATGAAATATATAAATAAGTACTTATAAAAAATACAATTTCAAGTAGGTAGTATTAGTAGTCGTATGTAGGACAAATGGAAGGTAAATGAATCTTTTACGTAATGCTAGCTGCATATACATTTATTGTATGTTATTCCTGACTTAAAGCTATTTGGCAACTGAAAAATATAGACAGATAATAGAATGATTTATATAAAATCAAGTATACACTCAATGCCTACGCGAAGTGCATTATTTTCACGAGGACTTGTTCCAATTTGGAATAAGACGGATAATTTGAAACCCATTTTGTGCAAGTGTTTGTATATCGCTGCTGTGAATTATGGCGTGTTTTGAAAATCGATCATCTATTTATATTCTCAAGTTGCTAAATAAGACCTTTAAGTGTAAGGATGTTGGCTGTTTTATACATTTTTATATGCCCATGTTATTGGCAAGAATTTTTGTACCGATATTACTAGAATAAAAATATGAATGTAATCGTTTATTATAAACTATTTGCGATAATAGTTATTAAATAGTCTTTTACTGAAAATTAAAGAGTTAAAGTATAAACTGCAATTTCGTATTTTCTTTTTTACAATTTACTTTTATGAAGCAGAATGCAAATAGATGTAATACATAAATCAAGGACAGCACCTGGCATTCTTTCTTTATAACGTTATATTAAAATAATTCAGATCGAAGTCCCTACCCAATTTTCAAAAAGGAATTTTCACTCACCCTCAAATGAATTATCTTCTCCTGTCAAATTGGTTTATTGGCTAAAATTTTTAATTATAGTCAATGTTATGTAAGTTTGAACTTTATTTCATATGTTTCATGTGTTAGTTTGACAAACTAGTGTATATATAATAATATATCACCTTTTATAAAATTAATGACATTACTTAAAGAAATTTAATACAAGTTATTTAGGATAAATGATATACAATTTTAATAAAAGTGAAAACCTATAAATAATAAAACAAATAACCCACATATAAGTGGACGAGACGGGTTCAATGACGGATAATAATATGAATATACGCAACTGCACAGTTAAAATGTTCAAAGAATATAACTAATATTATACTGTTATAAGACTGACATCTACCAATAAGCAAAGAAAATAACTATTGTTGTTATTAAAACAATTTATTTACAATTTTTAAAGAACTTGCAGGAGAGTATATTTTGACATTATTGAATGTAAGTGTTTAACACAATTATAACAAAACAGCAACGTTGTCGACGTTGTTCATTAGACGCTAGTAATCTTCTCCACGTGATATCACTTCCTTACAAGTAGGTCTTAGAAGGATAGTGTGTTCAAACTGGGCAGTGTAGCAACCTTTGATGTCACACAAAGGTGGGTAAGGGTCCACCACTCCTTTATCGCAGAGATCTTTTAGTGCCATAGCATACCTTGACGCGCCAGCGCGTTCTAACCATCGCTTGCAAAATGCGAGCGTACCAAAATTTTTGTTAATCAAATTTAGCAATTGTTTGGAAGATTGCAGTCTGTAATATAAAGAAAATAAAATTTTATTTTTTCTTAATTTTATATTAGATTTGATAAAATATTTAATCTGTTGTTTCCTAGGTAACATATTTTGGTAGGATTGTACGCACCATGTTACGAACGTATTTGATCACGATACGGAATTTATCACAGTCCATTTGGAACATATGAATTTCGCCACAATTGTAATATTACAAAGGTTGTTCGTCACAAACGCAAGTCAATAATATGTATAAAAAAATCTTTAAAAACAAACAAGAATTTACAGTTATAGCTTTCCATGACAAAATGCGAATATAACAAAGACTTAACCGCGTATATGATGAACTGTGATTTTAACAAACTACGCATGACTATATGGGGCTATGAGAGATTGTCTAAATTTCGCTATGACCTAATTCATGTGTATATGACCAAAAGCACATGTGAATGGAGATAAAAGAATTGTTTTCTCATTATGCCAAGTATGAAAACACGAATGATTATATGGCGTTTAATTTAATTTTTAGTTACCTTAATGGCACAAACTGTTGGTCGAAATTTTTCATGTAGTGTGAACAGTCCATATCATCGTGAACTTGCCCGCGTCCTGTAGATCCAAATGTTTCAATAGCATAGAACTCATTTTCTTCCATGCGTGTCGTTTCGCCTCCTTTTACAATTGGCACCGTTTTGCCAGCATGAATTCCTACAATAAAAAATAATTAAATTTATGTGCGAGAGTTAGTGTTATTTTATTTTTATAATAAACTTTATCTTCTAACTTAATATTTTAATTTGACAATTTCGTCCAATTATCGTTTTATGGACCATCATAAACTAGATTTATAATAATTTGGACTTAAATTTAATAGAAAATTAGTTCATATTATCCCTTAAATAATAATAAAGATTTTGTGATATCAAATTTTAATTTTAGAGATAGGTTTAGGCTTATACTTAAGAAAAAATATAATTAGTCTTAATAAGAGCAAAAGTAGTAAATTTTAAAAATTTTGTTTGTTTGCATGACCCAAACACTACTACACGGAATTGAAATTGGGATGCGGCTTTTACAGTTTTACTTCTAAACGTTAATAAACTTGAAAATTGGGATATGTATTATATTGTTACACCATTTAATAGTCCACATCATTGATTTTCCTACTTTTAAAATCCACGCCTACGGAGTCGTGGGCAAAAGGCTAGTTTATAATATAATTATGTTACTTACTATAGGGCCCAATCGAATGCCCGTTAAGATTTCGAATAGGCTTCACTTGATACACTTGGCCATCCAACTCTACTTCATGTGATTCCATTACCTACAATAACAGTATTTTGTAAAGATTTTGCTGCATAAAGCTTCATTTTTTTTTTTAATTATTAAGAATAATAGATTCACAACTATTTGCAACCTAATGTAAATACAACATATTTTGATATAAGTTTAACTACTATAATGAAGTTCTTGAACTGTATGAATCATGAAACAGTAGTTAAAATTATTACATAAATATTAGTAATTTATTAGTAGTAAAAACCTAGTTATTTACTAATAATTCACTAGTTAAGAGGTAATGCCACGTGGCTCCAGCACTTCCGCCACCCCATCCTTTCTTTTAAGCGTCGTAAGAAGCGACAAAGGGAACTTAATGCCCGAGAGATGGGTAGCAGTGTTCTTCCTAAAATATCATGAAATACCTAACTGCAGTTGCCAACCCACTTGCTAAGGGTGACAACTACTGACAAAACTCTATTGATCTTTAATTGATCTATGTTCAGCAGTGGATAATTAATGGCTGATATAATGAAGAGGATGATGTCTTCTTGAGGACAATTTTAAACATGATGAATAGATGCTGAAGACATTCCTCATATGACAATCTGTTAGAGATGCACATCTATCTCTAGACCTATGCAGCAGTTTTTTTTTAATTTTATCTTTCTGTCTGCAATTAGCTCTCTTTAGCTACAATTAGATCTGGTGTAATAATGGTAATTGTTTGTAACTTACTTCTTGTATTGCAGCACCAACATCACACAACCTCACATCTACCCCGGATGATTTAATACCAGCTTCAGTTGCCTCCTGCACACCTTTAACTAGGGGATCATACCGAGGGTTGAAGTGCAGAGTGAATGCACAGTCAATAATACGTCCATTAATGTGTGTGCCAAAATCTATTTTCACCACATCATCATATTCAAGAACAGTTGTGTCACCTACGGTTTTATAAGTATTAATAATGTTAGTCTTAAAAAAGTAAGATTCATGTTTATTAGTAAATTTAATCAACATGAATAATTTCAATAATGATAACTAAATAATGAAATTGTATATTGGAATACAAGCAGGTGATCCATTACATGTTATTCAAGTTATTATAGAGATACTGCCTTAGAATTAGTTGTACCTGTATTAGGAGTGTAGTGGGCAGCACAATGGTTACGACTGCAGCCAGTAGGAAAAGCCAAACCAGCCTTAAGCCCATCTTCACCAATAAGACGCCTTGCAGTCGATTCTAATTCTTCACAAATTTGGATCATGGTCATGCCAGGCTTTATCCATTTACGGATATGGTCACGAGTCTATAACAAGAATTGTAAATTTGTGTGGATATATGTGCATAAATACTTTTTAATAAAATTTTCTGCCAAGGTGCCTTTAATAGAGATATAATCTGATGATTACTTACATTTCACTTATATGGTAAATGGTATTTATTGACCCATTAAACATTATTTTACCTCATACTGCTGAATATTACTTTTTGTTATCCATTATATATGTTGAATTAAAAACTATCCTTCTACTTAAGTTGAAAATAATACCAATTTACAAAATTTTATTAAATTTTGTTGATCAGTTTCAGAGATTTGGTGTGACACACCAGTTATAAACAGTTTTTTTTACACTTAATTTTTAAACAGAAATTGCTTATGTTTTATTTGATTTTCAGTTAAGTTCGAACAGGAGGAGGTATATTATATTTTGTATAGGATTATTATACATAATAAACAGGTATACCTGTCTATGTGCTTCTGCAGCATGTCTAATTTCTTGATAGATATCTTGTTGCATTCTATCCAAGGCTCTTTTTTCCTCGCTTGTAAAGCGATCTTTGGCAGTTTGTTCGTTAATGCCTTCAGCGGGACCATGTTCCATAATTTGGCCCTCAGGGAAATTACCTAAAAAAAATTCCCAAATTTAGTAATGACATTTAAGAGTTAAAATTTGTCTAATTTCCTGAATAATGTATATTAGTTTTTAAATAATACCAGTATTAATAGGTGATAGCTAAATTATTTATTAAAGCAAGTAATTTTATCTGATTATTATCATAATTGAAAGTGCAAGTGCTAAGTCACCATACCTTACATAGCTCTGAAATATCATACCTAAACCCAACATACCCAAAAACAGTTAAGAATAGTTTTAAGAGCTGTCTTTTGAGAGTTTACATAATAATATAACTTTTTAAATTCCCAATTGATAACATGTATTTAACATGTTCATGATAGATAGAGATTTTAGTGTCTATAATAAAAAAGCATAAAATAATATGTAAGTTTTGAGTGAAAGATAAACACTTTGAGTCATTTATGACACACATAAATTAACAATTGATTTAATACAATCAAATTCATTACATTTTTTTAAATATAAAACAATAGATAAAATACAAAAATATGTTTTTGGCATCTGTATCACAGTGACTTAAACATGCTACAGGTCAGTGATAGTTTTGCTTAAAAGCAAAGTACTGATTTTTAGCTGCAGCATGAGGTGACTAGACTACATGGATGCGTGCAACAAACCCAGAGTGTCCCTGTATGACCAAATTAACACAGAAATAAAATGAAAGCAATGAAATCGGAAGGATTATTTACCATCTGGAAACAGTTCAGCAATAGGTATAGTAGGTGGATTTGTTTGTTCCTTGCTTGGTCCTTTGCCAGACTTATTTTTGTTTTTCTTTTTTTTCTTTTTCTTGTCATCCCCATCTCCAGCTGATTCTTCTACAGATAAAGACTGTATTTTTTCTGACGTGTTATTGACATCAGCCTTATTTTCAATTGTAGCATCAGCATCAGCTATAAAATAAATTCATAACAGTAACAATATTAATATCCTTTCTCTTATGAGATGAGATGCATCCTATGAGTCATTTTATGAAATGAAGTAATAGAATAATGGCAGGACAGAAATTATCAGATCCATCTCCCTGTACTGCTTAGAAACAATCATAGTTAATACCTGGAGAATTCATCACAATAAGCCAATGGCCTTACTTCATACCTTCACTAGTATTCCATCAAGGGGGAAAGGGATTGTTAGCAATGGAGTTTGACAGCCCCGTTGCTAGCAATATGCCCTAGGTTGATCTCCACATGGTTTCCCCTGGAAACCATTGTGAACAATTCTTTTTGTCACAATGAATTAACTGACCTGTTTCATCCTCACCTAACATCCTTCACTGGTGCCCAGCCGGTATATACGATAACACGAGTGGAGTTACCATTCCATTATCACTCATAAAAAAAGTAATTCATCAGCTTAAACAGTCAGTACTGATGGGGATACAATTCCATTATCATCAATAAAAAGGGTGGTTGAAACAAAAACCATAATGTATATTCTTGGGCATTACTAAGCAAAATTAACTGTTTTATACTTCACAATTTTTTTTATATTTAATATAAATATAAAAATTAGTTTATTCATCTCCACAAATTACAATGTATAATAATATTAAATTTTACTTTATACAAAATAAAAGTATCATAATTTGTGGGAGATCTGGAGCCTAAACTAAGTCGTAACTTGTATATTAGACACCAGGTCCCCCCCATATAAGTATTGACAATTCAAAGTAAAAGGTAGTTGCGTGGAGTAAAAATAAATATGATTTAATATTAGAATAAAGAGGTGCGAGCAAATTTCACTAACAATACTCAGATTTTTTAAAATGTACAGATACATAAAACTTCCATGTACATGTGTTCTTTATAAGGGTTATATTATGACACACATCTATCATTGTGATAATTCTATTACACTGATTAAAATTGATGTAAAGCAGCCAAGAGTTTTATATTTAATCAACAAAGATAGGTAGTTCTAGTAATGTTTGAGTAGATATCTATTTATATATTTCTTCGTTCCATAGTTCAATAATTTGTTTCGAAAGCATTGCTATTTATATTTTTAATTAGATATAGAGAAATAACTAAATAGGTCCTAATTACTTATTTACCATTTTAAACATGAGATAGGAACGATGCCAAGTATTCATGTTGTTACTCATATTTTGATGTTACTATGTTCTATCGACATGCGTAATATGTTTAAAAACTAAATTAAGTAGGATATAATTATAAAGATATTTTTAGAACAAATTCGTTGGCATTATAAATTCTTTTATGTTGTAATTACAAAGGGGAATAATTCTGTTTATTCTAGTAAAAAAAACATAAATAAAATTTAATGTGACAATGAAATAAATCAGGAAAATATTACAACGGTGTTAATAGTAGAACCTAACCTGTCTTCTTCTTCTTTTTTTTCTTTTTCTTTTTTTTAGCAGGGTCTTTTGTTCCATTTTCTTCTGTTCCTTCTAGATCATCCTCTTCCTCACCATTTTCAACGATTTCCTCCTTATTTAATTCATCAGTTTTTACTGCAGCCATTTTGTTTGAATTTACAAAATTATTAACATCACATGTGTAGTTCGACTTATTTTGGCACAGATAAAAGAGACCACAGACCAGAGTAACTAGTAAATAAAGTCGACACAACCCTTATATAAACGAAATAGGAAAATGACTCAATAAACTATTAATTATCCACTACAGATATATGTAGATAACAAATAATGTCTGACGCTTGACGCTTATGTGGGATCTAATTAACTATTTTTTTGGATATATATTTGAGCTACCTTTCACGAAAGTCGTTTGAGGAACTGTATTTTATCTTTTTTCTATACAATTTTTTTTATGATAAATAGAGTTCGTGTTATTTATTAAGAAAATATTTAGGAAAAATTAAGATTTCGAATTGTCTAAAAAAAAGAACAACATTTAAATTAGATACAGAATAATACCTGCCATAAGTCTCACTAGCCAATAACAGAAAAATAACCATTAGGCTTATTTAGCACGTACGTTGGTATATTACGAAGTTTAACAAAAGTCAAAATACAGGGAATCACATACCACTGATAATATCAAAATTTTAGATTTATTTTAAGTAATATTAAAAAGTATTCCATATTTTTAACTAGTGATTGACATATTACCGTTTGATACATTTATCGGTGTTTAAGTTCGAATCAGATTGTTTCGATAATATTAGTGATGGGACTCGAGTGATTTTTTTTTACTCGAGTCACTCGGTACTGATAAGTTACTCACTCGAATGCCACTCGAGTGAAGATAAAACTCGAGTGATTTTTATTGACTCGAGTCACTCGGAATATAAAACTCGAGTGACCAAAATTTTAAAACGAATAAAACAGTATTAATTTTACATAGAAAATGTGTATTCATTTTTTCAAAAAAAAAATCTAAATAAAATGTAAAAAATAGAATTTTCCTTCAAACTAAACCTGTCATACGTAATCAAGAAACCTCTTATATCAACTATCAGTCAAATTAAAATATTATACCATAATCTACTACTAATAAGTTCTAATCCAATTTAATTTATTCTAACAAGGAACTTTCATGAGATCCAAATATAAACAGTTTTATTATGTTCTTACACAATTTATGTAATAATATAAATATTTTATATGTAATAATATAAATAATAATATAATATAAATATATAAAATTAACTTAAATAAAACTTATATAAACTCAACAAAAAAAAACAAAAATAATGTATCTTTAATGAGATAACAAATTTAACTGAAATTGGTGTAATAACTACTTTAAAAAAATAAATTGATAAATTTTTTCCCTACCAAACGGCTTCGATAATATCGACTTCAGCACACTTGCTAAAATAATAGAAGAATGTTTCTCCGTAACCTCTTTAGTAGTAACAGTTTGCGAAAAAAGTTTTGAATTATAAGTATTGTAATAGTTAGGTATGCTTTAGAAGTCCATAAATCTGTTGTAGCAGCCGTATATTCAACTAAATGTAGAATATCTACAATTATAGTGCGTGCGGCATGATAAGCATCAGGAAGAATTTTCTCTCTTAAAAGTTTCCTGGTACCGCGGGTAAACTTGTCACAATTTGAATTTCTCACTCAGTTCGGTATAAACCACTCGAGTGGTACGAGTCAACTCGAGTCACTCGTAATTCGAGTCGACGCGAGTCACTCGAAACTCGAGTGGTCAAAAATTTAACTCGAGTGCATGTAATATAGAAACTACTCGAGTCACTCGAGTGAAAAGCAACTCGAATCCCATCACTAGATAATATTTTTTTTATACTACTGAGGTGGCAAACAAGTACACGGCCTACCTGATGGTAAGCAGTTACCGTATCCTATGAATGCAAGTAATACCAGAGGTATTACGCACGTCTTGGCGAACCTGAGGAAATTTTTGAGTTGTAGAATTATATTAACACTATCTAATCTCTAGATTGACGGATTGTGTCAACTTGACATCTATCATATGTTAGATGTACGGAAACATCCTGCTGTTACTAATCTTAATTCGTAACTGATTACATAGATTATACACAAGTTGCTTTGATCATAGTAATGCCATCCAGAGTGAGACTATAATAATCTATAACGTAGATATACTCGCCGATGTCACGATGGATAAATGACAAGACCACTATATGAAGAAAAAAAGATGACAATGCTGAAAAATTGACAATGATAGTTGACGTAATGACAATAATGACATTTAGTGTTACATTATTAAAAAAATGGCTTTGACCCTCTTAATCTGTGCTCTTGGTGTTGTCTCGTAATATCTAGATTTATTTAGATATATTCAATATTTAGATATATTCAATTAGAAACAAAATCCTTCCTTATTTTCTTTCCTCCATACTATAGCTGGCGAAAACCACCAACAAATGCATTCTCAAAAAGGGTTGACGTCAGGCAGGTGGCCGGTTGTAAAACTGTAAGCCAAATCTTTTTGTAATATCGATAAAAACATATTATGCTGACTCCAAATAATAATTGAGATAAGGGTAAGAATATGATGATGACAATGAAATGGAAACCCCGCCTGCTATGACGGTATACGCTGGCTGGGCATCAGTGAGGGATGATAGATGAGAATGTAAAGGCAAGCCAGTTAGCCTATCGTAATAAATACACCTGAAATTTAGCACGATGGTTTCGAGGCGGATCATTCCACAAGAATTAACCACGATGGCTTCCAGGGTGAATTGACAATCCCACAATTATGTGTTTTTGGTAGTGTTTTAATGAATGATAATGGATCGGTAACCCTGCCTGCGCTATTGGTATACGTCGCCAGCGCACCAAGGGATAATAGTGGAGAATGCAAGCAGGTCAGTTACAGTTTACTGACAGGGTAGTCCGCATCACTAACAAAAAGTTTGTATTAGTGTTGATTAACCTTTCTTTGCATGATATTTTTTTATTGGTGAAATAAATCAAGGTGATATAATTTATGTTCAAAACTAAAAAGAAAAATTAAAAACAAAATTGACAGCTATGTTTTTTTTTCTGCAATGGACATTAAAAAGGTATCCAGACACGTAACAGAGATATATAATTTTTGGGCATTCAATATTATGATGGAAATTTCCACCACTATGCAAAGAAGGGTTAAATATCTAATATTTACAAATATTACAAATGTGAAAGCGAGTTTGTTTATTTATTATCTAAAATTTGATATGCACGTAGGTGCCTACTATATTATTATTATAAAGGGGCAGTATGAGACTAACCTAATGTTAAGTGACGATAATCGCCTATGAGCACCCGTAATAAGTACTGGAGGAATTTCGGGTATGATGTTGGCCTTTTTTTCCGGCGCAGTTTAGGATGACCCCCCCGCTAGATAAAGTGGCGACCTGAAATGCATTGCAGGGAGTCAGTGAATGCAGGTGGCTCAGGACCGTTCCTCATGGCAGTTTATGTGGGCGACTTATGTTCAATAGTGGACGGATAATGGTTAAAATGATGATGATGATGATGTCGGCCTTTTATAAAGGAATATGGTTTTTTATATCGGTTTATTATATTGGTTCAAATATTGTGGCTGGAAATTCATTATAAAACGTTATGCGTGGAAGAAATTGCCTTGAAAAACACAGTGCAAGACCGCCAGTCATCCATATGGTTGGGATGGAACTTTAGTATATGGCGGGTTGTACGATGGTGAAATTGAATGGTAAATATGAAATGCGATGGAGAAGGACATAGAGTAGCCTATGTAGTGTAGTGTGTAAGATGGCACAAATAGTATATCCCGTATGCGGTCCGTCATACGGTAGAAGTTGTGGATTAAAAAAAAATACATAATATTATATCATATTTCTACTGTCAAGTGCAATAATTAAATTTACAGAACGTATGCTAACTTACAACAATATGAAGTTTATATTCTAGTATTTTTGTCTTTTTATAATGGTAGAATTTCATTAGCGACAACGTTCACGTTGAATTAATACTTTGAAACCGTCTGCTCCTTCTTAGAATTTATGGTTTATGGTAGTGCCATACGGAATTTCATTAAATTCGGTTTTTGACTTTGAAAACAAAGGCAACGAACAAAGTAACTTTCCCATTTTATGATATAATATGTATTCTGATATTACTTTAATGAAGTTTTGTTTTATTACAAAGTAGATAATTGTGTAGATATTTTTTTATAAAATTTGTAATGGCAAATAAGTCAATTATGGTTAAAAGTGTCCTCTGTAGGCTATAAGCAACAACATTATATTCAGTATTTTGCGAAAAAAAATGACATTTTAATGAAGAACGTAATCAAATAATGAGAATATTTTAACTTTTCATACAAATTGCGCGGTCGATTACTTGATATACTTGTATTTAGTATGAAAATAAATATTATTATCCCTATATAAAACATCTGTACTGACTTCGTCCGTATAAATGTAGCAAATTACTTGATCGTAGTAAAAAGTATAATCTTTTCATGCTAAATGTCATAACGTTTGGTAGAGCCGTTAACGCTTTAAATAAACAAAAAACAAACTCAATTTCACATTCCATTTATAATATTATTAAGGATGGGGATGTATGTCGTAATCTTTATGCGCAAGGCTTTAAAAGGGTGGAATGGGATGGTAGCAGTTGAAAGACAGAAAACTGAAAGAATGTTCGCTACGCCGATGAAATTACCTTACTGGATGTTATAAAAAAAGTAAAAAAAAGTTTCACGATTTTAATAAATAATTGTGCACCACAAAGGTGAAGAAATTGTTTTTTTTTGTGTTTTAAGTATTCGAAGAAGTAGGACTATAGAAATGTGATTGCGCTCTTAATTTGTTGGCTCTATTAATTGATTTCAAAGAAAAAACTCTCACTTGGAAAAAATAATTCGCTAACAATTCAATGGATATATTTTAACGATTTATTGAAAAAACAAAAATTAGTTTACTCGCCAGTTCGTCTACGTGACTGGGATATGCTCGCTCAATGGAGCAAGATAATAACTAACGTATATCTTTTTCCATCGTATATTGTATGAGTATACCAAATTTCATATTGATTGGTTAAGGCATTAGGAGGTAAGAAACAGACAAATAAGCTCACTTTCAAATTTATAATATTAGTAAGGATTAATTTCTAG